TTTTCTCCCACTCTGTGGGTGTTCTCTTCAGTTTAGAGACCATTTCTTTTGATGAACAGAAGCTTTTTAGTTTTATGAGGTCCCATTTATCTATGCTATCTCTTAGTTGCTGTGCTGCTGGGGTTTCATTGAGAAAGTTCTTACCTATACCTACTAACTCCAGAGTATTTCCTACTCTTTCTGTATCAACTTAGAGTTTGGGTCTGATATTAAGATCCTTGATCCATTTTGAGTTAATCTTGGTATAGGGTGATATACATGGATCTAGTTTCAGTTTTTTGCAGACTGCTAACCAGTTTTCCCAGCAGTTTTTGTTGAAGAGGCTGCTATTTCTCCATCGTATATTTTTAGCTCCTTTGTCAAAGAAGTTGGTTATAGTTGTGTGGCTTCATATCTGGGTCCTCTATTCTGTTCCACTGGTCTTCATGTCTGTTTTTGTGCCAGTACCATGCTGTTTTTATTGTTATTGCTTTGTAATATAGTTTGAAGTCAGGTATTGTGATACCTCCTGCATTGTTCTTTTGACTGAGTATTGCCTTGGCTATTCGTGGCCTCTTGTGTTTCCATATAAATTTAACAGTAGATTTTTCAATCTCTTTAATGAATGTCATTGGAATTTTGATGGGAATTGCATTAAACATGTAGATTACTTTGGGAGTATACATTTTTACTATGTTGATTCTACCAATCCATGAGCATGGGAGATCTCTCCACTTTCTATAGTCTTCCTCAATCTCTTTCTTCAGAAGTGTATAGTTTTCCTTGTAGAGGTTTCACATCTTTTGTTAGGTTTACACCTAGGTATTTGATTTTTTTTGAGGCTATTGTAAATGGAATTGTTTTCATACATTCTTTTTCCGTTTGCTCATTGTTAGTGTATAGAAATGCTAATGATTTTTCTATGTTGATTTTATATCCTGCTACCTTGCTATAGCTATTGATGATGTCTAGAAGCTTCTGAGTAGAGTTTTTTGGGTCTTTAAGGTATAGGATCATGTCTCTGCAAATAGGGATATTTTGACAGTTTCTTTACCTATTTGTATTCCTTTTATTCCTTCTTCTTGCCTAATTGCTCTGGCTAGGAATTCCAGTACTATGTTGAATAGGAGTGGAGATAGTGGGCATCCTTGTCTGGTTCCTGATTTTAGAGGGAATGGTTTCATTTTTCTCCATTAAGTATAATGCTGGCTGTAGGTTTGTCATATATAGCTTTTATAATGTTGAGGTAACTTTCCTTCTATTCCTAGTTTTCTTAGAGCTTTTATCATGAAATGTGTTGGATCTTATCAAAGGCTTTTTCTGCATCTATTGAGATGATCAAGTGGTTTTTGTCTTTGCTTCTGTTAATGTGGTTTATTACGTTTATTGATTTTCGTATGTTGAACCACCCCTGCATCCCTGGGATGAAGCCTACTTGGTGTGGTGAATAATCTTTTTGATGTGTTGTTGAATTCGTTTGCCATTATTTTGTTGAGGATTTTTGCATCAATGTTCATTAAGGAGATTGGCCTATAGTTCTCCTTTTTGGAGGTGTCTTTGCCTGGTTTTGGGATAAGTGGCTTGATAAAATGTGTTTGGCAGTTTTCCTTCCCTTTCTATTTTTTGGAACAGTTTAAGGAGGGTTGGTATCAGTTCTTCTTTAAAGGTCTGATAGAATTCAGCAGAGAATCCATCAGGTCCTGGACTTTTCTTTTTGGGAGACTCTTGATTGCTGCTTCAATTTCATTTTGTGTTATAGGTCTATTCAGGTGATTAATTTCCTCTTGGTTCAGTTTTGGATGATCATATGTATCTAGAAATCTGTCCATTTCTTTAGATTTTCAAATTTATTTGAATATAGGTTCTCAAAGTAGTCTCTGATGATTTCCTGGACTTCCATGGTGTTTGTTGTTATCTCCCCTTTTGCATTCCTGATTCTACTAATTTGGGTTTTTTCTCTCCTCATTTTAGTCAGGTTTGCCAGGGGTCTATCGATCTTGTTTTTTTTTCAAAGAACCAACTTTTTGTTTCATTAATTCTTTGTATGGTTTTTTTGGTTTCTATTTGTTGATTTCAGCTCTTATTTTTATTATTTCTCTCCTTCTATTTGTTTTGGGATTTGCTTGTTCTTGTTTTTCTAGGAGTTTGAGATGTAGCATTAGGTCATTGATTTGGGATCTTTCAGTCTTTTTAATATATGCACTCATGGCTATAAACTTTCCTCTCAGGACTGCCTTAGCTGTGTCCCATAGGTTCCGGTAGGTTGTGTTTTCATTTTCATTGACTTCCAGGAACTTTTTAATTTCCTCTTCTTTTTCACCGATGATCCATTCTTCATTAAGTAATGAGTTATTTACTTTCCAGCTGTTTGCATGTTTTTTGTCTTTACTTTTGTTGTTGAGTTCTACTTTTACTGCATTGTGATCAGATAGTATGCATGGTATAATTTCTATTTTCTTATATTTGCTGAGACTTGCTTTGTGCCCTAGGATATGATCTATTTTGGAAAAGGTTCCATGGGCTGCTGAGAAGAATGTATATTGTGTAGATGTTGGATGAAATGTTTGTAGACATCAACTAGGTCCATTTGATCTATTGCATATTTTAGATCTTGGATTTCTTTATTGATGTTTTGTTTGGATGACCTATCTATTGATGACAATGGAGTGTTAAAGTCTCCCACAACCACTGTGTTGGTGTTTATATATGCTTTTAGGTCTTTCAGGGTATGTTTGATGAAATTGGGTGCATTGACATTGGGTGCATACAGGTTGATAATTATTATTTCCTTTTGGTCTATTTCCCCTTTTATGAGTATGGAATGTCCTTCTTTATCTCGTTTGATCAATGTAGGTTTGAAGTATACTTTGTCAGAGATAAGTATTGCTATTCTTGTTACTGATGTTAAAGCTGAGTTTTGAGCAATGGAAGCAAAAGGGCCTCAGGATATATAGGAAGCAGGAGGTAAGAAAAGAGTTTGCACTTTTCCACCCCTCTTCACATGTTCCTTTTCCTCCTAGTTTCAGTGAACCTCATAAGTCTTTATGATCAGCAAAATCTCTGTATCCACAGTTTCTCCTCTGAATGTTCTCTTCACTTTTGTGCTCTGGTCTCCTGATTTGAAATACTAAATATCCTGAAATTTATATCTCTTCCAAACCGTAGACTCACACATTCAAGTGTTTACTCAACACCTTCAATGAGATGTCTAGAAATGCTTCAAATTTAATATCTCTAAAACTCTGGTGACCCACAGCTTCCCTCATGATTGACGGCATTCCATCATTTCAGATCAGGAGGCCAAACTTGAACATCATCCTTGACTCTTCTTTTTCTCAGACCCTCCATATCTAATTTGTCAGAAAGTCCAAAACAATTTTCTGAGTTCAACTTGTCGCCTTACCTCTACTGCTGCTAGCATGGTTGAGCTCAGATATTTTCCACCTGAATTTCTGCATTCTCCTTGTCTACTAGCCTGCCTTGATTGCTCTTGCCTGGCTTTTTGGACTATAGTGCCCTCCGTATTAAGGTTCTTCATTCCTTGTTCAACAACCACGATGAAAAAATTGACTCAGGAGACAGAAACTTTTCCTGATGTGGTCAACTTTTTTTTACGATTCTAAGTATATAGGCTATATCATTTACATCTGTATTAGGTACTTAGTGTCTACAAATGATTTAAGTCTATAGGAGAGCTATGGCATTTCTATGGGGATTGAGCATCTGTAGACCTTTGGTTCGTTGAGGGTTCCTGGAACCAATTTCCCTTGTGCGATACAAACTGTACTATGTCTTAAACTACAGGCCAGAGTGAGCCTCTGCTCGGAACTCTTCACTGGCTCGTCCATTCGTGGCCAGAATCAATCTCTGGTCCTCATAACAGGCAGCCAAAAACTTCTCCACAATCTGCCCTCTGCTCCTCTCTGCCTTCTCTCACTCTCTTCTGCTCCAGCCACACTTGTGCTCCACGCTGAGCCTCTACACTCTACCTAGCTCCTGCACCCGATTTACTATTTCATCATTTACTCAATACCTTCTTTTGCATACTATAGGATATTAGGTATATAGGGTGTACAAGAAGAACATCATCTTTGCTCTCATAACAGAAATCAGCCTAACATTGCAAGCCAACTGCTGTGTGCCTGGACTATTGCAAATCTTTAATCTCATTTGATCCTTAACCTAAGAGATAGGTTTTCCTACTGTTTCCCCATTTGTGGGTAAGGTGAAAGGAGTAGAGGGTGAAGCAACTTTAAAGGGATGTTCGTAAATAATGGAACCAGATTCAATCTAGACAGTCTGACACTTCTGATTGTTATTTAACCATTGCTTCTCATTATAGATTATGAGGATTTAATGGTGTCCATGGCCTCCATGCCCCCAGGCCAAATTTGATTTCTACCAAAATGTAGCTTCTGCACTGGCTGGAATGCTTATTGACGGTCTAGAATGACTTACTTGCTAAGAGACTCGCTGCTCAATTCATGTCTCACTTGGGTGCATTCGTGTTTGCACCTCAGGATTACTGTGAATTATCATTTATCCTGTGGTTAAGCACTTAAAACTATGACTATGAAATCTGCTTATATCAAAGGTTTTTCAGGTCATGGAGCTGAATACAAGTAATGATAACTTTACTGCTTTGGGTTTTACAGTGTTGTTACAGGTTGTGGTTATGTGGTGCACAAAACTTGTCAAGAGGCAGAAGCTTTCTTTATGCTAGACTGTGCTTATCTCAGATTGGAAACAGATTGCCATTATCTTGATTTACAACTTAGTAATAAACTGATTCAGATAAGGTTGTGTGGAGATGAATTACTGTGATAAGTGCTGACTTCCTTGTCATTTAATATCATAGTATATTGTCACACTTTCAGTCACAGATTTTTTGTTTTCAAGAATCAGTGTGTGCTCTGTACAAAAATCATCTCTTTTAGGAAAACATACTAAGAGATCACGTGGTGTGATGTTGGAGTGCAGAAAACTGCTGGCCTTATGAGTGTGAAGGACAGAATGATCAGTTAGTAACCAGGAAGGGGACACGATAAGACAGGTAATGCACTAATGTCTCTGTGGTCTGATGCATTCAAATTGTTCCCCAATAAAGTTATCTACAAATACCCCAAAATTGAAAGTCTCTGTGGCGATCATATAATCATTTCAAATTTTAGATGTCAAAAACCTTGTATCACTGGGACATTTTTCTTTAATATGAATGTGCTATGCAGTGTTGTCCTTGGTGTATTTCCTTTCACCTGAGATTAGCATCAATTATCAGCTCTGTGGCTATGGTCAGACAGTATGTTGTTGATTTACCTTTGTTTATATATTTATATTTGCAGTATAAATATTAATAACTGTTGAATCTGGGACTCAGAGTCAGACCTGCCTGATTCCATTGTCCATAGATTTAACTGACATAGTAAATTACTTTCAAAGTAATCCTGATTAAATTTAATTTTAGATTAAATCTTACTCTGTTTATTCGTGTCAGACTGATTAGATTCTTTAGCGGCTCCTCGTTAGGGAATCTGTATTGCATAGTGACATATCACATGGGGAAGGTCTATTTTGGACTTTACGTATTTTGAGTTTAGTAGTAAAATCATATTAGATTTATTAGTAAATAGTATTAAATTTGGAATATTGGCTAAGCATGTGACATAGTGCTATGTGCTATAGAAGCAACAAGAATCATGACTGTATTAATCAACTGTTGCTGCAAGTTATCTCAAAATGTAGCAACTTAAACAACAGCTTTTACTTCATAGTCTTTTTGTGGCAAGGAATCCAGAGGTGGCTTCTGTGGGTGCCTCTGCCTTAAGGTCTCTCTTAAGGCTGCAACCATGCTGTCAGATGGGCTGCTGTCTCATCTGAAAGCCTGACTGGGGATAATCAGCTCGCGAGCTTACTCATGGGGTTGTTGGCTGTTACAGGGTCTCAGTTCCTCCCTGGCTATCCCTGGAAGCCTTCCTCATTTCCTTTCCACATGGATCTTCCCAGGAGGGTGCTATGATTTGGATGTGGCTTGTTCCCAAGGGTTCATGTGTTGGAAACTTGATTCTCCTGTATGCTTGGGAGGTAATAGAACCTTTTAAGAGGTGGAGCTTAGTAAGAAGTGATGACAGAAAGTAATTATTTATTTATGGCAGTATTGGGGTTTAAACTCAAGACCTCACACTTGCTAGGCAAGTGCTCTACCACTTGAGCCATGCCTCCAGCTCTGTTTGCCTTACATTATTTTTTCAGATAGGGTCTCATGCTTTTTGCCTGAGGCTGTCCTCAGACTGCAGTCCTTTTACCTATGCCTCCTGTGTGACTAGGACAACAGACATTCACCGCCACTAAAAAGTTAGGGGTTCTCACTAACTTTTTGCCCAGGCTGGCCTCAAATCACAATCCTCTCAATCTGCACCTCCCCTAAATAGCTGGGATTACAGGTGTGAGCCACTGTGCCCAGTTTGAGGAAGGGATTAATATAGTTCACAGGAGGCCCTGGTTCTGATAAGAGGGCTGTGTAAAAGAGCAATACTGATGCCTCCCTGCTCTCCAGTTTCATGTCTTACCATGTGGCCTCTCCTACTCATACGCATTCTCACCAGAATGCCAGAAGCTGCTGACAATAGGGCCCTACTCTCCAGAAGACATTACTCATCATTTAAACACACATGGCTGTCTATGATTAGTTGTCAAATCTTGTGGTACAGCTGGCAACTTCTTTTTTTGGTGGTTCTATAGCTTGAACTCAGGACCTCATTCTTGTTAAGCAGGTACTCTACCACTTGAGCCACTTCACTAGCCCTTTCTTGTGGTGGGTATTTCATGAAATAGGGTTTTGTAAACTATTTGCCTGGGCTGGCTTCAAACCACCATCCTCCTGATCTTTGCCTCCTGTGTAGCTGAGATTATAGGCATCAGCCACCAGCACACAGCTGGATTGTGAATCTTTAAAAGACAGAAGGCAGTCTGTATCAATCAGGCTAAAATGTAACAAGGGCTGGGTGTGTAGCTTAGTGGCTGAGTGCTTGCCTAGCATGCATGAGGTCCTGGGTTCCATTCCTAGCAGCACACACACACAAAATGTTGTCACAGAGAGATCCAAAATTACAGGCGATAAGAATATGACAGTGGAGTGGGTTTTGTCCTCATTCTCATGTAACAGTAGAGATAGGCAGGTCATCTAGATACCTCACTGTAAAGGTTGTACAGAGTGGCGGATAATGCCCCACTCATATCTGACATCCCCAGTATACAATTGGATTTTTTCCTCCACTGCCAATACATGACCTTCAAATATTTCTTTCCTGGTAGCATCCTAGGAATTCACCACCATCTAGCCATTATTTACATATAAGATAATTGTTTCCCCTTTCTAATCTTTAAATAGTCTCTTCCAAAATTAGACACCCTATGAAGTTGCCATGTGGTAGGCAAAGCGTGCATTGTTTTTGTTTTTTTTTTTTTCATTTTTCTTTTATTATTCATATGTGCATACAAGGCTTGGTTCATTTCTCCCCCCTGCCCCCACCCCCTCCCTTACCACCCACTCCACCCCCTCCCGCTCCCCCCCCCCTCAATACCCAGCAGAAACTATTTTGCCCTTATCTCTAATTTTGTTGTAGAGAGAGTATAAGCAATAATAGGAAGGAACAAGGGGTTTTGCTGGTTGAGATAAGGATAGCTATACAGGGCATTGACTCACATTGATTTCCTGTGCATGGGTGTTACCTTCTAGGTTAATTCCTTTTGATCTAACCTTTTCTCTAGTTCCTGGTCCCCTTTTCCTATTGGCCTCAGTTGCTTTAAGGTATCTGCTTTAGTTTCTCTGCGTTAAGGGCAACAAATGCTAGCTAGTTTTTTAGGTGTCTTACCTATCCTCACCCCTCCCTTGTGTGCTCTCGCTTTTATCATGTGCTCAAGTCCAATCCCTTGTTGTGTTTGCCCTTGATCTAATGTCCACATATGAGGGAGAACATACGATTTTTGGTCTTTTGGGCCAGGCTAACCTCACTCAGAATGATGTTCTCCAATTCCATCCATTTACCAGCGAATGATAACATTTCGTTCTTCTTCATGGCTGCATAAAATTCCATTGTGTATAGATACCACATTTTCTTAATCCATTCGTCAGTGGTGGGGCATCTTGGCTGTTTCCATAACTTGGCTATTGTGAATAGTGCCGCAATAAACATGGGTGTGCAGGTGCCTCTGGAGTAACAGTCTTTTGGGTATATCCCCAAGAGTGGTATTGCTGGATCAAATGGTAGATCGATGTCCAGCTTTTTAAGTAGCCTCCAAATTTTTTTCCAGAGTGGTTGTACTAGTTTACATTCCCACCAACAGTGTAAGAGGGTTCCTTTTTCCCCGCATCCTCGCCAACACCTGTTGTTGGTGGTGTTGCTGATGATGGCTATTCTAACAGGGGTGAGGTGGAATCTTAGTGTGGTTTTAATTTGCATTTCCTTTATTGCTAGAGATGGTGAGCATTTTTTCATGTGTTTTCTGGCCATTTGAATTTCTTCTTTTGAGAAAGTTCTGTTTAGTTCACATGCCCATTTCTTTATTGGTTCATTAGTTTTGGGAGAATTTAGTTTTTTAAGTTCCCTATATATTCTGGTTATCAGTCCTTTGTCTGATGTATATTGGCAAATATTTTCTCCCACTCTGTGGGTGTTCTCTTCAGTTTAGAGACCATTTCTTTTGATGAAAGAAGCTTTTTAGTTTTATGAGGTCCCTTTATCTATGCTATCTCGTAGTTGCTGTGCTGCTGGGGTTTCATTGAGAAAGTTCTTACCTATACCTACTAACTCCAGAGTATTTCCTACTCTTTCTTGTATCAACTTAAGAGTTTGTGGTCTGATATTAAGATCCTTGATCCATTTTGAGTTAATCTTGGTATAGGGTGATATACATGGATCTAGTTTCAGTTTTTTGCAGACTGCTAACCAGTTTTCCCAGCAGTTTTTGTTGAAGAGGCTGCTATTTCTCCATCGTATATTTTTAGCTCCTTTGTCAAAGATAAGTTGCTCATAGTTGTGTGGCTTCATATCTGGATCCTCTATTCTGTTCCACTGGTCTTCATGTCTGTTTTTGTGCCAGGACCATCAAAGCGTGCATTGTAAATACTGTTTCATTTGGAATGTCTCTCCCTTGCCATTGCAGGTCACCTGGATGGCTTTATTTTCATTTATCCTGCTCAGAATGTAGCTTGCTTCCTGGATCTGAAGACTGCTATCTTTTGTCATGCCAGGCAGAGTCTTTGTCAAGTCTTTTCTCTCTGTCCTTCGGGAGCATCTGTTAAACATATGCTGTCCCTTTTCTTGCCTTTAATCTCTGTTCATAGTTGCCTTTTGTCACTCTGTATAACCTTTTCGTTAATTTAATTAATTCACTTGTTCTTAATAATTTATCCCATTGAGTTTTTTTATTTTAGTGACTCTACTTTTTATTTTTGGAAAATACTTAATAGTTCTTTTTTTAAAAATCTCCCTGAAATACATGAGTAGGCAGTTCATACAAAAATATATTAAAATGGCTCTCATACAGATGAAAAAAATCATCAAACTCATAATTAAAATCCTACAAATGAAAGCCACACTGAAACATCATTTCTTACCTGTCAGACTGGCAAAATCATATATAATGTGACAACATATTCTGTTGGTAAAACTGAGATAAAATTGGTATGCCCCCCTGGAGGTTTTTGTTTTGCTAACAAAACTAAATTGCAATTGTCGACCAAGCAATACCAAATTGAGAACACTACCCAGTAGATATACTTCCTGCAATATAAAAGTACATATGCATTTTAAAAATCTGCCTGAATTTTTTAAATGTCTGTTTTCATATTTATGACTACTTTTATGCCTATAGCCATTTTTAAAGTATTTTATCACGTCTCTCTGATAATTGTACTAATTTTAGATTTGCTGACTCTTGCTCTTGATGTATTGTTTCTCTGTGGGTTTTGCCATTTTGAACTTTGAACTCATCTTCAATAGGGTTTCTCTGTGGGAATTTTTTTGCCACTTATGAATAAGCTCTCAATTTACCTTTGCCAAGTGCTACAGGGGTATTAGAAGCCTGGACCATTCACTGTGTACATTACCTACCACCTGAGGTGCTCCCAGACCACTCAGCATAGAAATATGAACCTCAGACTATAGTGAGGATAGCACAGGTCCTCCATTACAGATTCTTAAAATGAGCTTCCTTTGTTTTTTATTTTACTTTATTTCCTGACCCAACGCTCAGGCCAAGAGGACAAATGAGCTTCCCTGTCACCAGTGGCTCTGGAGAGCTGCAGCATCAGCTTCTGCACACAGAACTCTGGTTTTAGTTGCTCCTTGCTGATGGCCCTTGTCAATTTCCCTGTCCTCCTTTCATGCCCATCCATTCACTTAAGACATGGGCTCAGTTTCATCCAGAATTTCTAAATATTTGTGGTAGTAGGATTTTTGGGTTCATAGTCCAACATTAGCCAGAAGTGTTTTGTTAATATCCAGAATGAATGTGTGTGTGTATATGCATTTTTTGAGGGGGGAGGCGAGAAGGAAATTGAACCCAGGGCCTCATGCATGCTAAACATGCCCTTTACCGCTGAGTTACACTATCTGTCCCCAAGACTGGATCTGAATATCAGATTTGTTCATAGCGATGTATTTTTCCCCTGTAGGCACAAATGAGATCAGAGCCAAGCGAGATGAAGTTTTCCATGAGGAAGACTGATGATCGAACTTCGGCTGAAAACACAGTAAGAATCCTAAGTGAATCCCATGCCCAAGGCATTTTGATAATTTTGTATACAATTTCCTTTCCTGGGATGGCTCAATTTTGAGAAATAAATTATGTTTATTGTTGATTAAGGTAGGGCTCGCTCTCCGGCCTAAAAATTGTGTTTTGCTCCTGCCAATGACTGCCTGGTATTACTGCAAGTGAGGCCAGCTTCCTATTACAGATGATGCTGCTCTGTTCATTCCTGTGTCAGCAAAAGCAATGGGGGCTCTTTTAAGGACAGAAGTACTGATTTCTACGTGAATTTTAAATTTTTCACTCCATCAGAGGTGGTGAACAGATCTCCGAAAGCTGTAGTCTTTGTGGAAGCATTTTCTTACTACAGTTTAACATTCCAAGATCAACACGAATGTATTTCAGGAAGTAATATTTCCTAGAAGGCAATTTAAAAATTGATGGTGACATACAGTTGATAGTATCTTAGAATCAAGAAAATCTATCAAATCATCACTCTTAATGAGACCAAATAAATCATACACTATTTTACTCCCCAACACCATCGCACCCTCCACTGAGAATTATAGTTAAATGTTAACGTGTGTGAGTAGCATAGGGGATACTCTTTTAGGCACACTGGCCTTCAGGTGGTAGCAAATGACGACATAAAAAGCCAGCAACCTTATGCATAGTGTGAATACTTGCAATCCCAGTAGCTCAAAGCATCGTGTCCTCTTAGGAGGGAAGTCTCTTTATACGCCGTGTAGGAATTCAGGTGCACTGAAGCCACACCAGAGTTCCACCCCTGTGTAGCATGGAAGGCTAATGAGAGGTGGAGAGTTTACAAGGCTGTTCAACAAAGACATTTTAGTGTATTTCAAAGGGTATAGTGAAGATGTGTCAGGATCTTGAGGGTAAGTCAAGACCCTTACCAGAATATCTACCAGTAAAGGCTTTTGTTGTTAACCATATTATCATACCAAGTGTAGCCCTTCACGTCTCACTTTGGCTCTTTGTTTTCCTACATTAGTTTCAGCTGTTTGGTCCTTTCATGAAGAGGGTAATGCATTTCACAATCTCCTAATCTTTTCTGGCAGATAAGTGCTGTGGTTGGCAAGAAAACTTTGTTTATTTTTAATCTGAATGAGCCAGATAACCCAGTGGATGTGGAATTCCAGCCAGGCTATGGCAACATTGTCTGCTATAGTTGGTATGTACAGAAAGACATCCTGTGTTTTTCCTTAGTAATTAAGTTTTGTCTGTAACGTTCAAGTCTATACTACAGCATTTAAGTTACAGTCTGTGATTTAGTATGTAAAACTACCTAGCATATTATCTGATACATAGTAAGCCCTGGATAAATATGATAATATAAATAATAATAATATATTAATACATATCACATTCCATATAATATATATAAATTATATAATTCCTTAATCTTAAGGTATTTACTAATTTACCATACTGCAAATAATAGCCTCCTTTTTCTAAAACCATATTGTTGCCTTTGTTGCTGTAGGTATAGTGATAACTACGTCATAGTTGGCTTTTCACGTGGAACTATGGTGGTCATTTCTACTCATTTACGAGAAATTGGGCAAGAGATATTTCAGGCTCGTGACTATAAAGATAATCTAACCAGTATTGCGTTATCACAGACTCTGAGCAAAGTGGCTACATGTGGAGACAACTGGTAAGCTGTAGTCACATATTTCTAGCAGTTCATATGGGAATACGCAAGAGAATCAACAAGACTTTGGCTATTATGAATTGGCACTCATACTCTCTTAGAACATGTATACAAGGAAATTTCTGAAATTCCCCTGCCTTTAACCTTCAGTTCCCAATTATACGGAATAAGCACACTCCTCCCTGTCTCTCCCACTGAATCCAGCAATGAACCTGTACAGGTGCACAAAGCAGTAGAGGGCTACTCCTAACAGACATCTGTAGAACATGCCAGCCAACAACAGTGTGCATGACACAGTCACCAAGATAGAACACATCCAGAGCCATAAATAAGCCATAACATTTAAATTGGATCATACAAAGTGTATGATACACAGTGACCATAGTCTAAAGGTGGTCAGAGAACTAGTTCCTCAAACTGGAAATCCATAGCGCAAGGATATCAGGAAAACTGTCTAAACACTTGGGAATTAAACAACATATTTCTAAGTCATGGGTCATAGAATCTCAAGTAAATTTTAAAATGCATAACACTGAATGAAAATGAAGTACAGCATATCAAAATATGTGGGAGGTAGCTAAAGCAGGACAGAAAACAAATCTGTAGCACTAAATGTTTACATTAGAAAAGAAAAAGCTTTCAAAGCAATAATCTTAAACTCAAACTAGAAAAAACAGAGCAGAGTAAATCCAAAGCAGAAGGAAAAAAGAATGAACAGAAACTGATGAAGTCGAAAATGGGAAAAAGACCAGTTTAAAAGCTGATATTAAAAATATATAAAATGATAAACCTCTACCAAGACTGACAAAGATAAGTAGAGCACAGACACAGATCACCAATATCAGAAGAAACGGCGTCACTACAGATCTCGAGGCCACTGAAAGAATTACAAGGCCTACTGTGAACAACTTCATACTCATAAATTCCTCTGCTTAGAAGAAATGGATCTATTCAAAAACCACAAACGATCAAAGCTCAACCCTGATGAAATATATAATCCAAATTATTCCTAACCACTAAAGAAATTGAACTAGTAAGGTAAACGTCCCCCCTTACTAAATACATCTCCCAGCCCAGCTAGTTTCACTGAAGAAGTCTACCAAACATTTTTAGAAGCATTAATACCAATTTTTTTTTTTTACAAAAATCTCTTCCAGAAAATAGAGGATGAAATATATCTCAGACTATTTTATAAGGCTAATATTACTCTTATACCAGAAATCAAAAACAGTAACCAAAAACATGATCTGTAAAAGGAAAAAAATGAGAAATTGGATTTCATCAACATTAAAAACATTAGCCCTGGGAACAACTGTTACTGAGGATGAAAAGATAAACTAAGGATGTATTTCAGACCACACATCCAACAAAGGGCTGTATCTAGAATATGTGAAAGACCTCCAAAATCCAACAGTAAAAAAAATCTAATAATCCAGTTAGAATTTGGGCAAAAGACACGAACATGTATTCACTAAAGAAGACAGATAGATGATACACAGATGAAAAGGGGTTCAGTGTCATTAGCCTAACTTAAACCAAAATAAGATACCGCTGTCCATCTATTAGAGTGGCTAAAATAAGCAGTGGTGACACCAAGTGCTGGTCCTCACCAAGGTCCTCAACAAGAGCACTCATTTGTGGTGGTAGGAATATACAGCTACTTGGGGAGAGTTTGGCAATCTCTTAAACATGCAATTACCAAATGACCGAGCAATTGTCCTTCTGGCCATTTATCCCAGGAAAGTGAACACTTTTGTCAACACAGAAACTTCTATTTGACTATATATTGCAGCTTCATTTGTGATAGTCCCAAACTGGAAACCATGTCCTTCAGTGGGTGAATGGTTAAACAATGTTTGGTATTCCATATCAGGGGATACCACTCAGCAGTAAAAAGGAACAATCCATGGAAACACAGCCACATGGGCGAATTTCCAGAGGATTATGCTGAGTGAAAAGAGCCAATGTTAAAAGACTGCACACTGTATGATTCCATTTATATAATGTTTTGATATGAAAAATTATAGAAGTGGAGCACACATTAGTGATTGGCAGAGGTTAGGTTAGAGACAGGGCTGAGATGGGGAGGACGGAAGAGAGAGTAATTGTAAAAGGGCAGTTTGGGGGATCCTTGTGGTCACAGAACTGTGTCCTGACTGTGATGTGGCTCTCCTTAATGTTTGTCACGTGAGAAAATTGCATAGAACCAAACACAAACACACACAGATGAATGCCAGTAGAACTGGGGGCATCTTTTTATTTTATTATTCATATGTGCATACAATGCTTGGGTCATTTCTCCCCCCTTCCCCCACCCCCCTCCCTCTCCCCCCCACCCCCTCGCTACCGGGCAGAAACTATTTTGCCCTTATCTCTAATTTTGTTGAAGAGAGAGTATAAGCAATAATAGGAAGGAACAAGGGTTTTTGCTGGTTGAGATAAGGATAGCTATACAGGGCATTGACTCACATTGATTTCCTGTGCGTGGGTGTTACCTTCTAGGTTAATTCTTCTCGATCTCACCTTTTCTCTAGTTCCTGGTCCCCTTCTCCTATTGGCCTCAGTTGCTTTTAAGGTATCTGCTTTAGTTTCTCTGCGTTGAGGGCAACAAATGCTAGCTAGTTTTTTAGGTGTCTTACCTATCCTTACCCCTCCCTTGTGTGCTCTCGCTTTATCATGTGATCAGAATCCAATCCTGGGGACATCTTAGTAAGATTTGTGGATTGAGCCAGGCACTGGTGACTCATGCCTGTTATCCTAGCTACTTGGAAGGTAGAGATCAGGAGGATCACGGTTCGAAGCCAGCTCTAGGTAAGTGGTTCTCAAGACCCTATCTCAAAAAAACCTATCACACAAAAAAAAATCTGGTGTAGTGGCTCAATTGGTAAGGGCGCCTACCTAGCAAAAGTGAGGCCCTGAGTTCAAACCCCAGTGATGCAAAAAAAAAAAAAAAAAAAAAGACTTGTGAATTTTATCCCTGGTAAAATCCTGATTGTGATACTAAACTAGAGTGTCTCCAGATGTTACTGTTGGGGGCGGGGAGGTACCCGGAATCTCTTAATGCTGGTTCTTACAACTGCGTGTGTGTCTATAATTATCTCAGAGTATAAAGCTTAAATGAAAACAAGGGCAAAGTGTAAAGGGGAACACTGGAGGGACTGGGAAGAGGGAGGAGAGAGATGAGGGACAAAGCGTTGCATCGTTAGGCCCCGGCCTTACGCTACACGACAACTGTGATTTGCGTGGATCTGCGTACTCCCCATCCCCAGCCACCTCCTCAAGTAACATTGCACCCCAGCACTTGCTACCCAGGCCTTCGGATTCCAAATGTACCGCTCCTTCACTCTGCCTGTCCTATTTTTTTGTGAATAAACTGGGCAGGGAGAAGGGAGCCATCATGAAGAGAACTGTGTCATCCTACAGTAATCAGTACTGCTCAGAAGAGTGTGTTCCGCCCAGGCCTCTACCGATCAATTTTAACCTCGGTATTCCAGAAGCCGTCAGTCAGAGAATTGAGCTGGGCACAACTCCCTTTCCTATACCCGCACACACTAAAGGAAAAACCAAGACCAGGAAATTTTAAAAGATAAAATATGCTAAAATACAGACATTCTATATCTTCTTTTTGACCCTACTGGGGTTTGAACTTGGTGGTGTTCTTATTAGACAGGCACTCTACCGCTTGAGCCACATCTCCAGCCCTTTTTGCTTTCCTTACTTTTCAGATAGGGTCTCAGGTTATTGCCCAGGATGACATTGGACCATGATCCTCCCACCTAGGCCTCCCACGTAGCTAAAATTACAGGTGTGAACCACTACTCCCAGCCTGTTAAGATACGGGGTCTTGCTAACTTTTTGCCTGGGCTGGCTTTGAACAGCAATCCTCCCAATCTCCACCTCCTGAGCAGTTAGTTTTGTTTTGTTTTGTTTTTGTTTTTGGCAGTGCTGGGGTTTGAACTCAGGGCTTCGCACTTGCTAGGCAGGCTCTTTGCCACTTAAGCCATTCTGCCAGCCCTCCCAAGCAGTTGGGATTACAGGCATGAGCCACCACAGCTGGCCAAAAATTCTAATATTTCCTAAACCTACTAGATTGTTCTGAATATCAGTGGGAGACCACCAACCTATTTCATTTTATGGGTTTTTTTATGTGAACTAATAATTTTGCATAAAGCTCATGTGTATTTAAAATTACATTTTTTTATTTTTCAGTGTTAAAATCCATGACTTAGTCGAATTAAAAGACATGTATGCTATAATCAACCTGGATGATGAAAATAAAGGTATTGATTTTGCTGAAATCAATTGACATTTTGTCACTGCAATCACAGAGAGTAATCTTGTGTTTGTTATTGTGTGATTTATATTCACTATAGGAGGAATAAAATTAATACCTCTCCCTAAAGTTCCCTAAAATACTCTCCTTATTTTGGTAATTATGTTAAGTTGAACTACTTGACTGAAGGTTCTAAGTACCCTCTGATCCACAGATTTCCAGTGAATTTTATCCTGATCCCACTTGTAAAATGGACATACGTTTTCTCTTTGAGCCATATTAGATGGGTCAGTGTTCATACTCTGGCAATCCATGGTGAATTTCCTACTCTTTAAACAAATAGAGGACGCCAGAGGTTCACCCTGTGATCCTTGCTACTCGGGAGGCAGAGATCAGGAGGATCGCAGTTCGAAGCCAGCCCAACAAATAGTTTGGGATACCCTATCTTGATATCTAACACAAAACAGGGCTGGCAAAATGGCTTAAGTGGTAGAGCGCCTGCCTAGCAAGCATGAGGCCCTGGGTTTAAACTCCACTAGTGCCAAAAAAAAAAAAGAACAAGTAGAGAAAATATTTGAAGATTTTTAAGCCTCTGGTAACCCAAATGAAAATACTGACTTGCTTGCCTAAAACAATCTACCATTTTTGAATGATCATTTATTTGTGAATTATTTCAGGGTTGGGTATCTTGTCCTGGACAGACGATGGCCAGTTGCTGGCACTGTCTACACAGAGGGGCTCCCTCCATGTCTTCCTGACCAAGCTGCCCATCCTAGGAGACACATGTGGCACCAGGATTGCATACCTCACCTCCCTCCTCGAGGTCACTGTGGCCAACATCATCGAAGGAGTATGAACATGGTGTTCTTTTATTTTTTAAATAAAAATCAAAACAGAGTTAGTGGTTGGTTTACTAATCATTGCTTTCCTCTATCACAGGAGACACCAGTCACAGTCTCTGTTGATGTGGAGCCCACTTTCGTGGCAGTCGGCCTTTATCATCTGGCTGTAGGAATGAATAATCGAGCTTGGTTCTATATCTTTGGAGAGAGTTGCAAGTCTAAATCCATTCCTGGTATTTTTATCTAGCACATAATTTCTGCCATGCTGCTTATTTGGGAAGCACTAGAAGTTTCTTTATAGAACACGTCTTCTACTCATTTTTGTTCACCTTTCTCAGCTTAAATGGCTTCGTGTCTCAAAACTTTTACATAATTTTTTGAAAGAGTTTCTTCTTCACCTTTATAGTGAAGACAGCTGGTCTAGAGGGTGGAGTAGGAGCTTTAGAATTAGGGAAGCCCTGGGTTCAAGTTCCCCTTCTGCCTCTAAGCTAAGCGACTGAAGCCTACTCACTTTTCCCCTGTGAGCTTGGTCTACTGATCTGGAAAATGAAGTTACTTTTCCTTTGTAAGGGATCATGAAACAGATGTGAGATTAAACATGTGATCTCACTTTGCACGCGGCTTTAAGACAGCCTCAGCCTGACAGGTGCTTAACCAATACACTCCTTCCTTCCTTCCTTCCCCGTCCTGTTCTCTGAGTGGTGGTCCTTCCTCTCCACTCCTTTTCCCTACTCTGGGTGCTGACAATCCCCTCAGGAACAGAGAAAACCTTAGAAGTAACCCGTTGGATAGAAAACTCCATTAAGTTTCTTAATCTGCTATGGTTGAGTTTATTTTGTGATTTTCTTTTCTATTCTCTTGCTTCATGTGAACCATTATGGAATTCCTGAGGGTAAATTTATATGGCAACTAAGAGTTTCTCTAGAATGGCTAAAATAAGATTTTAAGTTCAGAAGATACTTGCAAATCATTACTTGCAAATATTCATATAAGATAGTTTTACCTGTATTTTAATGTGTTTATTTTTTTTAATTGCTATAGGTGTAAGAAAATTAAAAGATATGGAATACCTGGGAACAGTAGCCAGCATTTGCCTTCACGCTGAATATGCTGCTGCCCTTTTTGAAGGCAAAGTCCAGTTACATTTGGTATGTATAGCTGACGTCCTGGGAGCCTACTCAGTTAAGTGCCAGTGACAAACAGCCTAATGTCTCATTATGGAGAACCTTGGTCAGAAAGCAAGTTATGTACAGACTAGCTAGAAAGCCAGGTGTGGGTGACAGATGAGCAACACTCTGCCCGTTCTCTATGAGATGTTCAGTTGGCTTTTTGGCTGCATTTCCCCCAGAAACCCAATAAATGTCAACAGTGTTATTCACAACATTAACTATAATGAAAACAACCCAGCTGGCTCCTTGCGGTACTGGGGATTGAACCCAGGGTCCTGCACTTGCTGGGTAGGTGCTCTACCACTTGAGCCAAAGCTCATTAATTACATCTTGACATTGCCAAAAATGAACCCTAAGAACCTGAGGGGAATCCCATACCTTTGGACTCCCTAGAATGCATTGATCTTACATTTGATTATGTCACATGGGGAGACCCTTAAAACTAAGCCAATGGAGTTGTTCAAAAGGTACTGGCACCTGGAAGGACAGGGCTTCTAGTCCAGAGCACCTCCATGTCTATTTCTTGACTCTTCACGTGTGGGAAGCCAAAGAGTTCAGCAGCTAGACAGCTGCAGAGCTAGCTGCACAGGCATTCCACTAAGGAAGAACCCCAAATGCTGCCCTGCTGCCAGCTGCCATTCCCTCAGATATTTTTCCAAGTAAACTGACCTCTAGTGGTCTTTATAGTGTGACTGTGTAGTTGAACTTGAGAAAAAGACACCTTTCCCCAGATGTGCACCAGGATTATTCAAATAAGTGCATGAGCCACTGTTGTTTACATTTTAGATAGAAAATGACCTCTTGAACGCTCAAGAGGAACGGGAGACCCGGCTCTTCCCAGCAGTGGATGATAAGTACCGGATTTTATGTCACGCCTTAACTGGGGATTTCCTCATCTATGGCACAGACGTGCGTATTCTCTCGTTCCACAGAGACCTTCATCAAATTCCTTTCCTCCTAGCTAAATTGAATCCAGTACAACGAAGGAAGTTATGTGATTCATTTTTTACTTATGTAGAACATAGGTGGCATGATGTGTTAAATGTATATACCTCACACATGCAGCCAGTTAACTTTAAACATGACACACAGCTCTAATAACCTCTAATGAGCATGTCTGCTAATTCTGATATGTGTGTCAGTTTTGATTAGTCCTTTTTCTCATTATGGGGCATGTTTTCCTGTAATTTTATCTGGTAAAAAACCTGGGTGTAGACTGGTGGAAGCACAAGACCCTGAGTTCAAAGCCCAGTACCACAAAAAAAAAAACTTTCAGATTTTCAGATTAGGGTTGTTCTGTTGTATTTTTTTATATTTTGGTGTATGCATGTTCACTGCTAATACATAGAAATACAATTGAGGGCTGGTGGAGTGACTTATCTATTAATAGTAAAAAAAAACTTGAAATAGTATGGTTTGAAAGTTTCTCATAAACAATAAGGCTATTTATAGCAAGTAGGAAATCTACAAATCAATTATGATTTCATATAATTCATAATAAAAATATTAGAAGTAATAAACTGTTAATTGCTTCTGCATGTTTTCTTGGGTCTGTATGCATCCTAGATATTATTCTCAGACTCTTCCTTCATCAAAAATAATAACATTTTCCTCTTAAAATTAGGAAGTGTGTTTAACATAAATGCTACAAGTCAGTATTTCTTTGACTATATCTAATACTTACATGACTGGATATTTTTCTTTTTAGACCGGTGTCATACAGTATTTCCACATTGAAGACTGGCAATTCATTAATGATTACCGACATCCTGTCAGTGTGAAAAAGATTTTTCCCGATCCAAATGGGACCAGATTAGTTTTCATTGATGAAAAAAGTGATGGATTTGTTTACTGTCCAGTAAGTCTAGAAGATTTCAAAATGCTTAATTTTTTTTAATGCAATAAAAGAAGAAAGTGTTTTTAGTTAGGTGCTCTAATACTTGAGTCACACCTCCAGCAGGAAAGTGTTTGTAAAGTATACACAATGCCAAGGATTGTAGGACTTTTACATCATCTTTGTAGTATCATGTTTGTGAACAATGACAAGAAAACTTTTTCCATTATTCTGTAATTTTTCATGGTACCAGTAAGATTTTGTTTTTAAAACAGTGTCTCGCTATGTAACCCAGGATGGACTTGAATTCATGATGCTCCTGCCTCAGCCTCCCAAGTGCTGGGATTACAGGCATGTGCTACCATGCCTAGCTCCAGACAGATTTTTAATGGAAAACATAGTTACTGTATTCTTTGCTACTTTTAAACGTATCATATCCTGCACACTACAGTGTATCTTTCTGTACTACATGACCTTTCTCTTTAGATACACAAGGAAACTTTTTCACAGGGCCGGAGTTACAACTTGTCCTTTCTGCCCACCTTATTTGGCTCTCCTCATTCCTTAAAGATCTTGAAGTCAGGCATGGTGGTTCATGCCTGTAATCCCAGCTACTCAGGAGGCTGAAGTAAGAGGATTGTGGTCTGAGGCCAGCTCAGACAAAGTTAGCAGGAGACTCTATTTGAAAGAAAAGAAAGGGAGGAGAGAGAGTGAGGAGGGGGAGGGAAGAAGATTAACTAAAAGTGGCTCTCACCTGTAGTCCTAACTACTTGGGAGACTGAGATCAGGAAGATTGAGGTTTGAGGCCAGCCTGGGCAAATAGTTCACATGATCCCATCTCCAAAGTAACCAGGGCAAAATGAACTGAAGGTGTGGCTCAAGCAGTAGAGTGCCTGCTTTGTAAATGCAAAGCCCTGAGGTCAAACCCCAGTTCCACCAAGAAACAAACTAAAAGTGAAAGGACCAAGGGCGTGGTTCAAGGGTCAGTTGGTAGAACACCAAGTGTGAGCCCTGAGTTCAGTCTCCAGTACCAAAAAGAAAAGATTTTGAGCATGAGGAAGAGTTGTTTGTTATTAGATGAGTAAAACTAGGTGGAGCCATTTTAAAAGTCAGTTACCCCAAGTTTAAATATCCTTAACTTTTTTGAAGATGGATTTAGAAAAGGAAGTGCTATGCTGTGGCATAGCACTACTTGGATTTTTCAGTCACCTGATAGCCAGTTCATGGTGTAAGTTGTCACAGTGCACAGAGCCTACAGCTGCTCTGAGCCCTGTGCTTAACAGCTGCTCCCTGGTCTGGATTTTGCTCTAGTGTTGTTCCCTCGATGAAGACAGCCTTCCCCTGTTCCTCTGCCACTGCATTTTCCTTGGTACAAAGACCTCCTGCCTCCCTCCTGCCCCCTTTCTTCCTTTCCTTTCCTTCTTTCTCTTCCTTTTTTCTTTTCTTGTTCTTTCTTTTTTTCCTTCCTCCTACCTTCCCTCACCCTTCCTCCTTTCCTTTCCTCTCCCCTCTCCTTTCCTTTTTTTCTCCTTTCACAACATGACAAGCTTCTGTATGAGTGCATAGACTGTTCACACCAGGTCCCCATCCTGCTAGCTCTTCCCTATCCTGGTCCTCTCCAAATCGAAGAATGTGAAGACTGGCTGGGCTCCTCTATGGCATGTGAATTCAGTCTCACCCAGGTTTTCCCTGTGTAAACCAGTCCTGAGTGGGGCTGCCTCCTTGCCCGCTTCTGGTGGGGGTCATCTTGGGAAGAAGCTGCTGCTGAGACAGGATGGAGGGAGGTAGGAGGGAGAATCAGGTAGCATCAGGAGTGAAGGTCAGACCTGGGCTACAGCTGCTCATGGGAGGGTAGGAGCAGCCCTGGACATGGATCCCACTCCTTCACCATGCACAGTTTTGTTTTGCTGGATAATTGTCATGAAAGGGCTCTGGTTTGATTAATTCTCAGTGTCCTTATCATTCTAAAATGGTGACAGTTCTCACGCATTCTCCGTGAGGTCACTGGATGAAAATTAATGGGGCCCTGTAGGTAAGCTTTTAGTATAATGTTTGCCACATAAGAGCTCAGCAAATGGTTATCTTAAAACAAAAATTCTGACACCAGCCCAGTGACATTGGTGTGCTCCTCCACACAGTCAGTGTGACATGGTGGCTGGAAGCCTAGATTCAAGCTAGGCTGCCTGGGTTCACGGTCTGGCTCTTCAGCTGCTGGCTGTGTGACTTTGGGCCACTTTCTTCTGACTCAGAGTCTTCATCTGAAAACTGTGATCGTTAATAGTCCCCATCTTCTAGAATACAAAGTTAGAATTCAGTGAGCCTTTGTGTGCATACGTATCCAGATTTTTAAGTAATTAGTACTTTGTCCAATACGAATATAATGTGAACCACACCTGTAATTTTAAATTTTCTACCAGTCACTTTTTCTCTGATGATGTTCTGTGGAAAGTTTTACCATTGATAAATTTGAATTATTTTTGTCTATAACACATTTTACTTTCTATATTTTCTTGGGAAAAATTGTATATATACTATATACACTAAATCAAGACCAGCACTCTCCTGAGTTAATTGAAGTAATTAACATGTGGATGTAGCTGGAAATTTTGTTGTCTTTCTTTTGCATCATTTTTTCCTGATTTGACTAGGTCATTTACAGTGGTGTCCAATTTTTATGAATTTCTGTAAAAAATAAAAGAAAATCATTCTTTGGAAAAAAATTTCTACCAGTCAAAAGTGGAAATTTAAAAATGAAATTAATTTTCATATAGTCAATTTAACCCAGTACTACATTTAAATATATAACAGTATGTAAATTATTGAGCAGCTACATCTCTCTTGCTCTTTGAGATCTAATGTGGCTTGTTTGGGTTAGGTAGTTTATTTCAGTGCTGGGTAACCGTAGGGGACAATGCAATAGAGACTGCACAGCACAGCTCTGCAGTATTATCTGCAGAGATTTTGTATCTCATTTGTATTGTGAGAGCAAGAGACAGTAGGAAGCATACAGACGTCTCAGTTCTCCATTTCGGACCGTTAACTCTGCATAAGTTCAGAGGAATTGTAGGGATTTTATGTTGTTTACGTTGGTTGGGATTCATTCCTGAGAAGTTTCTTGAGCCAGGCATGGTGATGCAAGCCTGTAATCCCAGTAGCATTCAGTAGGCTGGAGGATTGTGAGTTTGAGATTAGCCTGGGCTACATAGCAATACCCTATCTCAAAAAAGAAAAGAAAAAAAAAAGGACTATGAGTATAGCTCAAGTTGTAGAGCACCTAGCATGAGGCCCTGAGTTCAAACTTCAGTGCTTCCAAAACAAAAGTTCTTGAAATAAAACATTTCTTGTGTAATTTTATTTAAATTTGAAATTATACACGAGTAAATTTCTGTTTCCTATACTAGGCGTGGTAGTGCATGCCTGTAATCCCAGCAGTAATCCTTGGAAGACCAAGGCAGGAGGACAGAAAGTTCAAGGCCAGCCTGAGCCACATAGCAAGCCCCTGTCTCAAAGAAAGAAAATTAAAAAAAAAAAAAAAAGTGCCTAAACACAAGTGTGTCCACAGTTTAAATTTCTGCCATCTTGAGCCGCTTCAAGCTTTCATTCGTATTCTTAACCTGGAGCCATTGTGTCTAGACTTGCAGTTTGTCCAATAAATTCACCAAATTTTAGATCACACCTTGATTTGCCAAACAGCTCCAGTTGTTTCCAAGCCAGATGTAGTACCGAAATAGGAAGAGATAGTCCTTTGTGCGGTTACAGAGATGTAGGGTTGGGTGGGAGTTGGGAAGCGGTGCCCACCGAGGCACAGACAACAAGCCTGTGGGAATGACCATGGTCTGCAGATGGAGACAAGTCTGTAAATCTTATTTCGTAGGTTAACGATGCCACCTATGAGATTCCAGACTTGTCACCAACTATTAAAGGTGTCCTTTGGGAAAACTGGCCGATGAATAAAGGTGTATTTATTGCCTATGATGATGATAAGGTATACACTTACATCTTTCACAAGGACACAATACAAGGTACTGGATCACTCTTTTGTACATCTATTGATAAATAAATTTCCACTGCAATGAAATTAAAACCTTCCTTTCGGATGTTTGTACCAAGTGCAAGCTTTGAGTATTAAGAGGTCTGCTTTGTCGTACAGGATCCAAGGTTGTCTTGGCTGGTGGCACCAAGCTTCCCTTCTCGCATAAACCTTTGCTGTTCTACAATGGAGAACTGACCTGCCAGACTCAGAGTGGGAAAATAAACAACATCTATCTCAGCACCCACAGCTTCCTCTGCAACTTGAAAGAAGCGCAGCCTGCTGACCTGCAACAGATGCTGGCACAGACTCTCCTGCTCAAAAGGTAGGGTGCACACGCTTCTTTGAAGCTGCTTGTTTGCATTTGTGATTGTCAAGGTCAAATCCTACTCAACAGATGTGGAAACAGTGCCTGCTTTGGTCATCTCACAGTTCTGTAAGAAAGCTTAGACAAAATAATGGACATGAAAATGTGTGCCCATTGTTGGGTGTGTGTCTGTTGTCTAGTGTGACTGTTTTAAGTGCTTTATTACAGAAAAAGCCCTTCAGAGCAAACAGGTTTCTAGGCACCCAAATAGCCCAATTGTAAAGTTCTAATCAGTCTAATTATTTCAACAGTATCTTGATTTCATCATAGTTTGATTTTTTTTTTCCTTGCTTGAGATTTCCTTTTTCATGGTCTTTTTTTCTCTTCCTCTAAGGGCCTCCTGTGAATTCCTGTGAGGTTCTGATTCTTCTGACCATCCCTTTAATTGGTGCTGTTCCTCATGGTCCCTGAGCTCCCTCCTCTTCTCACTCAAATTCCTCCTGAGTGAATCTCCTTGACTTACAAGGCTTTAGTATCATCCATATTGACTGACTCCATGGCAGGCACTTTTACCACTTGAGCTACTCCACCAGCCCTTGACTGACTCCAGAAACTCTTTTCAGGGCTGAGATGGAGGGGTAGCTCAGTGGTAGAGTGTTTGCCTGTGTTGCATTGGCCCAAGGTTCTATGCCTTGCCCTGCTAAAAATGATTGAATGGGTGGATGAATAAAAACTATCTTCAACTTAAATGTGTATTTACAGCTGTCCACCAGTCACAGGTGCTTGTGAGGCAGGAAGAGGTTAGGGAAAGGTCTGGACTCTTAAAACTATAGCTTAATTTAGAGCATCTCAAGTTAGGCCCCTCCCTTACTCACTCCCTGTGAACAGAGGACTCTTTTTCAATCACAAATCTATTGTTAAGCTAGAAAGAGTGGAAATTTCCTCGCACATGGACTTAGGGGACCTGAAAATTAGCATAAGTGTATGCACAAGCCCACCCAGGTTCAGTATAAAAAAGGTCTTTAAACAAAAATCTATCTTCCTACATGTAGCTCCTCCATTCCACCTGGCAGAGAACAACACCTACCTACCTAAACTCCGTTATTTCCTTTATTACATCTACACGTCTGCTTGGACTCTTCCACGCCAGAATACAAGAACTAGAAATCTGCTGATCGGAATTCTCAACAACTTCAGTTGTTCAGTTGAAGTCCATGGGTTCCTCAAATTTGCTATGCCTAAAACTAAACCATTACTCATTGTCTTCCCAGTCCTCTGTTTTCTTCTATCTATCACACATGCCTTTGCACATTCTCTTTCTTTTTCTCTCTCTCTTAATCTCTCTCTCATCCTTTGCTCCTCCTGCTTTCCTTTTTCTTCTCTTAGTCCCTCACTTGGAGCATTACAGCAGTGTATAATGTAACCACTTCCTGACCTCTTTCTACTGATAGCCTCATGACAATCTATTCTGTGCTCTACACAGTTTTGCAAATGTCAATCTGATCCTCTAATTCCTCTGCTCAAGATCTTTCAGTAACTTCCTATTGTTCTTAGGAAAAAAATCCAAACTCCTCAGGACCTGGGCACAATGCACTAGGCACTTGATAATTTAAAACCAGCCTCAGCTGTCCCCACTCAACCCCCTCTCTCTTCTGCTGGCTGCTTGAATTGTGTACTTTTCAGGGATCTTCCTGCAATGCCCCACCCAATCCCTAAAGGTAGTAACTAACTCCCCATTCTTCTCCTTCAGTAGCATCATCTCCTGCTCCAGAAAGCCTCCCCTGACTTCCCCCACCACTGGCAGTCCCACGTGGGGTCTTTCTGATATGTTGACTCAGGTCAGGATGAAGTGTCCTCAGCAGCTTAGAGCACTTTACGATTCACCTCTGTGTGGCACGGGCTAGGCTTTTAAGGTTTCTAAGCCTGACTTCCTCATCTATAAATGGAAAATAATAATAATAATACTTGGTGGATACAGTTATTAGGGTGATTTGTATAGCACAAAGATAGACATATTGTCAGCCCTCAGTTACCTCTGTCACACTGAGTCATTTGTTCACTTGCCTACCTCTTCCACCTTCCCCAGCTACACCTGCCCTGAGAACAGTGACTGTGTGAGATCTTGTCTCTTGGTTGGATGGAAAGATGGAAGTGCAGACAGATGGACAAGTAGATAGCTGTAGTAGATGGATGAGTCAGTTGATGCACGGGTTTTGGGAAAGGTTAAATTGGCATTTAAGCTCATGTTATAACCAGAGGTCAGCAACCTTTTTCTGCTATAGGCCAAATGATAAATATTTCAGGCTTTATGGGCCGAAAGTCTCTGTCACAACTCCTCAAGCTGGCACCTGTGTCACAGAAGAGTCCAGAGACCGTCCATACATGGGCAGTTGACTAGTAGTTGTATTTGACTCAGACTTTACAAGAAACAGGCAGCAGACTGGATTGATCCCACAGGTCACAGTTTGCTGACCTCTGTTTTAAACTTCTAAATTTATAAAAAATGTAAGAGTACTGGTTTTATCAGACTTACATGAGAACAACATTTGTGAACAAAAAAATAGAATTAGTTTAGTTATTAAAGGGTGGGGGAGTTGGTTATAAAGTATAGACTCGAATTAATAAAAGAAATCCAAGAAAAAACATTTACCTGTACAAAAAAAAAGGAGAGTTTCTTTTTTTCATCACTTGCAAGTGATAATTAGACGTTATAAGATGTTTTGAAAAATTCATCTAGCACATAATATTAGGTTGTGTGTAGCCTAAAAGTTGCCTGGCCGGTGGCATGTAGAGCTCTGTAACCAAGCCTGTGCTCAATGCCAGGTTTCCTGACGCTTGGGAAATCTGCAAGATCCTGAATGAGCACACTGCCTGGAATGAGTTGGCCAGAGCCTGTCTGCATCACATGGAGGTGGAGTTCGCCATCCGCGTCTACCGGACAATTGGGAATGTTGGAATAGTGATGTCCTTGGAGCAAATAAAGGTACTCAGCACTTGAGGAAAATTTTGAGATTAAGATTGAAATGCTGTTTATCCAGACATTTTAAATTTGTTTAATCTTAGCCTAATTCCTAAACAAAAAGGACATTTCCACTTCCTGCTGAGTAATATAAAGTTAAACCTTTACCTTTCTTCTTATCTAAACTGCTTTTATTTGTAGGGAATTGAGGACTACAGTCTCTTGGCAGGCCATCTTGCCATGTTTACCAATGATTTCAACCTGGCTCAGGACCTGTACCTGGCATCCAGCTGTCCCATGGCTGCCCTGGAGGTATGACAGCAATAGGGAAGCAAAGAGCAGTCCCCCTTTTGAATAGTTAAAACTCCTGTATACCAGACACTGCGTGCCTTCCCTGTCCTAAAATGTACACGTTTCAGCTTCAAGAACCCTTAAGTTCACTTCAAAAATACTTCCATTCTGCATTAGGTGGAGACATAAAAGGCACCATATTGTAACATTACTAAATAATGAAGTCTAAATGTGTCTGAAGAGAACTTGTGTCACTTACAAGAATGTATAAAAAGAAAAATAGCTTCCTTTTATTGATTGGACCCTTGTGCCAGCCACTTTTCTAATCACGTGACACATGTCAACCCGTTCAGCTCTCACAACAATCTTATGAGATAGTACTATTATTTTCTCTATTTTCCAGAAAGGAAAACTAAGGCACATTTATCTTTCATTTATGATAGGAAATTCTCTTGTGTAGTAAGAGTTGAGAGTTGCAGAGGAGGGACTAGAACAGAAAGAAGGACCAAGTTCAAGTTCAGAAGAGAAGGCCCGTGGCAATGCAGAATAGCAATTAAGAGCACAGAATGGAGAGTTGGACACATCTGGGCTCACATTCCAGCCCTGTGTAGCCTGGGACAAGTTATTTAACCTCTCTGAGCCCCAGTTCCTGTTTCTTTAAAGTACAGATAACAATATCTAGCCCCCAGGGTAGTTGTAAACACTTTTTAATGGGAATTCAGTCTTTTAGCACACAGTCTGATCAATAGACACAAATGGTAGTTACTGTAATTGTTAATGCTATTCACCTTAAACTAGCATTTCTATAAATACATATAGGGTTGTTTTTAAAATATAATTCTGCAGTTTTTTTTGTTTGGGGATAAAACCCAGGACCTTGTACATGTTGGCAGATACTCTACCACTAAGATATGTCCCCAGCCCTAATTTTCATTTTCATTTTACATTTTTTTCATTTACATTTTTATGGCAAATTTTCATTGTAAATAAACTAAGTTTTAAAATTTTGAGATAATTTTAGCCTTATTTTAAATTATTGGGGACACCCTTAGAAATCTTTAAAATGTGGATTGGTGCTCACCAAATAGGGCTATCACTGTGATGAGGGTAGGCAAAGATGTCATCCTGCTCTTCTGCATTTCCCTGAGGACACTTGTCCTTCTCACTAACTTTGTAAAGGATTTGAGGGGATGGCTTCAGAATGGAAAGGAATAATTGCACTCCATCATTCCTTCAACCTCACTTGGAAGGATAAATTAGCCAGGTAAAGAGAGCCCTGCACTGTCTTGTTCTCGCCCTAGCCTCTCTTTGCCTCAGTTTCTGGATCTCCAAAATGGGTACAAGAAAAGTTCATTGTAAAAGGGTAGTTGTGAAAAGTAAAATAAGCTAGTACCCTATACCAGTACATGGTATACATGTACTTGTATACAAGTAACAGCACTTGGAAAATGTTAGCTGTTACTAATTCTTGACAAAGTATAAATATGATGAGATAATGAACTTTAAAAATTCTTTAATAATTAGCTTACATTTGGAGTTGTGTCCCAGGTACTGGAAGAAATAGCCAGGAAGAAAGATACCTTCAATTTTATAAATGCTTTCTGTTATTCATGTTGCAATATCACTTCAAAATGTCTAAGAAAAACAGATCAATTCCTGTAATAAAGTGTTTCCCAACCCTTTATTTATTATTGTCTCTCTAAGATGAAATTTTAATTTATTATATTAAATTTAATTTTTCCCTACTGACAAATATTAAATACTAAGGAACAAAATTTTGTTAAGCAAGACTGAGTTTTGACAGAGCCACAATTACACAAACTGTAATTGCTAAGATTTTGTTTCTGTTTTTTGCCCAATTTATGTATGGCTCTATCACAGCCATTGAGAAAGCATACCATAGTAGTGTATTACTATTGTAAGTAGCAAGTCTCATTATTTAAACAAGAAGTCTTTCCAACCACTTTTATTAAACCTGAAACTACATGGTGACTTTGTAAATAATAGTTTGCTCTGTTGAAATGAAGGTCTTTCTCTTCCTACCAGATGAGAAGGGATCTCCAGCACTGGGACAGTGCTCTACAGCTGGCCAAACGTCTGGCCCCAGACCAAATACCATTCATATCAAAAGAATATGCTATTCAGCTTGAGTTCACGTAAGTCTTTGCTTCCATAGGTTTCAGTTGGTAGCTTATTGCTGCATACCTCAGCTATAAGCTGCCATTCATTAGAAAACCATCCCTTGGTTTAATAATTGCTTTTTAGGAGCAAAAGCTATACTTTTTATACATCCAGAAGTGTTTTATCTAACTAGTGACTTCTTTTTCCAGCACTGGGGTTTGAACTCAGGGACTCACACTAGCTAGGCAGGTGCTTTCCCAGTTGAGCCACTCTGCCAGTCCAGCAAGTGATGTCTTCCCCTTATTTTGGCCACTTTTGTTTTCAGTCTCAAAACCCAAGTTTGGGATTTATCCTCTTCCACATTTAGAGTCTAAATATTGTTGAGAATCACATTTAGCCTTCAACAGGTGTGCATAACATGAGGTGACACACTGTGTTTTATGAACTGTGCTTACGAGTCTGACATCTTTTAACACTGAGGACTTGCAGTGACAGCTTGCTCTATGTCTCAGTCCATTTGTGCTGCTGTAACAGAATACTTGAGACCCAGTGACTTACAAAAAACAGAAACTTCTCACTGTTCTGGAGGCTGGGAAATCCAATAGCAAGGCTCAGCATGCAGGTAAGGACCACGTTACTGCCTCCTTACCCAGCAGGAGCCATGCAAACAAGAGAGTGTGAGAGAGTGCTCCCTTCAGCCTGGAGCCCTCTCGTGATGCCCTGCTAACTTAGTCCCCCTTTAAAGTCCCGGCCTTCCTTTGCCACCACATTGGCAGTCAAGGTTCAACATATGTAGGGTGGGGGAGGAGATCTTCAAACCACAGCAGTCTGCCTCTTCTATTTCCTTAAAATTACAGCTTTTTTATTTTTTAAATTGAATTGGTATGGATGAAAATTAATGGTAAACGTCAAGGCAGAAGCTTTTCGTGGGAGGATAGTCACTGCTCAAGTAATAATCCTTCATGGTGTGTGAATAGGCGTCAGAATCTCTACTATCTTTAGAAATTGCATAGTCTTTTCAGAGAAATTTAGGACTTTCTAGTACTAGGCCACCATAGCTGTCAATATGCTTAATTGACTTTGTAGGAACTATATAGAACTATATAGAAAAAATAGTTCTAACATTTGACTTTAAAAGAAAACGAGACACTTTTATGGGCTGAAGGTGTAGCTCAACTGGTAGAGTGCCTGCTTTGCAATTGTGAAGCCCTGAGTTTAGACCCTAGTCCCACCAAAAAAACAAAACTGAAATACTTTTACATAGTCTCACTTTATTTTCATACAGACTGTGCATAAATTGAAGATATTTCATTATCTTTTTTTTTCATTAATTTTATTGTAGAAATTAATTTATCAAAAATTACTCTTTCATTTTAAATTTTCTGTTCTGCAGATATTGGGGATGTTATTTCTTCTTAATCAGTCATGATTTAAATTTGCCACATTAAAAAGTAAATCTAGGGACTGGGGTATAGCTTATTAATAGAGTACTTGCTTAGTTTGTGTGAAGCCCTGGGTTGATCCTCAGCACCATCCCTCCCAAAAAATATATAAAAATGTACATATGAGCTGGATATGAGGCTCACACCTGTAATCCCAGCATTCAGGAGATGGAGATCTGGAAGATAATGGTTTGATGCCAGCCAAGGCAAAAAATTAGTGAAATCCCATTTCAACCAAGAGCTGGGTATGGTGCTGTGTGCCTGCCATCCCAGCTACACAGGAAGCATAAAAAGAGGATCACTGTCCAGGCCAGCCCAGACAAGAACAAGAGACCCTATCCTAAAAATACTAAAGCAAAAATGGCTACAGGCATGGCTCAAGTGATAGAGCACCTTCCTAAAAAGCATGAGGCCCTGAGTTCAAAACCAGGTACCACACACACACACACACACACACACACATACATATAAAAAAGGACATGTTAGAATGTAAGTACATAACACAAGAGACCACAGAGCTATGGCCCTCCATCTCATCCTGAGGATGACTGTGTCAGAGAGAAAAGATGACACACCATATCCTGTCAGAGCACAAATAACCCTGTAAGCCCTCTGACCACCCAAAAAACTTGGATTCATGCTTCCTTCAAGGAAATTAGGGTTTCTGTAGTAGTCTTTCACACGTTGTCTCACTGTGGTCCCCTGAACTGAGGTCAGTTGGAAGCCTGGCTTTGTTGATGGAGGTGGAAGTGGGAGTGGTTGAAGTTGCTTTACCCCTCCTGCTTGATGATTGACCACAAAGTCAGGGATTCCCAAAGGTTTTACTGCTGTTAGTGTGGAGACCCTTTGCCCCTGACCTAACAATCCCAAGAGTTTCCTTTGGGATAATAGTGACTAACCTAAGTAGATCTTACCATCAAAGTAGCCCAGAAACTGCCAAGGACTGACCTTGACGCCTAAGGTCCCAGGCCTGTACTCAGTTCCATGGTCTCCTCATTCGGTGTCCGAGACCTTGCTTAGGTTTAAGCAGGACAGTCCAGCAAGTCTGGAAGAGCAGGCTCCTGAGGAAGGAGCTGTCATCCTTCTTGTCAGGAGATGCCAAGCGGGTTGATGTAATTGAGTCCAAAGTAGGTATTTCCACTCAGGAAAATGCTGATTGTGAAGCTCTGGGCTGACAAATGACAGTTCTCAATCAGCAAAACTTCTCTTCTAAAAAATTCCTCGTTCATCAGTAGTTGAGGACCCAGAGTGAGGCTGAGACAGGTTGAATAACTTGCCTAAGCTGAGAGAGCACAGCCTGGGAAGATCCTCAGTACTGCTGTCTTCAGATGGCTAATTACAGTGGAGGGGATGGCTTCTCACAGGAAGGTGGATCTCATAAAAGGCCTTCAGCAAATCACTCTCCTAAATAATGAAGAAGAGTTGAGATGAATGCATCTGCTGGATATGATGATGTACGGTAGTTTCAATCCTGGGGTAGGAATTTATTAACGGTCATGTTCTCAATCTTAAATGTTCCCCAAATGCCAGGGTTTGACGACATGGTCCCCAACCTGTGGCACTACTGGGAGATGGTGGAACTTTTAGGTGATGGAGCCTAGTGAAAGGAAGTTAGGTCACTGGAGGGAGGGGGGGGTGTCCTGAAAGGGACGTTGCCAGCACGAGGTGGCAGCTTTGCTCCACAGTGTGCTCCCTGCCATGATCATCTGAGTCACCACAGGTGATGGCCAAGTGACCACAGACTGACACCTCTGAAACTGTGAGCCAAGACAAACGTCTCCTCCTCTGTTTACTTTCCTCGGTATTTTGTCACAGCAACAGAGTGCTAACACAATTATGTCATGTGCGATGCTTTACGTTAGAGTAAGAACCAAAGCCCTCAGGATCGCAACCCAGGGTGCGCCTAACAAACAGATAGCAGTCCAGACTCTGTACACATTCTTCGTATATGTATTGGGCATTTGGGAAAGAACACATTGCTGGCTATGTCATGGGATTATCATTTAGTGCCTTAAAGGAAATAATTAACCAAAAATGGACCATAAAATTTTCTGTGGTTTCCCAAAACTATCTAGCATATCACACAGTAAGTACCTTAAAGTGTAGCTAATCCAATTGAATGGTTTTTTTGGAGGCATGATCTCACTCTGTAGCCCAGGCTGGCTTTGAACTCACAATCCTCCTCCCTCAGCCTCCTGAATGTTGGGATTACAGGCATGTACCACCACCCAGCATTTAATATTTTTAAAACAGCAAAATGATGGGCTGCACTTTGAAAGATGCTTGCATCTATGCTGTGTATCACATCTCCTGTGAACCTGAGCAACATAGTGACAAAGATTCTTGTAAGTGGATAGATGTAAATAAGATACTTCAATATGAATTAAAACTCTCTATGATTTTTCTTTCAGGGGTGACTACGTTAATGCTTTGGCTCATTATGAGAAGGGAATTACAGGTAATAATAAGGTAACCTTGAATAAAGATGAGACATGCATAATCTTCCATGGATTTGTCTTTACTTTCATTTTTAAATCCTAGTCTCAATTGCATTGTATTTATTGAATATCTAGTAGGTAAGCCTACTTTTTCAATTTATTAAACAACTTTGCAAGAATATAGTTAAGTCATTTTAAAATACTTTGAACTCTGAAAACTGAAGATGCCAGTATTTTTGTCCATCTGAAAAAACATGTTTTCCGTTGCATCCTAAATACAAGCTTCAAATTAAGATTGGAAGCAAAATTTTTATCCGTCCCACTTACTTAAAATTCCGTAAAGAATGGATGAAAAATTATAGTACATCCAACAGTGTTTCTTCCATTAGATGTTCCTAAAAGTCTAAAACAGATCCACATGTACCGACTTGGAAAGACACTAGCCAGCAAAGTGCTGCTTTGCACAGAGGAGAGGCCAAGTTGATCTTTGCTCAATGAAGAGGGAAGGAATGATTTTAGTTTTTGTAAAAATCCCTATCACACACACATTCGCCGTAAGCCAACCATGATTTTCATAAGGCTTTGTTTTCACTCTTTTAAAAAGTTTTAATAGCCACTTTGAAAATGCATTCCATGAAAGTTAATGCTACCATTTCATCACTTACACTAAGTCTTTTAAGATGAGCCTGGAAAGCACACACCCACTGGCCACCTCTGCATTCTCTCATTCCAGAATTTTAGCTCAAGAGGCTCAATTTTGCAGTAAAAAGTGGTTGCAGTAAAAGTAGGTGTTCTTACATCTGGCATACCTGTGACAAAAGAAATGTAAGATGTCACATTCAGTTTTAAAAAGTGAGAAGTGAGAATCCAGTCATCATTCCTCCACCACACGCCAACTGACTTTGTATGTGGCCATCCAGAATCTCCGTGAGGTACACACATACATTCGTACTTTGAATCTTAACTGAATGTAGATTCATTCTGTTCCATTCCTTTAGCACAGATCATCCAGGGACCCACCTCCATGCACAGCAGCACTGTGCCCGCTCGTGCCTTTCCACGCCATCACAGATGACTCTGTTCTTATCTTTTAAGAGCGTCTGAGGCTCCACTGTTTGGATGTACCTCAATTTTCATTTACTACCTTATTAAATTACTCTGAGGATTTTTTCTGTCATCAAAAACTACTGCAAACATTACAATACGTATTTACCTAGTATGTACAATTTTAACTGCTGAAGATAGCATTTCTGAAGGATACATTCCGACTAGTAAGATTTCTAGGTTACAAAATGTGCCTTTAATTTTTGATTTTGCTAAATTGCTCCTGAAAATGAATTATAGTAATTCATATACTTAATGGTTATATATGATAGTGTCCCCATATTCTCAACAATACTGCATCATGAAATCAATTTGGTGAACAAATTAACTTATATGTTCATAACACATAGTTTTATTTTATGTGCTATTTGATTATTAGTGAGATTGAGCATATTTTTATTTAGTGGACATTTGTTTTTGTTATTTTTTTAATGAATTGCCCAACCATATCCTTTGTTCATTTATCTCTTGGGTTTTTGACATGTTCTTTGTTCGGCTCCATCCGTTTTAGTTAATTTGGCAGCATAGGAGTTTGAACTCAGGGCCTCATGCTTGCTAGGCAGGTGCTCTTCCCACTTGAGCCACTCCACCAGCCCTTTTTTGAGATGGGTTTTTTGAGATAGGGTCTCACAAACTATTTTCCTGTGCTGACTTCAAACCATGATCCTCCTGATCTCTGCCTCCTGAGTAGTTAGGATTATAGGCGTGAGCCACCAGCACCTGGCTGTTTTAGTTCATTCTTTATGTGTGCTGTCAAATACTGTAACCACTAGTCATATGTGACTATTTAAATTATTTAAAATAGGACTGGAGGCGTGGCTCAAGCAGTAGAGCACCTGCCTAGCAAGCCTAAAGCCCTGAGTTCAAACCCCAGAACCGTCATAAATAACTTGTTTAAAATTAAATAAAGCGAGGCGTGGTGGTGCACACCTATAATCCCAGCACTCAGAGGCTGAAGGAGGAGAATTACAAGTTTGAAACCAGCCTGAGCTACATAAAGAGACCCTGTCTCAAAAAAAAAAAAAATTAAGTAAAATTGAAAATCTAGTCCCTTTCTCACCAGCCATCTTACTTCTTATGTTAAATTTCATAGCAAGAAGACATACAAGGTATTCTCAAAAGAGTGGTTAAATTTTTCTTTTAAGTTTAGAAGATCTCCACCTCTGAAGAAAAGACTAGAACCTTGTGTTAGTTGGCTTTAAAAAAAAAAAAGCGAGACTATGGTACTTCAAAATTGTGAAACTTACCTCTTGAAAAAGGATAAACCATGCCATTTGGACTGGCAGAAACACGTCACATTGGGTCAGGGTTCCGGTTGTTAGCATCTGCCTTTTCACCGCAGGAGCACGATGACGTGTGCCTGGCCGGAGTGGCTCAGATGTCCCTCAGAATGGGAGACATACGCCGGGGGGCCAACCAAGCCCTCAAGCACCCCAGCAGAGCCCTCAAAAGAGACTGTGGATCCATCCTGGAGAGCATGAAGGTACTCGTCTCTGCATAAATATTCATGCGGTCTTATGCAAAACGAATTTAGGATCTTAATAATCCTTTATTATGTTAGCAATTTTCAGAAGCAGCCCAACTGTATGAAAAAGGCCTCTACTATGACAAAGCTGCATCTGTTTACATCCGCTGTAAGAACTGGTAAGGGCCAGCTACAGTTTGGTTCCAAGCGTGTTTGGAAGTGAATGTGTCTGGGGGCTCCCCTCTTGTCTCCTTGCCACTCTTCCTACCTGCCAGTCTGTTCCTCAGGTGGGCCCATCTTCCCTCTCTGTTTTTACTACTCAGAGGAGTTCAGATTAATAGCTGTTACCCAAAGAACAGCACCTTCTGCAAGTTTGGTATGGGAAAATCGCTAATTAGATAATTTATTAGGAAAATAATAACAAAAACCTCATTGTCCCAAAAGAGTTAATGAACTAACCTTATCTTCCCACTTTGAAAAGGAGTATCAGGAGAAAAAGGAATTAATCTATTTTTACCAATGAAGCCAATATTTTTTGAAAAATTGTAATAACTATTTTTTTAATATTAAACAACTAACATTTGGAGACCAGGCATGGTAGATCATGTATATAATCCCAACTACTTGGGGAGCAGAGATAGGAGGATCACAGTTCCAGACCAACCCAGGCAAAACTGCAAAATCTCATCTGAAAAACAAACTAAAGCAAAAAGGACTGTGGCATGACTCAAGTGGTAGAGCACTTGCCCAGCAAACATGAGGTTCTGAGTTAAAACCCTAGTACCACCAAAAGAGACAAAAACAACTAGCATCTTGTTGTAGGCAGCCACTTTAAGAGAAACAAGGTATTGATCTCATTCTCCTTGGATTTGCCTTTCTAGGGCAAAAGTTGGTGAGCTTCTGCCTCATGTCTCCTCTCCTAAGATCCACCTGCAGTATGCCAAAGCTAAAGAAGCAGATGGAAGGTCTGTACAATTTCTCACATTCCCACAAATTTAAACTAATGTAAGTTTCATAAATCAGCCATTGGTATGTACAACCCTATAAGAAAAGCAAAGGAGAAAACAGATAGCCTCTTTATATTCCCCTGACAGGGAACACATCTTCCTATACCACATATTCACATATAGACTACTGCCTCTTTTATTTAGCGTTAAATTCTGAAGATAGAAGTTTTGGTATAATATGGCATGAAAATGGAATTCAGTGGTTGTCATTTTTTTGAGGGTAACTAACGTAGGGATATAGAAGGAAAGAAAAGTAAATGAACGTGAACTCCACGTGGCTGCATGTTTAAGCCACAAAACTGAACTCAAGGAATAATGGGTAATTAATATCCTAAATGTACCAAGATCCTCTACAACTTAGTATAGTACAAAAACTCAACAGCACCAACTGGAAAAGACAAGACAGTAAATAATTCCAAAGGAGGAAGTATAGTTGTGAAATTGCTTTTCTGTAAACAAGAAAATGGCTCAGCTCATGAATAGTAACAAAAGCTTGCTATTTGTATTTGTATGTGAAAAGATTGTTTGAAACTAAGAACCAGACTCTCAAAATACACTTGTTATGTATGAATGTCTGCAGTCTTTGGAAATATCTATTAAGAGACTTTTAAAGGTTAGTAATACCCCCAACTTTTAGAATAGTAACCCTGGGAATAGATATATACACTAAATGTCTTCTTGAAAGGTACAGAGCTGGAGAGTTGTCCAAACCAAAGAGAAGTCCTGAGCGCCACCAGGAGGTTGTGCCACACCAAGATTTTATATATCACAAGCTTTTACCTTACTGTGAAAAATTCTGTATTCTCTATGTTTTCTAAAATAATTCTGCATTGCTATCGCAATTCTCATGCTCAAGAGGGAAAAAAAAAGTACCTGGGTGTGGTGGTGCACACCCGTAATCCTGGGCTGGCAGAAACTCCTGTTGAAGGCCAGCCTGAGCTACATGGTGAGACCCTGTGTTGAAAGAAAAAAACATAAAATGTAAAGAAATTTCTAACTTTGATTCAAATAAGGAAATATAATTCAATATTGATATTCTAGTGTTAGTTTATCAACCCCCCCCAAAAAAAGGACATATGTTAGTGGGAGAGTTCCTGCTATTTTTTCTGATGAAGGAAAAATAAGTTCAAGAAAAAAAACAAGCAGACACTGTCCATACAATAAAAAGATGTTCCAAACACTCATTGCCATTTTCCCCATAAATTCAGAGAGTTGAAAGTTTATCTGAACTAGGTATTTCCTACAGGTACAAAGAAGCCGTCATCGCTTATGAGAACGCAAAGCAATGGAACAGTGTGATCCGTATCTATCTGGACCACCTCAATAACCCCGAAAAGGCTGTCAGTGTTGTCAGAGAGACCCAGTCTCTGGATGGAGCCAAGATGGTAGCCAGGTGACAGTGCATTCGTCAAACTAACTTTGAAAAGCCCTACCTCCCCTCGTCAAACACACACATTCAAAAGGAATATTTATAGGTTTTTTTTTTTTTAATTAAGTCCAGGAGTTTTGATTCAAAGACTGACTGTGTGGTAAGTGTATGAGAGTATGTTTGTCAAGTATAAATGTGTAATGTAGAATTGCAGTATATAATTACCATTTATTTCTAAATAGTTTCTCCTGGTTGCAAAAAGCTTGTTTTATAGATCACAAACTTATTTTACACAGCAGTCAAGTTAACTAAAGTACTTCATCCTAGGTTTTTCCTGCAGCTTGGTGACTATGGGTCTGCCATCCAGTTTCTGGTCATGTCCAAATGTAACAATGAAGCTTTCACCCTGGCTCAGCAGCACAACAAAATGGAGATCTACGCAGACATCATTGGTAAGTGTCATTGTCTTCCCTACATCCTTTGAAGATTTTTATCATAAAAACACTTCAGCTGTTATGATGTAATGGTCAGATGAGCATGCACACAGAATACCCTTGTTGCAAATGTATGTAAACAGACACATACACACATTACTTGCTAGATTTCAAGATTACTACTTATAGGTGAGGTGGTATCATAGAAAGAACTGTAGTCAAATTTAAGAGCTTTTTGGAAGAATTCCAAGAGAGGCCAGATTTCCCAAACCCTGCCACTTATCAACCAGTAATAGTAAACAAGATTTCACCTTGAAGGCGATGAGAAATAAGGATGATTTTAGAAAAAGTAGATGTTTTCATAAGTTTTATAAATTGAGATATAAATTAAGACTGTATGATTACATTGATGAGGAGTGATATATATACATATGATGTGGTTTTTAAAGATTTTTGCATGTCCAAAAGAGAATTTTATATAGTCTGAGAATGCCTACTTTTAGGTTTTTTTCCCCATGTTTGCAATTATGCCTAGAAACTATTGACATAATTTTAAAATTTGTATTTTCTGGGCCATAAATAATGTTATTCACATCGCTTTTCTTTATTTTTTTATGGTAAAATTCACATAACATAAATTTCCCATTTAAAGCTGTTCAGTCCTGGGCTAGGGATGCAGCTGAGTAGAGTGCTTGCCTGGCATGGATGAGGCCACAGCACTGGAAAAAAAAGATGTTTTTGATTCCCACTGTTGTGCAAGCAGCAACACTTCCCATCTCAGGAATGTTCTCCTCTTCCCATGTTAAACCCTGTACTCATTGAACAATAACTCCACATCCCCCTATCCCCTGATAACCACTATTCTCCTTCTGTCATTGAACTTTGCTCCTGATGGTACCTCATCTAAGTGGAATCATATAATATTTGTCCTTTTGCTTTCTAAAATTCACAAAATCCCCATAATAATTCACAGAACTCATGAGGTGACTTGTTTCAGTCTTCAAGAGAGCATTTGTTGGAAAGTCATTAAGATAATTTGACAAAATAAAGAGCTAAAAAAAAAAAAAAGAAAGTACAGATAAAAGCACCTTTAGAGCTAGATGTGGCATTGCATGCCTGTAATCCCAGCACATTCGGTACTTGGAAGAAGGCAGAATGATCACAAGTTTGAAGTCAGCCTGGGCTGCATAGTGAGACCCTATTTCAAAAAACCAAGGGCTGGGATATAGGTCAGTGGTAGAGCTCTTGCATAGTATGTGCAGGGCCCTGGGTTTGATCCCTCAGTACCACAAAAAAATAAAACAAAAAATAAACCCCACCTTTATAATTACCAATGTTTAACTTGTCTGTCCTAATGTAAAAAACCACTATTGCACTAAAGCAATTGAGTACTTCTGAGTTCAGAAGGATTTAGCATCCTCTATAAGAGATGCTTAGATGTAGATTGCTGTCCTCCCACCCACAAACCACACTCACACTTTTCTCCACCTTGCTTTCACCTTTCTCTTTAAACCCTATATCTGCATGAGGCTGGAGGTCAGGGCTGTTTTGCCTCAGTGTCCAGCTCCCAGGGTAAATGTGAGCACTGCATCAGAACTCCAGCACTGTGGGGTCCTCCTTCCTCTGTGCTTAGTATAATTAAACCCTAAATCAAAAGGAAGCAATAATAGAAGAAGGTCTGTAACTAGCATCTGTCTACTTGAACATCCTTCTCCCTATTTGTATTACCAATACAGAAACTGTTGTTCAAACCAAGCATTAGTCAGGTGTTGTGGTATACATCTGTAATTCCAGCTACTCAGGAGGCTGAGGAAGGAGGATTGTGAGTTCAAGGCCAGCATGGGTTGCATAGTGAGACCGTATAAATAAAATAGCATTGTGGAGAGATAAGCATTATTTTTTTGTTAGGGATAACATAACTTTTGGTTGTTCTGAAACTGGCAATTCGTGGTTGAGGTTATAGTCATAGTGGTCCCTGTTGTTTTAGGAGATAACCTGGATTCTCAAAAAACCTTTTCCTCTCCTGATTCCTGATTAGCAGGAAAAGATGGAGCTTAATTGTTGTTTGGGATGACGATGACGACTATTCTGTGATGAAAGCAGACACCAACAGTCACTTGAGGCTGCTGTTAAGGGGGTTTGGTCTCCTATTTTCAGATTCTCTCTTTCTTTGATTTTATTTTTAGGTTAGCAATAAGAGGTAAACACGTTCTCCTCATATATTTCATTCCATGAACTTCCATTGCAGGTTCTGAAGACACAACCAATGAAGACTACCAAAGCATTGCCTTATACTTCGAAGGAGAAAAGAAACATCTTCAGGCTGGAAAATTCTTCTTGCTCTGTGGCCAATATTCACGAGTTAGTATTTGCCAAGAAACATACCCTAGACCCACAGGATTGATTATATGTACTCCCAGATGCCCAGATTTGAAATCTGAGTCACCCTTTGTTGTTGTTAGCACTGGGGATCAAACCCAGGGCCCTGAATGCTCAGCATGTGCTCTTCCATGTGCTGCACCCCCAACCCCTCGGTCAGCTTTGAGATCCTCCTCTCCTCACACACCCACTCAAACCCCTTCCAAAATCTCCCTTTCAAATTCTGCCTGCCATCAACTCTTCCAGGCTCAGGCTACCTGGCTTCAGATCATTGCAATCGTTTCTTGTCCTCTGTTTTCACTTTCTCTGCCTAATTCAGCCTTTATTTGGTTCCCTGAGTAGTACTTGTTTTGCTAGTACAGATGGTGCAAGGTCCAAAGGAGAGGCATTTACTAGCTGTTTAGCTGTGTGTTGCCTGTGTGACAGGGGAGAGACTACTGAATGGCATAGGCTTTATCTACAGGTGACATCTGCTGCTCGCCTCTGGCAAGTTATTGCCACCCAGGAGTCTGGGCCCAGTAGTATCAGATCATGATTTTTCAAGAGAAACAGAAGTCTAGATGCCCTACTTTTAAAATATGGGCCCAGATATTACCATAATCAGTATCTCATTGGCTAAAGAAAGCATGTCCTTGTATTCTTTCTGTCCTCTTAGAAAAAGTCCAAAGTCTTAGCTGACACTCAAGTGAATTTTCTGCCATTTGATCAGCCAGCCTGAGCCTCCCAATATGGCACCAGTTGTTTCTCTAGAAGTGCCCTATCCTGGACTTTTACAGCAAGATCTTCACCAACCTTGCCCTCCATCTGCCTTCTCTCTGCTCCCTTCACACCCACCTGTTCATCCCACAAGTTTTTGTTCCTGTGTCTCCTTCAGGTCATCCCCATATATAACCATCTTTGCTTTCTCATACCACCTATAAAACCAAATAGACTGCTCACTCATCTTTTAAATTGTTTAATTTCTTCACAGGTGTGATACTCAGGAATTAGGCAGTTAACTTAAGATAATTGGTCCCTTTATTGTCATCACATCACACAGATATCACGAGTTAGATTGTACCTAACCCTTGCTGGTATTCTTGGCAGGATCTAGGACAGTCCCACATGCACAGAAGCAGGGGGTCAGTAAATATTTGTCAAAAAAAAATGAATGAAGATAATTCATTCATGCCTATAATCTCAACACTCATGAGACTGAGGCTGGAGGATCACAAGTTTGAGGCCAGCCTGAACTACATAGCAAGACTCTCTCTCAAAATCTTCCTACTGAGAGAAGACACATTTTACATTTTCATTTAATAGGAAATCAGAACTAGATTCTTCAAAGGGTTAACTGAATTCTTCCATTTTTTTTTTTAAAGACTGGCCCCAACACTGTACAAACCCCTGGTTCAGATGAAGATATTTTCATAATCTATAATAATTCTGTGTGTGAAGCTTGCTTTTTCCCAATGTGAACACTCTGAAATTGTTTAATTGCTATCCATTTCTCAATTTAGGCACTTAAACACTTCCTGAAGTGCCCCAGCTCAGAAGATAGTGTGGCCATAGAAATGGCAATTGAAACTGTAAGTAAACTCTGTAACCAACTTTGAAGAATGCCGGTAATTTTAAAAACATTTTGAAGAAATTTCTAAGTGTGTGTGAAAGTAGATCAAACAATATAACAAACTCCCATGTGCCCGTCATCCAACTTCAATATCAATCTTACTTTATTCACTCCCTACCCTCCTTCCTTAGATTATCTTAAAGCAAATCAGGCATCATATCCCTTCCTTTCTGGATGCAATATCTGTGTCAAAAAGATAAGGACTGTGGGTTTTCTTTTAGGAATAGTTTGTAGACAGTTCACAGATCCTAAATGTAGAACCAATTAACTTTTTCATAACTGTGCCCCTGTGTGACCCTCATAGATGAAGGTATAGAGTACTTCTGGTTCCCCAGAAGACCTCCTCATGTAACCTCCATTCAGCTTCCCCACTAAGGCTAACCATAGTCCTGACTTCTATCCTTGGAGATTAGTTTTGCCTGTTTAGGAACTTCTTATAAATAGACTCACACAGATGGACCCTTTTGTGTCCGCTTTGTTTCAGTCAGTGGTCTGTCTGGAAATGCGCCTCTGTTACTGTGTGTAGCAATGGTCCATTCTTGTTCATTGCTGGGCAGTAGTCTGTGTAAGACCATACTCTGTTAGTGGACATTAGGGTTGTCTCTAGTTTGGGCATATTCTGAATAAAGTTGTCTTAAAGCCATTCGTGTCTTTTGATGGACATAAGCACTCGGTTTTATTGGCATCTATCCAGTAGGAAAATTATTAGGTTATATAAGGTATATTTTTAGCAGTAGTAGGCATTACCACATGTTTTTTTCAAGGTGGTTATACCAGTTTACACTCTACCATCAACGTAAGACATTCCAGTCCCTCCATGTTTCTAGCAAGTGAACCATTCTGATGGATGAGTAATGATACATTCTTATGATTTTCACTCATTTTCTAATGATACTGAGCACCTTTTCATGTGTTTATTGGCCATTTGAATATCCTCTTGTGAAGTGCTGTTAGTCTTGTTTCCAGTTTTTAATTGTATTGCCTCATCTTATCCTTATCAATTTGTAGGTCTTATTATATATCCTGGATACAAGTCTTCATCAGATGCATGTATTGTGGAAATATCTCACGGTGTGGCTTGTCTTTTGATTCTGTAGTAGTGGTCATCCATGTCACCCAAGTATCTAAATTCAACTACTAGTTAGTCGGAAATTATACCACAAGGATACAATCAGCTAAGTCTAAATGTTAGAAACTCTTTGGGACAAACAATCCATTTTCTTAACAACTGACACAGGGCAGGAGGAGGCAGTACAGAAAGAGGGAGAGGGAGTAAAGGGAGGAAGATTAAAATAGACAGAATGTCCAAATAAACTACGTGCAATGCATGGACCTTATTTGGAGACTGATGTCAACTAAACTACTATAAAAAACCCTGTAAAAACCATGGGAGAACTGGGAAATTTGAACCATAACTGGATACCTGACACTATCGAGAGCTCATTGTTGGAGAACCTGGGTCTCCAGGTAGGAATGTAAAGTGGTGCAACTGCTTTTGGAAACATTTGGGTAGTTTCTCAAAGCATTACACAGAGTTTACATATGGCCTAGCAACTCCAACTTATGTTCTCTTGAGTGTAAATAAAACACTCAAGAGAAATGAAAACACATGCTTATGGAGAAAACCTACACACAAATGTTAACAGCAGCATTATCCACCATGGTCAAAAAAAAAGTGGGAACAACCCAAAAACTGATAAGTAGATCAGCAAAATGTAGAACATTCACACAATGGAATATCAAGTCATAAGAAGGTAGGAAGTACAGACACTGCTACAGTGCAGATCAACCTTGAACACACTATGCTAAATGAAAGAAGCCACACCCGAAAGGCCACATAGTGTATGAATCCAGTTATATGAAATGTGCAGGACAGGCAAATACACAGAAACAGGAAGTAGATTATAACATATAATACATGTAATAACATGGTATTGGTACAAGGGCAGATAACTAAAATAACGGAAGAGACTAAAGAGCAAAACACACACACACACACACACACACTCACGTATGACAAATACTCCATGGTAATTCAGTTGGAAAGAACGGAGTTTTAATAAATGATACTAGGTCAACTATATTCTTGACTGCTACCTCACACCATATACAAAAATTAATTCAGGATGGGTATAACCCTAAATGAGAAAGCTAAAACAATCAAACTTAGGCAGTATGACCATAGGATAGGTAAAAATTTCTTAATTTGGACCAATAAGCACTAACTATGAAAGACTAAAAAATTAGACTATTAAAACAAGAACTTCTGTTAATACAAAGAACCATAGTGGGGTTGGTTTTAGAAATAAATTTATTTTCCGGTTCTAAAGCCTGGGAAATCTGAGTTCTGGATACCTGGTGATTCCATTCTTGTGAGTGCTCTCTTCCTGACTTGCAGATGGCTGCCTTCTCACCGTGTCTCACCATATCCTCATGGCTTTTCCTCTGTGCCTGTATATAGGGGGAGAGAGAGAGCGCTCTCCCTTTCTCTTTTTTTCAATACACAAATCTTGTCATAGGGCCCTACCTATATTACCTAATCTAACCCTGATCCCCTCCCAAAGGCCCATCTCCAAATACCATCACTCACATGGAGGTTAGAGCTCCAATGTGAATTTTCTAGAGCCATAAACATTCATTCCATACCAGCCCATAATTTTCATTGTCTTTTTTAAATGATCTTCACATTGATAATTGAGTGTAAATATGGTCACCTTGATCTGTCCATTATAATGTTTCCATCAGCTGTTCTAATGATTTCAGCAATTATGGCTGATTATTACCTGGATCCATAATTTCACTAGGTGAAGCAAAATGGTGTTATTCTATCACTTCTGTACATTAGCTGTAGTTCTTTTATACAGAACTTTTACCCCTCCAGCTGTGATTACCCAGAGATAAGGGAAAGGTAGTATAAACAGCTGACATTCCCTTTCTTTAGTAGTTTTCAGAATGAGTTAGTTCCCTGTCATCTCCTGAAGTTAATCAGTGGGGTGCTTTTCCTTTCAATTTCATTATAAACACATAGATGTTCAGGATATATGTTGTATTTCAGTTCATTGGAATTGATACTATTTTTGATCCCCATAATTGTCCCTTTACATTGATTATTATTTCCATTTGACCCAATCCTATTAATTTTTTTTGAGCCAGAGTCTCACTATGTAGCCCAGGCTGGTCTTGAACTCATAATCGTCCTGCCTTGGCCCCTCAAGTCTGGGATTACAGGTTTGCACCCCGCATTAGGCTCCCGTTAACCTTTAATAGCTCCCTTACTCTCATGGACAAGATCTGGCAGATTCTATTTCTTGTCCCAGACCTGGAATCAGCCATTTTTCTAAGGAATTCTGAGATAAATGTTATTTAGGAACCACAGTTTGTCTGCTAGGACTATTCACTATTACTGAGTTGATCACTGTTTCTGAATCTTTTCAGCAAGAATGTTAACATTTTTATTGTGAATTATAAATTCTAAGGTATCTGTATTTGAAGCTTCAGTGGAATTGTTAAGGAATGGGAAATATTCTCTGATATTTACAGAAGACTGATATAAAAAAAAGTGTTTCTCCAATCTTCTCTGCATGTCCACATTTTCTAAGACCAACTTCTTTCAGGAAGCTGAAATCAAGATTGATAGCAGCCACCAAAAATATGCCTCCCACATTCCACTAACGAGGAACTGGGACTCTGGTCCCAAATACCCAAACCCAGGATGGCTCTAATTGGGGTCATTCAGGTGTTCACTGCAGGATCAATCAACTGGGGTCCTCAGGGATGGAATATCATGCATCCCTGGCAAAATGGGCCAGATTCCTGCCCCTAGACCAAGCTCCACAGTCACAGAGATGGAGCCTCTAGGACACAGAAGTACCCCTGGAAGCCCATGGTTAAAGTGGAAGAATTAGGAGTGATTATTTCAAAGTTGTAGATGTCCCTTACAGCTGTTAAAATTCTTTTCCTTTCATTGGTAGTCTTAATTTTTTTTTTTTTTTGGCAGTACTGTGGTTTGAGCTCATGGTTTCACATTTGCTAGACAGGTGCTCTACCACTTGAGCCACTCTTCGAATTCCTTGGTATCTACTTGTTGGACTACATAATGTATATAGTAATATACATATATTAAGTTGTATTAGCGTCAGGAGCATGTAATCTATAAAACCAATATATTTATATTTGCTTTCTGTTACTGAGATCATTCATTCATTCAGGCATGTGCATTCTGAACTTCACCATGGATAACTTGCCTAAAGTCCAGTTTTAAATCATTTAATCCCTAGCTTCAAAATCTTCAGTGGGTCCCCATTGTCTCCCAGATGTATTCCCAAGCTGTCCTACCTGGATCACAAAGTCTCAGATCTACCCAGTGGTGATCTAGTCTTACTTCCCTCATTTCACTGCTGGAGAAACTGAAGTCCCAGAAGATGCTGTGGCTGACCTAGAGACACAAGCAGGCAGAACCATACTGCCCAGTGACCCTTCTTGATTGAGCTCCAGCTGTACTCTTGGCTCACTCCGTTCAGTAGACACAAAACTCTTATGCCTCCTAATTTTGTCAGTAATTCCCTAATGTTCCCCCAAATCCCTGACCTCACACATTCTATTCCTACTAACTCAGACAACACATTTCCATCTTCCAATATAGTACATTACTTTCCACCTAGCACCTTGATGATTGAACTGTCACCTTCACGGAGTTGATTTTTAGGGCCTGTCTAAGCCAGGTCCTCTCCAGAGCCCAACCCAAGTCTCTAGCCCCCTGCCTTTATCTGGATTCCCATGGCTGTGACACTTCTTGCTGCTTCCCAGTACATGAAGTATTTCCTTAGGGGGTTACTGCAAAGGAGGGCACTCGGTAGGATGTTGTGTAGGTTGAATATCCCTTATCTGAGATGCTTGTTTCAGATTTGGGAGTTTTGGGGTTTGGAAATGTTTGCGTTTTGGGTTTGGGAATGTTTCCATGGACTTTCCATTCGAGCATCCGGAATCCAAAACCGAGACTCTTTGAGCATCATATTGCTTCTCAGAAAGTTTCAGATTTCAGATTTTCAGACTATAGATGCTCAGTTTACATGAGGCCCAGGTCTTGCACTTAAGATAAGATGCTGTTCACAAGGTGTTGCAGGCACTGGTCTTAGGTTTTTATAGAAACATCTACGAGGTATGTTCTCTGGATGTACAAAAGGAAATACAGTATTTTGATGTAGCAACTGAGAAAAACTCTAGCTTCTAAGGATGGGTCTTGATGGGTGGAGACTCTGCAGATAAGTGAAGAAAGCCCCCGAGTCTGTGTTTCATTTCAGGTACTTACTAGAGGTACCTTTAGGTATGTTTTATTCCATTTCCTTAGCAGACTGTTTGTCTTTTCCCCTTCTTGTACAGGGGTAAGATACTGATTCTGTTTGGGTGTTTCTCTTACAAAACAGGTTGGCCAGGCCAAAGACGAGCTGCTGACCAGTCAGTTGATTGACCACCTGATGGGGGAAGTGATGGCATGCCCAAGGTATGAGAGAGTCTGCTTTGCTTGGGCGCCCGTGTCTTAGTCATGGTTTACTTTATGTGACCCTATCTAAACCTGCCACGCCTTTGCAACATAGACTTGTAAAACTGTCCCTCTGAAAGCAGCTGCAGATCCTGCAGAAAAACCCACATCAGAGGATAGTATGACATCCACGCTTAGATTTGGCATCCTAGATGAAATAGCCATGCCTTCTACATAACGTCTGTACCACTCACAATTTTTCTGAAAAGTTATAGTTTAGTTTACTGTAAGAATTCTGAAAAGTAATCATTGAAACTATAACTTAGCACCAATGCTAAAAGTCAGCGTGCTTTGTTCGTCTTTCAGAAATCGTGGACCTTGACAAAAGCCATATTGAACATAAAAGTAACTCACTATAATGTAGAAATTAATCACCAAGAGCGTGTTTTCAAAATTCACGATTCCAGTCTTTTCTCCATTGTGTAAGGACAGAAGCCCAGAGCCATCTCTCCCTTTGTGCCTTGCAGTCAAGGACATCTGCCTGTGAAGAACTCAAGTCACTGATGTGAAGAAAGGGTAGTGGACACTAGATCCCTGAGTCTGATTCCTTTATCTTACAGAGAAAATCACTGAGATCCAGAAAGGGTCATTTGACTTGCCAGCTCACCCAGGTCCTTATTATAATAACCTGGAAATCAGCACCAAAAGCATGATGAAATGATCTCAAGTTAGAATACGAATGGGAAGTGGTCCAAGTTCAAAGAAAATTCTATAGCACAGAGAAAATTTATATAGGTGTGAAAATTTCTGAAATACTGCAAAGTTGGTATATTGTGTAAGAATACATTTTGTTTCCAAGCCTGGCTGTAGAGTCAGGTCAGGAACAGACTCTGAATCCAGATCACCGCCTCTGCCCCTCTTCTGGTGTGTTTCAGTTTCCATCCATGAAGTGAGGATAACACTCATTCCTCCTGGGGTTGGCCTGAGGACCTAACCGAGCTACGATTTCTTACCTAGTACTTAGAGTGCTACCTGGCACACATTAACCTCTGAATATATTTTTGATAAGCTAATTCTTTCCTTAAAAAAATTATCAATTCTTGGTTACTGGCAGATGAGTGTGATGGTAAGTGGAATGCAGAACTATAGGTTTTTCTCCCTGAGCTAATGAAGAAAGTGATGTTTGTCTAATGGTTTGTGTGCCAGGATGCCAAGTACCTGTTCCGCTTGTACATGGCTCTGAAGCAATATCGAGAAGCTGCCCGGACTGCCATTATAATTGCCAGGGAAGAGCAATCTGCAGGTGGGTCTCTAAGACTGATTTATTTTTTGTGGTGCTGAGGAACAAACCCAAGCCTCAGACCTGCTAGGCCAGAATTAATTCCTGAGCTGTGTCTCTAGCCCCAGTTCCCTAATACATTTTTTTCTACACACACGGGCAATAGAAGCAAGCCCAGCCCCTTTTCTTCCCAGGAAAAGTATCCAGTTTCTAATCTAAGCTTGCTTTGAATTCAAAAGGCTGAGAGGGCCACTTGTAGGATTCAGAGAAGTAAAATAATTCTGGACTAAGGCTTTCTTTTGTCAGGCACTCTGTCCTCCATTTTTTGTAGCCTCACAGTCCATCTCTGGGACACTGACTTCTCTGGCCTCTCCAACACACACCCCCTTCCTACAGACTCATGGCATTGACTTTCCATTTCATGTATTTGGCTTTAACCATAAAAGAGATATTGTAAGCTGGAAGGTAATTATGCCATATTACTCTGGGCCTGTCTCTTCATAATCTGCAAGACTATTTATGGGATCTCAGAGTGGTTCTGTCCACTTACATGCTCTATAAATACTTATTGACTAAGTCAGAGAATTCGTTCGATATCTTCACCAGTTTTTGCAAGGCAAGTGTCTTTGGCGTTCGTAACTATGGAATGTGATTTTGGAAAACATGAAATAAATAAGTCATGACTTACTCGGTTTATGTTGATCTTACACCTCCTGTCTGTCAGGTAAGCTCTAGGAACTTAGTTACCCAGAGAGAACTAGGCCACGCTTCTGCCCTCCGGGTTCATGACAGAAGGGAGTTCAGAGTCGTTACGACAAGCACTAGACTAGGAACAGAAATGTGATTTTTAAAAGGCAGCAGAAAAGGGGCATACAGCATCATGAAGATGGGGTGGTCAGAGCTGGAGCATGGAGATGAGGAAAGGCAGCAAAGGCTCCAGCTGAGTTTGAAAGGACCAGAGAGCAAGAGATAAGAGAAACATGGACTAGAGCAGTTAGGAGAGAATGCCTGGGGAGGCAGGGATGGGCTGGGAGGTGGACAGGGCAGGTCCTGCAGGCCTTAGTCCTCTGCTCAGGAATTTACCCTTGATCCTTGCTGTGAAGGGTTTTGTTTTATTTTTTTGCGGTGCTAGGGATTGAACCCAGAGCCTCACACGTGACAGACAAGTGTTCTACTACTGAGCCTTTGCAGGGCTTATGCCAGCGTGTGAGCTGAAGGTATTGGGATTGGGTTGTGACCTGAAGATTTAAAGCCCAGGGAAGCTGTGGAGGAAGGCTGATTAGCACAGGACAGTGGAGGACTGGTGAGGAGCAGTAATAGTGGGCCTGAGAGGAGAGGCAAAACTGGAAGGACACAAACTCAGTGGCTCAGTGTGCTCTAGGGACAGCTGGGTGCCCTGAGGAAGAATAGGCACGAAGAAGGACATTCTTACCCAGAGAAACTAGCTGGGTGTTAATACCACCATTAAAATAGGAAAAACTGCCAAATTACTGTAGGCAAAAAGTGGTTAAAGTACTGCTAATAACACAGTTAACAAATTTACTTGTGCGACAAGAGGCCTTAGATCCATTCTTTGCAGCAGTGTCACTCTGCTACCTATTTTCCAGGGAACTATAGGACTGCACATGATGTTCTCTTTAGTATGTACACAGAACTCAAATCCCAGAAGATCAAAATTCCCTCTGAGATGGCCACCAACCTCATGATCCTGCACAGTTACATCCTCGTGAAGGTGAGGCCTTGGAGGGACTTGGGACATAGCCTGCCAGGTCCGATCACCTGGAGGGTGGGGGTTTCCTCTGGGTACCTCTGAATGGATTAGAGCGATTTCCTAAATGTCAATATTGTGAAGTGACAAAATCAACATATAGGATAATTCTACAGTGTGCCCCCTTCTGTGTACAAAAAGGTGAAAAGTACTAATGGAAATAAGAAACATACAGAAGAGACTAGCAAAGTAATTTCCTGAAGGAAGGGAGGTATGGAGCAGGGGAGGCCCAGCATCAAAGCCCAGCAAGGGCAGAGCGGGAGGGAAGCAGGTTTTGCTACGTGTCTTTCTAGATTATTTTGTTTTGAATATAGATGTATTACCTGTGCCCAAAAAAACAGAATTACTGAAAACATTTTTGTTTATCCAGAACTTGTTAGTTTATTAATTCTAATTTAGTGAATTTTATAAAATTCTTATTTTTCATACTGCTTTGTTTTTATCTTAATATAAAAATATCTTTTCATTAGAATATAAAAAAGTATAATGAAAAATAAGCATGCTTTAAGTCTATTGCCCAGATAGAAGAATGCTGTTGTATATTCTCCGTAGTTCTGAAATGCATGTGCTTATTTTTTTTTACCAAATCAAGATATTTATTTTCAGTTGTATATTAATTTTTTAAATCATACCTCAAGTGTATGTGTAATTCACATTAATGTTACTTGTCTGCATCTATCCATGTGTATAATTTATACACTCATACCTGTGTCATACCTGTGTGACCACACAGAGTCCCGAGTGCCCAGTTATGTCAGTGAGCCGTGCCTTCTGTAATTAGTACCAAACCCGCCAGGCGACAAGAGCTTACTTAGCCTTGATGTTCCTAGCACAGGGCAATCGTGTCACAAAGGATTTAAATCCTAATTTTGTAGGGATTGTGTGTGTGTGTGTGTGTGTGTCTGTGTGTCTGTGATACCAGGGTTTGAACTCAGGGCCTCATGCTTGCTAGGAAGGTGCCCTGCCATTGAGCCACTCCACCAGCCCTAAATCCTAATTTTTGGACGTGGACAGTTGAGCTGGGCAGGGCTGAGGCCCAGAGTAAGCAGGTGAGGGAGGAGAAGCAGCAGGGTTTCCCTTCCCCAATGAGCACTGTCCAGTAGAACTTTCTAGTGACACAACCGTCTGTATCCCCACTGACCAGTGCTGTAGCCGCTAGCCTGGCTGTGGAACACTTGACCTGTAGCTAGTGCAATGATGGACTAGATTTTATGGGATTTTTTATGTTTTAAATTTAGCCACGTGGCTACCACATTAGACCACACAGGTCTGTAAAATGTTTTTCAGGGCAGGGCAGTTAGAATTCCACCTTGAAGCCCCCAGGGTACATTTCATTTCCCTTCAAAGTGGCAGGAGGCCTCTTTCCTAGAGGAAAGGTGGGAAGGCAGAGGGAATTTTCTCAGCTTCAGACATGAGTGCTGGTGCCAATGTCCTGGGAGCGCAGGTTGAGCAACAGGTATGGACAAGTTGGCAGGAGATACAGAGCAGAAAATCAAGAAGGGTTGGAGCATTACTCAAGTGGTAGAGTGCCTGTCTAACAAGCATGAAGCCTGAGTTCAAACCCCAGTACTGCCACCAAAAAGGAAGGAAGGGAGAGAGGGAGGAGAGGAAAAAAGAGGGAGGGAAGAAAGAAATAAAAAAGAAAGGAAGGAAGGAAGGAAGAAAAGAAGGGAAGAAAGAAAACAAACCAGGAAGGTATTCCTGTAAGAAACATACCTGAGCAGAGCTGTCACCACTGGTCACCGTGGATACTTATGGAGTCCATGTGTTTTCCTCAGTCCATTGCTTCCATCCTGGCCTGACATCTTTTTCCCCTCCCACTGGACAGCACCCTTGTGACTCTTACCCTCAGCTCCAATCTCTTCCATAGCACCAAGCATTGCCATGGCTCTCTTAAGATTTTCGACTGCTTGTAGTAGCCAAAGGAAAATTTTCAGACCCTATCAAGGAAGTTATATAAGTTGATGCAAAACTGTCACAGAGATTTTTGACACAAAGGACTGAAAAAAAGACTCATTCACACTTAAATAGTCACATGTGCATAATGACTACCACATTAGACCACATGGGTCTGCAGTACAGGTCAAGTGCTCCACACCCAGGCTAGTGGCTGCTACACTAGGCAGCACAGATAGAGAACAGTCTGTCACTACAAGTCTGCACTAAGCTTTTGTAGCTGCTTCCTCCTCAGAGCTAGGACAGGGACTTTGGCTGAAGGACAGCCTACAAACTTGGGTATGGACAGCCGAGCTGAGCAGTGCTAAGGCCCAGAGTCAGAGGAAAGTGAGAGAACAAGCAGCAGGCCTCCCTTCCTACTTCAGATAAGACATAAATAATAATAAGTAGAATACACTGTAACAAAAGTTATGTGAATGTGGTCTTTCTCTCAAAGGAGTAATGGCAAGTATTGCTAGTTCTGGACCCCAGAGGATTGCAGGTAACTAAACTGTAGAAAGCAAAGACATAGGTGGTGGGGACCCCTGACTGTATTCTTCCTCTGCACCACATCTCTGGGCCCCTCATCTCACACCTGATGACATGGCTGTAGTGGCTTCATGGCTGGGCCTCTGCTGACTCTGGAGCTTTATCCCATGCTACCTTCAAGCCCTCCTGTCCTCACAGGCTCTGCACAGACTTGCCTGAAGTCACCCCTTCCACCACTTTTGCCCTTTCACCTACATCAGGCAGCTCCCACTTCCCTTCACAAACCATCCCGTCCTGACTCACTCAGCTTTCAGCTCAATTTGGTAAAGTTATTAGTACCCCAACAATGGCCAGGAAAAAGATGGACCAGGAATTTGAATTTGTGTCAAATAGTCCAGGGCAACATACAATGCAGAGCACTGAGGCTGGAGGCCATGGCGCCAGGGCACAGCTGGTGAAGGAGGAGAAATACGGAGCTGTCCCCAGTACAACAGCCAGGAGAGGCTCCAGGGGGCTCAGATCCCAACTGGTCCTGTTCTGGGCCACAGTCAAGTTGTTCCAGGGAACAGGGCATGAATTAGGGCTAACCTAGAGCTATCAGAAGGGTGAAATGCATTATTTATTTCAGATTCACATTAAGAACGGAGACCATATGAAGGGGGCACGCTTGCTTATCCGGGTGGCCAACAACATTAGCAAGTTCCCATCGCGTAAGTACTGCCTGAGGGAGTTCCCTCCACACTCTGCCTGCTGCAGGACTGGGAGCTCTGTGCTCATGCACTCTGCCAGCTAGTGTGCAACCACTGGGCCTGCCTCACAGTGTGAGGTAGTACCTCAGGGTCCCCGACCGCCCCACCTTGATGATTCTTCACTAGGAGGGCTCTCGGGCCTCAGCGCACAGTGGCGCTAAAGGAGATGATTTATTAGGGCAGGAAGCTATAAAGCAAAGGCACAGTGCTAAAGTCCGCAGGACCAGGTGCAGGCAAAGCTTGAGTCCCCTCCCAGTGGACTCTCACAGACTATGGGTTACCGCTCCTGGAGTGGCATGGACCAGGACTTCATTAGCGTTTTATTGGCAGCTGGTCACGTAGATACCCCCTGCCTGCCTGGCTCAGACCCAATTCTCCAGGCTCCCAGGAAATAGGGGTCCCTCATGAACCATACTGCACAGTTTCTCGGCACACTGTGCCATTCATCAGTTCTGGAAATGCTGATTTCCCCATTCCAAGTTCCCGCGTGCAAGCCAACACCCAAGTGTTTAAGCAGCTCTACCTAGTATTGTTTTACACACAAGCAAGTGGGCAGAGGAGGTGAAGGTACCACTGCCACAACACGTTGTCAGCTAGGAAGCCTGATTCTTTTTCCATTGTTTTGGCAATACAGGGCTGTGAACTCAGGGCTTCACCCTTGCTAGGCAGGTGCTCTACCACTTGAGCCACTCCGCCAGGACAAGTCCGAATCTTTGGTTCCAATCACAGTAGGACATGGTCTCCAAAAAAGGCTCCAGTATTCCCAAAGACCTGTCATTATAGCATTCGTACATGAGTAGACTTGTCACAATGCAACAGGTATGATCACACTTTTTTCTCTAAAGGAACAAATGTTAAATGTTTCAGGATTTGTGAGCCACTGGGTCTGTCACAGCTATCACTCTGCCAAATTTGGTGTGAACAGTATGTCAATGAGGAGAGCTAGGCTTTTATTTTTTACACATAAATTTGAATCTCACAAAATAGTCTTTTGAAATTTTTTCAACCATTTAAAAAACATTCCCAGCTGGGCGCCGGTGGCTCATGCCTATAATCCTAGCTACTCTCGAGGCAGAAATCAAGAGGATTGCAGTTCGAAGCCAGCGCGGGCAAATAGTTTGTGACAACCTATCTCAAAAAAACCGTATCACAAAAAATTGGGCTGGTGGAGTGGCTCAAGATGAAGGTCCTGAGTTCAAGCCCCAGTACCACAAAAAAAAAAAAAAACTCAAGTTAATGGGCCATACAAGTCAGAGGGTGAGGTGTGGCCCATGGCCATAACTCACCCTGTTCTCTAAATCTTATCTTTTTTGTTACATGAAAAAGACTTTGAAGTTATCATCGACCATGCTGGCCAAGGGTGGGGGTGGTGGGAATGGAACTGATGTAGCTTTTATGGGAAGCACTTTGACAATTTGTAGTAAAGGTAATTTTTTTATTATTCATATGTGCATACAATGTTTGGGTCATTTCTCTCCCCTCTCCTCACTCCCTCTCTTACCCACACCCACCCATCTCCCTGCTACCCCCTCACTACCCAGCAGAAACTATTTTGCCCTTATCTCTAATTTTGTTGAAGAGAGAGTATAAGCAATAATAGGAAGCACCAAGGGTTTTTACTAGTTGAGATAAGGATAGCTATACAGGGAGTTGACTCGCATTGATTTCCTGTGCGTGTGTGTTACCTTCTAGGTTAATTCTTTTTGATCTCACCTTTTCTCTAGTTCCTGGTCCCCTTCTCCTATTGGCCTCAGTTGCTTTAACGTATCTGCTTTAGTTTCTCTGCGTTGAGGGCAACAAATGCTATCTGTTTTTTTAGCTGTCTTACCTATCCTCACCCCTCCCTTGTGTGCTCTTTTATCATGTGCTTAAAGTCCAATCCCCTTGTTGTGTTTGCCCTTGATCTAATGTCCACATATGAGGGAGAACATACGATTTTTGGTCTTTTGGGCCAGGCTAACCTCACTCAGAATGATCTTCTCCAATTCCATCCATTTACCAGCGAATGATAACATTCCGTTCTTCTTCATGGCTGCATAAAATCCCATTGTGTATAGATACCACATTTTCTTAATCCATTTGTCAGTGGTGGGGCATCTTGGCTATTTCCATAACTTGGCTATTGTGAATAGTGCCACAATAAACATGGGTGTGCAGGTGCCTCTGGAGTAACCTGTGTCACAGTCTTTTGGGTATATCCCCAAGAGTGGTGGTTGCTGGATCAAATGGTAGATCAATGTTTAGCTTTTTAAGTAGCCTCCAAATCTTTTGCCAGAGTGGTTGTACTAGTTTACATTCCCACCAGCAGTGTAAGAGGGTTCCTTTTTCCCCCCAAATCCTCACAAGCACCTGTTGTGTTGGTGGTGTTGCTAATGATGGCTATTCTAACAGGGGTGAGGTGAAATCTTTAGTGTGGTTTTAATTTGCATTACCTTTATTGCTAGAGATGGTGAGCATTTTTTCATGTGGTTTTTTGGCCATTTTAATTTCTTCTTTTGAGAAAGTTCTGTTTAGTTCACTTGCCCGATTCTTTATTGATTGGGTCATTAATTTTGGGTTTGCCATTATTTTATTGAGGATTTTTGCATCAATGTTCATTAAGAAGATTGACCTATAGTTCTCCTTTTTGGAGGTATCTTTGCCTGGTTTTGGGATAAGTGTAATACTGCCTTCATAAAATGTGTTAGGCAGTTTTCCTTCTCTTTCTATTTTGTGGAACAGTTTAAGGAGGGTTGATATCAGTTCTTCTCTAAAGATCTGATAGAATTCAGCAGAGAATCCATCAGGTCCTGGACTTTTCTTTTTGGGGAGACTCTTGATGGCAGCTTCAATTTCATTTTGTGTTATAGATCTATTCAGGTGATTAATTTCCTCTTGGTTCAGTTTTGGATGATCATATGTATCTAGAAATCTGTCCATTTCTTTAAGATTTTCAAATTTATTTAAACATAGGTTCTTAAAGTAGTCTCTGATGATTTCCTGGACTTCCATGATGTTTGTTGTTATCTCCCCTTTTGCATTCCTGATTCTACTAATTTGGGTTTTTTCTCTCCCCATTTTAGTCAGGTTTGCCAGGTGTCTGATGATCTTGTTTATTTTTTCAAAGAACCAACTTTTTGTTTCATTGATTCTTTGTATGGTTTTTTGGTTTCTATTTCATTGATTTCAGCTCTTATTTTTTATTATTTCTCTCCTATTTGTTTTGGGATTTGCTTGTTCTTGTTTTTCTAGGAGTTTGAGATGTAGCATTAGGTCATTGATTTGGGATCTTTTAGTCTTTTTAATATATGCAGTCATGGCTGTAAACTTTCCTCTCAGGACTGCCTTTGCTGTGTCCCCTAGGTTCTGGTAGGTTGTGTTTTTATTTTCATTGACTTCCAGGAACTTTTTAATTTCCTCTTTTATTTCATCAATGACCCATTGTTCACTAAGTAATGAGTTACTCAGTTTCCAGCTGTTTGCATGTTTTTTGTCTTTACTTTTGTTGTTGAGTTCTAGTTTTATTGCATTGTGATCAGACAGAATGCATGGTATGATTTCTATTTTCTTATATTTGCTGAGGTTTGCTTTGTGCCTTAGGAGATGATCTATTTTGGAGAAGGTTCCATGGGCTGCTGAGAAGAATGTATATTGTGTAGAAGTTGGATGAAATATTCTGTAGACATCAAGTAGGTCCATTTGATCTATGGTATATTTTAGATCTAGGATTTCTTTATTTTTTATTTGGATGACCTATCTATTGATGGTAATGGGGTGTTGAAGTATCCCACAACCACTGTGTTGGAGTTAATACATGCTTTTAGGTCCTTCAGGGTATGTTTGATGAAATTGGGTGCGTTGACATTGGGTGCATATAGGTTGATAATTGTTATTTCCTTTTGGTCTATTTCCCCTTTTATGAGTATGGAATGTTTTTCTTTATCTCGTTTGATCAATGTAGGTTTGAAGTCTACTTTGTCAGAGATAAGTATTGCTACTCCTGCCTGTTTTCGGGGGCCACTGGCTTGGTAAATCTTCTAGCCTTTCATCCTAAGCCTATGCTTATTTCTGTTGGTGAGATGGGTCTCCTGTAATCAACAAATTGTTGGATCTTCCTTTTTAATCCAGTTCATCAAACGGTGCCTTTTGATGTGGGAATTAAGTCTATTAACATTAAGTGTTAGTACTGATAAGTATGTGGTGATTTCTGTCATTTAGTTGTCTTAGTTGTTTGAAGGTTTGATTGTGTGTACCTAAGTTGATGTTACTCTCTACTTTCTAGCTTTTCCTTTTCCTGTGGTTTGGTGCTGCCTGTCCTTTCATGGTTATGTTGGGTTTCACTTTCTGTGTGCAGAATCCCTTGAAGAATCCTTTGTAGTGGTGGCTTTGTGGTCACATATTGTTTTAGTTTCTGCTTATCATGGAAGACTTTTATTGCGCCATCTATTTTGAATGATAGTTTTGCTGGGTAGAGTATCCTGGGGTTGAAGTTATTTTCATTCAGTGCCCGGAAGATCTCACCCCAAGCTCTTCTTGCTTTTAATGTGTCTGTTGAGAAGTCTGTTGTGATTTTGTTGGGTTTACTTTTGTATGTTGTTTTTTCTTACAGCCTTCAATATTCTTTCCCTAGTTTCTGAACTTGTTGTTTTAATGATGATACGCCGTGGGGTAGTTCTATTTTGATCTGGTCTGTTTGGTGTTCTCGAGGCCTCTTGCATCTGTATGGGAATAGCTTTCTCTAGATTTGGGAAATTTTCTGTTATTATTTTGTTGAATATATTATGCATTCCCTTCGCTTGTACCTCTTCTCCTTCTTCGATACCCATGATTCTCAAGTTTGGTCTTTTGATGGAGTTGGTGAGTTCTTGCATTTTCTTTTCACAGGTCTTGAGTTGTTTAACTAATAGTTCTTTGGTTTTTCCTTTAATTACCATTTCATCTTCGAGTTCTGAGGTTCTGTCTTCTGTTTGTTCTATTCTGCTGGATTGGCCTTCCATTTTGTTTTGCAATTCTGTTTCATTCTTTTTTCTGAGGTTTTCCATATCCTGGCTGTTTTCCTCTTTAATGTGTCTATTTTTGTCCTGAGTTCACTTATCTCTTTATTAATTGTGTTCTTTTGTTTCACTTTGGTGTTTATACATTGCTTCTATGGTTTCTTTTATTTCTTCTTGTGCTTTTTTAAATTCTCTATTTTTGTTGTCTTGGAATTTCTTGAGTGTCTCCTTACATTTTGGTTGACCATATCCAGTATCATCTCTATAAAATTCTCATTGAGTACCTATAGTATTTCTTCTTTTAGATTGTTCCTGTGGGCTTCATTGGGTTCTTTGGCATAGTTTATCTTTATTTTATTGTAGTCTGGATCTGAGTATTGTTTTCTTCATTCCCCTCTGGTTCCTTTACTAATTTTTTGCTGTGGGGAAACTGGTTTCCCTGTTTTTTCTGTCTTCCCATCATTACCCTTGGTGTTGTTATTGTCCCTGTGCAATTAAGTGTTTTCTAGCTTGTAATAATAACAATGGTGATATTTAGAATGGAAGGGTGAGAGGAGATGGAAAGCAAAGAAGTTAAAGAAAAAGGGTAAAACAAATAAACAAGTAGAAAAAAACAAAACAGTAAAAAAAGTTTCAAAGATATAAACAGGGAGAGATAGTGTACTAATCAACAGTAAGCTGAACAGGCATTAGAGAGACAGAGGATTGAAAATAAAAAATCAATAAAATAAAAAATAAATGAAAAAAAAAATATATATATATATAAAATCTCCACATTCAAATGCAATAAAGTTTCAGTCTTAATAATTTTGGTGTTCGTCAGCCTCCAATCCTGGAGATGGTGCCTCAGAAGTAGTTCTATCGTTGTCTCATCAAAGGGGAAGAAAAACTAAAAACAAAACAGCACAAAGCAAAAAAAAAAACCCACAAAGTGTCCCAAGTTCAAATGCAATACAGTTTCAGTAAGTTTTTCAGCATGCAGGTGTAGTCGGTTATTGTCTCATCAAAGGGAGAGAGAAAAAAAAAAAGAATCTGGAGACAGTTCCGTGAATGGTATCTGTGGCTGTGGCTCACCTGCCCGCTGCTCTCAGCCTGCTGTAGCTAGAGGCGTTATTTGTGCAGATCTCAGGAGTGAGCTTAACACTCACCTGGCCCCTCAGGCTTTGTTTACTCAAGAGTTTTCCTGTGCATGATACCACTGCTACATGCTTTCCCGTTTCCAAGCACACTGGGGGAGTTGACACTGCACCAGCTTTCTCAGGCCTGTGTGTTTATTTACAGTTCACATGGGAAGTGGGTCTTCCCCCCTCTTCTGTGGAGTTTTCCTCCCACTACCACTTTTACAAGCTTTCCCGCTCCTGATTGCTGGGTGTGTGCAGTCACTTTTTTTAAAAGTCATCTTCTTTCGGCCAGTATTTCTGGGGATCAGTCTTGAAGAATTAGGTGTCTGCAGAGATTAATACACAAAGTGTTTAATTACTCTGATCCATTTATCAGCTGTCCTGCCAACTGCAAAAATGTATGTGGGAGGTGTGTCACACCAGTGTTACATGCAGGATGTAGGTGGCAGTGTCACAGGGCAGCACATTAGATCGGGGGGACCCATGGGAGCAGTGAGCCTGCCTCCTGCAGGGCCTTTTCCCCACTAGGCAGAGATGGAGTCAAGCCAGTGCCGCTAAGGACAGCACCCACAGTGCCTTCTGCTCTGTGTCTATTGCAGACATTGTGCCTATCCTGACATCCACAGTGATCGAGTGTCACAGGGCTGGCCTGAGGAACTCTGCTTTCAGCTTTGCCGCTATGTTGATGAGGCCTGAGTACCGCAACAAAATTGATGCAAAATACAAAAAGAAGATCGAGGCAATGGTCAGGTAAGCAGAGACAGCCACTTCTCCTGTCTAATCCTATTTCACAAAGGCATTTTTCAGAGCAGAGCTGCTAGTGTGCAGGCTCAATAAGAAAGTGGGGGTGGGGGGGAAGTAGGGGGTGGTGTTACATTCAGTACAGAGCAACAAAAAAATCCAGTGTCTTGAACAAGTCAATTTGTATGTTATTCATACACAAGGTGCCTTAGTCTGGGGCTGGGGCTGGTGCCACTGATCCCTCTGTCTCCAAGCTGTGCCATCCATAGCAAAGAACTTTCATCCTTGTGGTTGCAAGGTAGCTGCCACACCTATAGACATCACATTCAAGGCAGGAAGGAGCAGAGGCATTAAAGGATGGATGGATAACTTTGCCTCATTACTCAGGAAGCCACGGTCCCGGGACTCCACTTCTCCTTGGCTAGTTAGTGCTGTGCCATCCAGTGCCTTAGCTGCAAAGCACACTGCTGAGCAAAAACACGGTTCTCTCAGCAAGGAAGGAGGAGAGAATGGCTGTTAGGTAGGAAGCAAACAGTGTCTGCCCCAGAAGAATGAATAAAATAAGATGTTCTCAGTATGAGAAACTCCACATTAACACAGCCCGCTGCAAACAGTTTCAAATCTTGTGCTGCTCCCCAGAAGGCATGCCATCACTTCTAAGAACAGCACAGGCCTGCTTTTCTAAAGGAATGCCAACGTGGTAGTCAGACTTTCTGTTGCGCTGACAAATACCTGAGAAAATAACTAAAAAGGATTTATTTTGGCTCATAGTTTCAGTCTGTACCATTCGGCTCTGTTGTTTCTGGGCTCACAGTGAGAGGCAGACCGTTATGGCAGGGAGCCCGTGACAGCCAGACTAGGGAAAGGGATAGACAGGAAGGGGCCAGGGCAGAACACCCTTCAAAGACGCACTCCCAATATCTGCTTCCTCCAATGAAGCCCATCTTCCTCGGTTCCACCTCCCAGTGGTCCAGGCAGATATTGAAGCTGTCCATGGGTCAATCCAGTGATTAATCATGAAGGCAGGGCCCTCGTGATCCAGTCACTCCCTGACACCTCTGAGCACTGCTTGCATCTGGAACCAAGCCTTCCATACATGAGCCTTTCATGGACACTTTATATCAAAACCATAGCAACTACAAAAAACAGCACTCAGCATCTGAAAGGAAGAACCACAATCATGATTAGCTTTTGCTTACTCAGAGTAGTGGCATTTAGGGTACCTGTTACCCTATGCCCAGGGGACCCAGGTGAATCTTGAACCAGGGAAGCTCACTGGTGATGACAAATGGAAACACTTCAGTGTTGGACCAGCCTCACGCAGAAAACTTGTAAGCTGGATAAAGCTATATGAACCCTCATTTAAAAAGTTGATAAGCCTAAGCGGCTTCAGACCAAGTCAGTTTGACCAGGTATACTAGCCAGTGTGGACAGGGAAGGAGAAAAGAAAGTAACTGCAAAACATGAAGACAGCTCAGTGCCACACTGACCTAGGCTCTGGCTTGGAAGAAAGGCTCTTTCCATGCACAGTGGGAGGTCTATAGCTATGTGGTCTAAATGGCACCCACTTGCCACATGTGGCTCTTAATGTTTAAATTAAGATGGCATAAACGTTAAAACTTAGCTCTTCATACTACCCACCTAGCCAGTGCTCAAAAGCTACCCATGGTCATGGCTACTGTACTGGACAGCATAGAATTGGAACCTTTCTGCCGTCACAAAGTTCTGTTAGAACAGCGCTGGCTGGCCGTTACCACTGCAGTTACACAAAAGGGAAGAGCAGAGGAAAAACAGCAATCTCAGTGGCACAGCAAGACCTACTCATGTTTCCTGTCATTTAATGCTCTGTGAACTCCCAACTCCTGAACACAGCCCAGGCTACACCCTTGAACCTGGCCAGTCCTAGGTGTTCTTCCTCCTCCCTGGAACTGGACCAGTGGCTGATGGTGAGCTAGGAAACATGTCGGTCTGCCTATGATGTATGTGCGTTACATGGACCTTTCCAAATATGCATCTCTGCTAGCCCTGTCACTTAGTCAGGTGATGGTCCTAAATGATGTGTGACACTTCCTCACAGGAGACCTGATACATCTGAGACAGAAGAGGCCACAACCCCATGTCCTTTCTGCCAGTTCCTTCTCCCTGAATGTGAACTCCTCTGTCCTGGGTGTAAAAACAATATCCCATACTGCATTGCAACAGTAAGTTTCTTGATGGTAATTTCCCTTTCCATTTTAACATTTGATGTACATTTTACTTCTGATATGTTCTTATCCTTCAGATTTCCTGTAACATTTATTTCATGATCACCAAAGTTTATGTTCAAAACATGATAATGTAGGTGAAGGCACCAGCCAGGAGGTAGTGCCAGGCTACAGTTTTGCAGACGTGGGCATCAGACCATCATGGGCTCAAATCCTTTTTCTACCACCCACTGGCTGCAAAACATGGTGCACTTTACTTGCTGGGTTCACCTGTAACCCCATCTCCCTACTAAGATCATCTAGGCTGATGGAGAGCATGTGTGAAGCCTTGTGCCAGTACCTCATTAATAAGACCTACCAGAAACCTTTAAAACAGATTGCTAATCTCTATGCTAATGTAAGCTCTGTTTTAGAGGAAAATTCAGGTACTATGTGAAAAATTGAAGCTTATTTGGTATTTAAGCATGAATTTGACAGGTAAAAACTAGTTTCAGTCCTTCCACTGCTTACCTCTTTCTAGTCAGTTACCATCTATGTGAAGCAGGAATAATTTCACAATTCAGAGGGCCTGGCTTTTTACTTTAACTTGGTCATTATAATTTGATAATGGCAGATGTTTCAAAAATAAAGATGAATAATGTACTGTTTCCAGGGTCACCACATGTTGAAAGATGACTGGTCACTGTGTCCACATTGTGACTTTCCTGCACTATACTCAGAGTTTAAAATGTAAGTGTGCATGCTTCTCCCAGTCAAACAGCTTATCCAAAGTAGGCCTGTCTGAGGTCTCCATGTTTCATCTAAGCTCCCTGAACACCCAAAGTTGTCTAAGTCTTGGAAGAACCATCTGTGACCTTTGAGACCGCTCTTATTAAGAGGACCTTGCCTGAGACTGAATGTTTCTAAACTTCAAGTTGCATGATGAACATGTGGTAAGAGGTCCAGACGAACAGGGCACCAATGGCTTACGCCTGTAATCCTGGCTACTCAGGAGGGACCCAGCCTGGGCAATACTTCCATGAGACCCTATCGCAAAAAACCCATCACACACACAAAAAAAAAAGTGGGGGAGGAGGGTGCTGGTGGAGTAGCTCAAGATGTGTAGACAAAAAGTAAATTTTCATATTAGAGAAACCCAAAGGTGAAAGAATATTATATATTTAACTTACTCTGCATTTCCCTCCCCCAAACAGCATGCTAAATACTGAAAGTACATGTCCTATGTGTTCGGAAAGATTAAACTCTGGTCAACTGAAGAAAATTCCAGACTGTACCCAATACCTGCAAACAGAGATAGAACAGTGAGTGGCGTGTGCAGGTAAGGCCAGACACCCACTCCCCTTGCAGGGCACTGAGTCCAGAAACACAGCCTGTGCTTTGTGTTGCCATGCACACCTTTTTTGCACATCATGTAATGTCAGGTTTGAACAGTCTGACAATGAGCTCACCTTTGATGTATTCTCTTTAAATCCTAAAACGCAGGAAGTACAGCCTCCAGAGTAACAAAGGTTATTTGGCCAAGCAACATTACAGATTCCAACTAGAACATATGTTATCAAATTTTATGGGTTCCTTCTAAACAGTCCATTAAAACCAGAGCCAGTTTTTTAAAGAAAATGAAGTTTTTTCAAGATTTCCAGGACAATATTTATTGTACAAATTGCAGCTTCCAAAGATTTGCAAATCCAAATTTTGTTTTCTTTCCAAGTCTCAATTTTCTTACACTCCTTCCATCTCACTCTGACAGGGGAAGGGATGGTAAGCTGAACATCAGTTTTAAGTGTTCCAGGTTCTTGAGGAATTGAACAATGCTTTGGACAAAACATACAGAAGTAACAAGCAAAAATTTTATTTGTTTAACATTCCTATTTCATATATATACATACATGTCCATATATATACACACACACACACACACACATATACTCACACACTATAAACTGTACGGTTTTTTTAGTCATGTCTTTCAAAGAAATTACAAGGTACGGATGTAGCCTATACTTACTCCTATTTATCATTCCACGGTTCTCTGGCTTTCCTGAATGCAGGCTTCCACACATTATTTCCTTTCAACTTGAAGAGCTTTCTAAAACACTTCTCTCTTGCTGGTGACTTTCTCTATCCTATTTGAATTTTGGAGGATGTTTTAGTTTGGTATGGAGTTCTCAGTTGTTTTTTCTTAAAGCACTTTCAAGATGTCTGTCTCAAGTATCACTGGTCCCTTAAATACAGTATATCTCCTCCTGTGGCTGCACTCAAGACATTACTTTTACTTTTTAGAATTTTAACTGTTTCACTTCACTGTTTAAGTTCGAGCCATCCCCTGCCTCATGAACTCGCCATCTGAACATGAATCTTACCCAGTAGAGTTCTCCTTTCAAGGTTGACATCGTTCTAATTTCTGCCCATTTTTGGTTACTCTCTAATGCCTTTAAACAGCTGGTTATTATATTTTGTCCCAAACTCGTAACTGTTATCAGTGGGAAGATAAATCTGCATCTCTGCCACTGACAAAAGTGGAGCCTTACCTTTAACAACCCTCCACAGACTCTCTCTAAGCAACACTGTCCGTTACAGCAGGTAATATTCTAGAGAAAAACCTCAAATATCTAAGCACATCATGGCTCCTTGAAGACATCTTCAGTGAGTTATGACTATGCACTGTCTCCTAAAAAAATATAATGAGTGTTGACTGACTAAAGTTATGTTCACTGGCTCCTTTTGGACAGGAACCCTGAACTGTGTAATTTCAAGGAAGTATGTTCTCTGCAGTTTGCTGTTTCCTCATTCTTCCAGTGAGGTGCTATTATTATCATCACCATTTCTCACTTTACAATAAAGGCTTGGCTGCTTACCCTGCGATGTTAGTTGAGAAACTATACCCAGTACAGCCTGGATATTTCTAACCTGAGGGCTAGGTTGTGGCACACATCATGGAGGGCCTGCCTAGCAAGCGCAAGGCCCCAAGTTCAAACCCCCCAGCACCACCAAAAAAAGGAAAAGAAAAAAATTCTGATTTGAATGTAATGTTCCTAGCTCCATGTTCTAGGTATGAGCAATTTGGCTTTATTACTAAATGCTAGTCATTACATGAAGCCCTTCTAGAGCATGTGCTTGCTTGTCCTTTCTAGAAATGATGTTCCTGAGAAGATAGCATTTTCCATAGAAGGCTGTTTGCTACTTCATCTGGGAGACTTCATCTGGCTACAGAAAAATGAGACAAAGGTAGCCTCTCCAAATCAGCACTTTGAACTTCCATAGCATGGCAAAATAGTGACATGTAACTGTGCTGTTTATTGTACTTTGTGTATTTCCTATTCAAAGTCTTACACGATCCACACTCTGCCCTATTAATAGTAGCAACCTGTAACACAACTGTAAATATTCAGTTTTTGATAACTTTTATATTTTGACATATCTCCTTTAAAATAAAATTTTTCACTAGATATTCGTAATGTTTTCCTGGATTTGGAGACAAAGGGGATAAAGAGAGGCAGTTTTGAAGCACTTGGCCAGCACAGATATTAACACTCTAAAAAAGTTAAACTGTAAAACTTTAAGAGGTTAAATATAATCAAGGCTATTTAGCAGAAAAAATTCCTTAATCAAAATACCACAGAACAGTACAATCACTTAAAAGAATGAGTGAAACTATATGCTTATGTCTAGTGAGTCATTCCATTGCACACTGTGGAATTCCTGTCACAAAATTAAATCATTTGACATCCCCTGAAAACACATCCTTTGGGGTTAGGGGAGTGGCTCAAGTGGTAGAGTCCCTGCCTAAAAAGTGTGAGGCCCTGAGTTCAAAGCCCAGTAACAACAAAAACAAATAACACCCAAAACACATTATTTGGAATCTTCCCCAAGGCTGAGTGATAGTTGTTATCCCATATCACACATACCACACATGCTCCAAGGAAAAGCCATAATTTTCCACAACTTCAGTATACATGCCATCCATGGCCAATGTCACCAGTCTGACAGAAATGAGTCATGGCATGAACTCTGAGTGAGACGATGTGATTGTACATTATGGCCACCAGGAGTTCTAGCATTATAATGGTACTGATGAGCCCAGGCTAAGGTGAAAGTGCTTTATGATACCAAGTGTCCCAACCTGCAGGATGCCTCCAGCTTTATGATCTGTTCTTCCCTCCTTATGGCTGGCCAGAGAATAAAGCAAAGGTTGTCCTTACTACATGGTACAAGTTATTAACATAAAGCCCACCCATAGTCCCCTGCTTCTTCCTATACACTCTCAGAGGAAGGATGCTATAAAGGTCAAGGCATAAAATCCACAGCCACTTGAGATCTATGAGACTGAGCATGTAGCTTGTGATTTGCAGGCCTTAGGCTATAATCCACCAGAACCTGTTTAGGAAGATGCTCGTCCTCATCTAAAACTTCAAGACGTCAGTGTTGCAAGACTGTCAAAATAATATGAATAGTTTATGAGAGATAATCAAAATGGCCTACACTTGTAAGATCTCAAAGAGCAAGTATACAGTTGTAAGTTGCAAAGATGTGCAGCTCTGAGTGGCTCCAATGAAGAGTCAATCCCAACAGAGAGATTCACATCCAAACTGCTGCAGAACCAACTCCCACCTACCATTAATCTCTACTGTTTACCTCAGTTCAAGAGGGCCTCAAGGAATAAAGCACCCATATTGTCATCCCCATACATTTACATAGCATATTTACAATTTCTAATTCTAAAACAAATGTTTTAATCATTATGTACACTATTCCAGTTGTGTTTAGAACACTCATAATTAAAAACAAAACCATAATGAGTAAGTAAAGAACACCATTTGTTGTTCTGACTGCAAAGAGTTACAGGCCCTTTCCTGGGATGTACAGAGTAACTGGGGAGAACTGACTTGACTACTCAAAAAGTAAGAGAAATGAAAGAATATGCTAAGAAAACCAGCCAAGTTTCCAGCTAGGCTCTACCAAGGAACAGAGGAGCAGGATTCAGGAGGCATAGGCTTAAGGCAATGTTTTATTCATAATGAATTAATCACCATCAGACATTTTTCACACTGGCAAATACACTTTAAATGTCTCAAGAATTCTGTCTCATCTCCCAAACAAGACCATCAGCCCTTAAAGGCAGGGAACACTGTCCTTATCTTACATTCCGTTTAGCATCTACCTCACAGAGGCAGTATAGACCTCTGAGCATGTGTTGACAAGATTAAAAATAGCTAGACACCTAAACCCCATGCTAGATCCACAGCCTCAGGGCTACTCAAGAAGCTGAAGTTCCAATAGGGTTTGCAGATGCCATCTCAGGAACAAAAGCCAGTATTCATTTTGTCCCAGCCACAGTAAGCCAAAGCATCTGACCCAATATCGGCCTTACTGGTTTGAACCTGATGGGTTGAGACTGCAAGAACAAGAATGTCTGGCAATTCTTCTGAGTCCCCATACCTTCTAGTAATAATGAACAGGCCTCCCCATGAAAGCCTACTCACAGCAGCGATGTGGTCACCACTCAATGACACTGAGAAGTCAAGCTCTGACTCTTAAACTGCCAAAGTTACATTTCACTCAGGTGGTTAGTAAGGAACAGAGTGAGCTTTTTAATCCAATAGTTTGCAAATTAATAAGGAGAGTGATATACCAACATAGTATTTCGCTGTACAGTATGACAATCTTGAGGAAAATCTGAACATGTATCATGTGGAACATTTTTATTCCTAATTTATAATTTGCAAGATATCTGACAATGTACAAAAATTACCCAGTTGTAGGTGGTGATTGCTTTGTATTATGATTTATTTACAAAATTTCACCACATAATAGGAACTATCTTTTTAAAAAAATCAGCATTGGTCCTATAAAGGCCATTAGGATAAACTCAAGCCTATAAAAGACACCTCAATTCCACTGCTGCCCGGCTGCTTGTTAACTAAAATCTGACGCCAAAGCCTGCATGTGGTTTCTAGTTCTAATTCTACCATAAAGTCTGAAGCACAACAATCTCATTAGATTGGCAGAGAACAGTGAAGGACCCAAGCAGTCCTATCAACCTCTATAAGAGGTGTATTTGGGCCAACTGGTTATACCCTTCCAACTGTTCTACCCTTTATAATGGGACCACTGTGGGATCCCATAGTGCCACAAACAGTTCCCTGGAAAAAAACAAGGTTTTCTTTAGCCCAGCAAGACTGGTCAGGAAGGTGAGTGGAAGTGTCTTGGCTGTTGGAAGTGAAAAATGGTTTCATTTCTTTGAACTTTTTCCTTTTCCTTTTTTGGACTCCTTATCTTTTTCTGGTTTTGAAGGCTTGGAAGATTTTGTCTTTTTCTGTTGGGGGGGAAAATGCACAAAAAAATTAATACCTGTGTTTATACATAAATGAAATGAGCCTGTCTTACAATAAATTTAAATCTTTACCTGCAGCTTGATTATAAAACAAGAGATTTCAAATGTCTAGATCTTGGGTTACTACTATCTCTGATAAGCTGCGTTAACAAGGGGACTAGCTGAAAAATAGTAAAAACTGAAAAGCTATATAAGGGTCTGAAGCTAAGATATGTTTCCCATGTAAGGCAGTTTCTTGGATTTAGAACATAGATATACTTAGGAAAGATAAAATAACCAAGATAATTTACAAATGTAGCAATGTTTACATAAAGAATTTCGTTTTCTTTCAGCTTCAGACTAAAGATCTAAACACATTCATTTTGTGAAGGGGAAAGAGGAGAGAGGGACACAACTACGCCTACTAGGAATAGAGAGCACTCCGCTAGAAAAGGCCGCCATTCCTACCCTATGTGTCAAGTGAGAACAAAAAGCAAATGCACACAGCAAAGATAAAGGAGGACAAAGACTAGACTCCTTTGCCTTGGCAGTGACACCATGATTCATTTTAGTCTTTCCTACCAAAAGACAAGGAAAGAGCAAGTTTTGCTCTGAGAAACTTTTATAGGCAATTTGGTGGTTATAGCACAACCCAATTAACAGAAAGAGAAAAATGGCTTTGTTAAAAGTTTTTTCTGTAGGAGGCTGAGGCAGAAAGATTGCAAATTCGAAGCCAATGTAGGCTAAATAGTGAGTTAGAGGCCAGCCTAAACTATAGCAAGACCTTGTCTCAAAAAAAAAAAAAAAAATCTATGCATATACAAATAGCCAAATAAATAAAAATGGTATTTTTCCTATAGAGCATCAATATGATGGTCCATTTTCTTGCTATTTGGCTCTTTCATTACTATAAAAAGCTGTTTATAAAAAATAAATTTATCCCTCACCATCCTCAATCACACTGAACAAAAACCAAAGTATCTCAGCTCTCAGTCTGCTCCTTGCTGAACAGGCCTAATATTCATCAAGCAAATTATACACACACACAAAAAAAGGATCATCTACTTTAAGATTCTCTCGTCAGTAGCTTAAACTACTACCTTGATCATAGCATCAGTCTCTACTGCATCCTGGTCCTTCTCATCAGCCTGAGCATCATCTTCCTGTAACTCGTCACTGTATTCAGAATCCAGTGCTGAGCCTAAGCTGGGTCTAGACATCTTTGCTACCTGAAGTGAGTATGGGGCAAGGTGGGTCTCCTTATTGTACACTCTTGTGAAGGCCGCTTTCACCTGTACAGAATGAACAGGGAGACTGTTAAAAACCTAAGTCCCAAACAATTCTTTTAAATCCTCTAGGCCAAAGATTGATAGCCCCTGGAAGCACCTTAGAAGCGTATGCAAAATATTTATGTATACACATGTAAATGGAAGTATATTAATTTTTATATGGAGAAGTTCTGTATTTCTCATGATACTCTTGAGCCCATGACTCAAAAGATCAAGAACTGGTATCTGAGAACTTAAAGCAAACAGAAACAGTTACCTTAAGTCTTATTGTTACCTATTCAGCACTTCTTCACTTTTCTACAAAGTTAGTCTGTGAATCAATACACTGAATGAAAAGATCTAATAAACATACAAGTTGGCCTTTACCATGATAATAACACTTACTTCAAAATACTAACTTAAAAAGCTTTAATTTCAAGCTTCTAAACATAATTCTAGAACAAATCCATGAATCCTAACAACATCTACTAGAAAACTTACTGATAACCATTAAGTCAGGTGTAGAGATGGTGCAAAAACAGACTGTATCTTCTAAAACTCATTACAGAAGTGAGATATTGTATATCACATAATTGTGCTATTTCACTAGTTTTTTCATGGTCCTTACACAGAGAAAAGTGGGTACAGTTTTACATAGTAGATTACCAACCTGGAATAAATACTGAATAAAAAGGTAAATTAAGAAAAATTATAAATCCTAGATAGTAGATACATATAATCCATTACCATTACCTTAAGTTTACTTCCCCAGGCTCTTCCCCCTACTCTTACAAGAAATTGTTTATATTTACTCTTCAGATTTGACTTGTTGCCTTTCCACTCAGCATGAAACCAAGATAAAAGTATAAACTGAAAGGCAAGTCCAGAATTGTACTGAAATAGTATCTTTGGAAAGCATAGGCCATAAAAGGCAACAAGTATTTAAGGGGGAAGAGGGTTAAACTCTTTTAAAACAACTAAAACATTCCTGAAGTACAACTAGGACAAACCTGGCCATTACAAGGTGACAAGAGAGCCACGCATGGTGACAGCACACCTGTAATTCTAGCACTTGGGAAGCTGAGGCAGAAGGATCATGAGTTTGAAGGCAGTGTGTGCTACAGAGCAAGTTCCAGGCCAACCAAGGCTATATACAGAGACCCTACTCTAAAAACTAACAGCAAATGACAGGAGCAATGAGCTGCATAAATTACCTTGGGATCCAGCTTGGAAAAGGGACTAGGCTTGCCACCCCAGCTGCTAATTTCCATGATATTCTCAAAGTCTTCTTTCATCAAGTAATATGTGTCCATAAGTGCAACAACATCTTGTACTCCTTCTACCCCCTGTGAGGTCAAGGGCTGTACAAGTGCATCCCTTATGTGTGACAGGTAATCCATGTTCACAGTCCTTTTACTGGAGCACGTTCTGAAAAAGACACAGCTGCAGTCAACAGACACCACTGCCAGTTCCTGTGTCACGCACAATCTGAGTCAACCAGGCAGAGTTCAATCCGAGTCTCACCAGTGTTGTAGGAAAGCCTATTGCTCCACCCGCAGGGTAATGGACGCACACCACTATGCATAAAGGATCAGTGACTAAAAAAACAAATGTGCACGTTCCTTCCACCTTGTTCTTAAGGCCCAGACAGCAACAGTGTCTCTCTGTGCCTACACTTATTATACCCATAAAGACTACTCATTCTAAGTCCCCAAATATGAAAAAAGATCAGCAAAACAGTGAGATTTCCTACATCAAGTGCCACTGCCACTTCCTACATGAATGTGTGCAGCACCTTCTGGTCTCTGATTAGAACAGACAAAATTATATACACATGACTCCCTCACACTTCCTCATACCAGCAATCTGAAATCTGTTCTAGGGCAGGGTTTTCCCCAGTCTAAGAAAATTGCAGAGAACGTTCCTGCAGAATCCAAAAGTGATCCCTACGACCCAGAGGGATCTGTTGAGAGGGATCCAGACTAATCTGATAAAAATTAGAATGTTATCCAGAAATTACTTTATCTCTTAAATGCTATCATGTCTTTAAAACAAAATAACTAAAAAAATAATATTTCAAATGCCACCATCCTAAAATCTTTTCAATACAGCTGCCTCTGTCTTCAATTCTGGCAATTTCAAGCTGGGCATAGTGGCACACGCCTGTAATCTCAGCAATTCCAGTACTTAGGAAGATGAAGTAGGAGGCTCTCAAGTTTGAGGCCAACTGGGCTACATAGTGAGAACCTGCCTTTAAAAAGAAAGACCTCAAAAGCTGTTACTATCAGAATCCACACTAGAATCAGAAAAGAAACGATTCTTTAAAAATTACCTATGGATCCTGCTCCTGCCTTCAGGTAACTAAATATCGGAACTACGAGAAGCCACACAGTTTTTCCCCCAGTCAGTAATCTAGAACCTTACCCTTGCAGCTACCTTATTACCTAGGCAAAGAGTTCAAAATATTAAGTTAAATCTGCATCAAACATTAAATCTGCATGCTTGTGATTAGATCTTCCACAATCAAGGGCACTAGTACTTGAAGAGAAGTTGTGTGGTCCCTAAAGCACAGTACTCAAGAAACATTGCCAAAATCATTAGCTTACACCGTTATATCTTCTAGTACAATGAAAGAACATTAAATCTAGAAAACTCTAAACATGTCACCTAATGTACTTAAGTCAAGGACCCTTAATTCCCCTAAAATTATGTTATCTGAGCATCTATGCATTTGGGGGGAATAAAAATGAAAGTGTTCAGATTCTCAAAGACAACCCAAAAAAGATTAGGAACAGCAAAATCACACTTGCATTTTTTAAAGATAAAGAGAAAGAAGGCCTTTGTAAGTTCAGTAACTTCATCAGGGTTAAAAAGCTAAGAAAGGAGGTCTTGTCTACCTAAAACAATCATGAAACTCACTATAAATGCCCTTGTTGTTAATAATGGCCTATATATGATTCACTAAGAAACATTTTAATTAGCATCAAGGAGGGACACCCCCAGGGCAGAGTAATGCATGACCTTTAAAAAAGGAGTGGGCAAGGAGCACAAAAAGAACTGAGAGGCAGGCCTCAGTCACGTCTGGGAAGGCAGTGGGGAGAAGAAGCCTTTCCCAATTGCTAGAGGCCACCTGTATTTCTCAGCTGATGATGGCTCCTTCTCCATCTTCCAAACACCTTCAAATCTCCCTCTCTGATTCTGGCAATGCTCTTCCCATTTACAAAGAGCCCATGATGACAAAGGGGCCAAACATAACCCAGGTCCATCTTCCCCAAGATGGCTCAAGATGACAAAAAATTTGTGTTGTCTTAAGCCATTCTGTTTATTAAGCAGAAATTGAGGATGGAGGGCTAGGGATGTCGTTCAAGTGCCTGCCTCGCAAGTGTGAGGCCCTGAATTCAAACCCTAGTACCCATCGCTCCTCCAAAAAAAAGGAAAAGTAAGGGTGGGGGAAAAAAGAAAGACTACTGCATAGGCTGGAACAGGAAACTCAGCAGGAACTAGAATTTCATAGGAACAGACGAAAGGAACTATCTCAGCTTTAACCAAAAGTTGAAGGTGGATTTGGGGATGAAGCATTAAATATTCCAGGAACCATAAGAAGAAAGAATGCTTAATTAGTTCTCATGGTTATAAATGAATCCTTAAAATTTATTTAATATTTGTTGTATGCATATTTTTTAAGTTTCTAAACTTTAACAAAATTGTGCCAAACACAAGTATTTTTTAATTTCGTTAAACTTTCCCAAGTATATTAGTTTCAATTATCTGAGTAGCCCTCTCCTGTTCATGCTGTGTTTCCTATCCCACATGTCTAGGTCAAATTACTACCCAAATCGGTAAAAACTAGTTGATTTCTTTAAGTAGTTCAGTTTTCCCCTCTGAATGATCCTGGAGCTGAGAAGGTGTTCCTGCTAATAATAGGCATAGTCACAATAACAATAAACAGGAGCAGCACCTCAGGTGTACCTCAGCTGTATATAGTTTCTAAATGTATCTCAAAGTTATGTTATGATGCATCCAACCAACCTACTCTGCTTAAGTGACAAAGCAATGTGCTGACTACAAGTGACTCAGACCACCAAATATACAGATTCAGGACCATCAATCTAGTTACCAATAAAATCAAAACTAAAACACGTACCTTTAGACTCATGCTGTTCTCTTTGAATACAGGCTAACACCCTACCAATAAAATATCAGAAATGGTGTGTGGTTCTGCTTACCTAAGACTCATGTGTAATGCGAGGTCCTGAACAATTCGATCATGTTTGCCTGTAGATGAGTACTTCCCCAGCCAGCTCGGGAAGGTGGGGAACTGGGTCATATACCCCCTCATCAGCTCTCCAGGAAGAACACTGGCATAAATGGCCTGAAAAAAAAAAAAATCAACTGCAGTCCAAAATTTAAATCTGGTACAAGGTTGGTTTAGCAGCTATCAGCTTCCACGTGGGCTGCTGTGGTTTAGAAATGGCCCCAAGCTTCACATGTTAAAAGTTTAATTCCCACTGTGAGGTATTAGGAGTGTAGAAACTTAATCCTATTATACTGTTTCGAGGCAGGGCCTTTGGAGCATGGTTTAGATTAGATAAGGTCATTAAGGCATAGCCTCCATAACTGTATCCTGGTACCTTTATAAGACAGAGAACACATACGCATAAACATGTACTTTCTCCATTTCTTTCCATGTGATGCTCTGTTCCACTTTGGAATTCTGTCAGCAAGAAGGCCATCACCAGATGCAGGCCTTTAGTCCTCCAGAATGATGAGATAAACGAAACACCTCTAAAATTTCCCTAGTCTGTGGTACTGCATTAGCGCCATCAAAATGAACTAACACACAATCTGTGGGAAATTAAGTAATTTGTCTCAGCACCTAATTACAGGGCAGTTAGGCCCTTTTCCTGATCTGTAGGTGTGGTGAACTTGTCCCAGAGAAAACAACAGACTGCAGTCAATACCCTGGGCCACAACATGGGATGGCCCTCAGAGAGTTCATCTTATATCCTCAGCCAGCTGATCTCAACTTATTACCTACCTTACAGGTGCCAATGTCACAGCACAGAATTATCTTAAGAGGAATGTGACTGTCTTAAACAAAAGCAGTTGACAGCACAGGCAGATTAAAGAATGGAAAGTCTAATTAGAGAACTGATCATATTGGCACTTGAGAAAAGAAAAAGCTGTGTCTTTAGATGTTTCTTATGCCCAGGGTTTTCACTTTTTTAAAGGCTGGAATTATACTCTACATAAATTTTGTATCCTGCTTTATTCTACTAATATTCTCTCAGATTAATCTCCATAAATACTTTTTGGGAGGTACTGGGATTTGAACTCAGGGCCTTGCATTGGCTAGGCAGGCACTCTACCACTTGAGCCATACCTCCCACTGTACAAATACCTTTAAGGAATGCAAAATATGTCATCAAGAGGATTTACCATAAATTTGGAGGCTACTTAAAAAGCTAAACATTGATCTACCATTTGATCCAGCAATACCACTCTTGGGGATATACCCAAAAGACTATGACACAGATTACTCCAGAGGCACCTGCACACCCATGTTTATTGCAGCACTATTCACAATAGTCAAGTTATGGAAACAGCCAAGATGCCCCACCACTGACAAATGGATCAAGAAAATGTGGTATCTATACACAATGGAATTTTATGCAGCCATGAAGAAGAACAAAATGTTATCATTCGCTGGTAAATGGATAGAATTGGAGAACATCATTCTGAGTGAGGTTAGCCTGGCTCAAAAGACCAAAAATCGTATGTTCTCCCTCATATGCGGACATTAGATCAAGGGCAAACACAACAAGGGGATTGAACTTTGAGCACATGATAAAAGCGAGAGCACACAAGGGAGGTGTGAGGAAGGTAAGACACCTAAAAAATTAGCATTTGTTGCCCTCAACGCAGAGAAACTAAAGCAGTTTACCTTAAAAGCAACTGAGGCCAATAGGAGAAGGGGACCAGGAACTAGAGAAAAGGTTAGATCAAAAAGAATTAACCTAGAAGGTAACACACATGCACAGGAAATCAATGCGAGTCAACTCCCTATATAGCTATCCTTATCTCAACTAGCAAAAACCCTTGTTCCTTCCTATTATTGCTTATACTCCCTCTTCAACAAAATTAGAGATAAGGGGAAAATAGTTTCTGCCAGGTATTGACAGGGTGGGGGGGAGAAGGAGGGGGCAGAAGGGGTGGTAAGGGAGGAGGTGGGGGCAGGGGGGGAGAAATGACCCAAGCACTGTATGCACATATGAATAATAAAACAATAAAAATTAAAAAAAAAAAAGGATTTACCATAATTAATCACTCTCCCAGTGCTGGGCATGGAGAGTTTCCCCAATTTTTTGTGATCAGAATTAATGTTGTGGGAAATATTTCTATACATAAGGCTTTTCCTGTGTTCAAAATTATTTCTTTAGAATAAAATCTCAAAGGTGCAATTACTAAGCAAGGAAAAATAAACACTTTTAAAACATAAGAGAAAAAGGTTCTGTATCACGAGAATGAATCTTTGGTTTTTGTTTTTGAGCAATGTGTGAGAAGAGCAAACACTCTTAAATATAAATGTTTGCCAGATTCTGTTTTCATTTAAGGGTATTCAATGTAAAGCTGCCTCTTTAGCAAGAAAGAAGAAAATGAGAATTTCTGTTATCAGAGGGATACAGCTGAGGGATGGCTGATGACCCTGCACTGGCTGCACTTCTTCTAGAAAGAGCTATTTAGTGTCCCTCTAAAGACCCATGCAAGTCATGCCTCAGCTCACACACACACAAAGGATTCTTATGGTAAAACAACAAATGAAACTTTTCATTCACATCTTTGGTTATAACCAAATCTAGCCATCCTATTTCCACACATCCATTTACATAAAAACATTTTTGAAACACTGAATAGTAATAAACAGACAACAGTGACTGCAGAATATTTTTAGCTGAAACAGACTATTTTTTTGCCACAAGAGCAAAAAAACATTTTAAATAATTGCAGGAGACAAGCTACTTTGCTTCTTAACTAAAGCAGAGTCAAAGTATGGACTCTGCTTTAGTTAAGGAGAGCACTAGCTTACCTGAGTGGGCAGAAGACTCCAGTTTTGCTTGCTTCGGATCTGACTGTCCACTAAGTCACCATCACATATGCTGTCTGCTGCTCGGCTTAAAAGCATTAAGTGCTTTTTCATGTCACCCCTGCAGGAAAGAGTCACTCTGGATTACATCACTCTCCACACCCCTGACCGCTCCTTGCCACACATTTGGCCTTTGCAGTGCTGGGAGGGTCCTAGCCCTACCCCTCACTAGCTTTGAATGCTCACCCCGCGGCTATAGGCTTCACGTGTAGGTAGTTCTCCTGAACAAAGAGGGGTGCTATTGAATAGTCATGAAAAAAGAGATCCAATTTGTCCATAAGTGACATATGAGCAGTCTCCTCTCCAGCTGCAAACACTTTCCGGGCAACATCAAATGGGCCCTGAAAATATAGGGAGGGACACACCTGTTAGGATGACCAAAACAATGACCTCACCAAATGCTGGCAAGGGTGTGGAACGACAGGAATTCTTACTGACTGCTGACAGAAATGGTACAGCCATGCTGGAAGACAATTTGGCAGAATCTGACAAAACTAAACAGACTTTTACCATCAGCAATCACACTCCTTGGTATTTACCCAAATGAACTGAAAACAATGTCCACACAAAAATCTGTATATAGATATTTATAGCGGATTTAATCATTAACTGCCAAAAACTGGAAGCAACCAAGATGTCCTTCAGTAAGTGAATGAACAAATAAACTGTGGTACATCCAAACAATGGTTTTATTACTCAACAACTTAAAAAAAGGAGCTATCAAGACATGAAAAGTCATGAAGGAGCCTTAAATGCATGCTACTGTGTGAGAGAAGTCAACCTCAAAAGGCTACATGCTCTATGATTCCAACTATATGATTCTGGAAAAGGTAAAACTATGGACACAGGAAAAGTATTAGTGATTGTTAAAGGGAGGGAGGGAAGACAAGACAGACACTTATATTTAAGAGGATTTTGAGGGGGACAGAGAAAGTGCTCTGCATGACATGACAATGGTACATATATGTCATTGTACATTGGTCAAAAACCATAGAATGTACAACCGCCCCTATGAAAACCATGGACTTAGGGTGATATGATATGTCCAATATAGGTTTACCAATTGTAACAAATGCACTACTCTGGTTGGGGATGTTGATAGTGGGATAGGCTATGCATGTTGGGGTACAGACAGGGATATACGGGGAGTTTCTAGGCCTTTCCACTCAATTTTGCTGTGAACCTAAAACTGCTCCAAAACATTGTGTGTGTGTGTGTGTGTGTGTGTGTGTGTGTGTGTTTAAAAGCCACTACTTAATCATTACTCTAACTATAATTAGTAAATTCTGACTAGTAAAATGGAATACAGAGGCAACTGATATAAAGACTAGCTTCAGTAAACTAAAAGCTACCTGAAACAGGTAATAGTGCCAAAGTATTTAAAACATGCAAACCATATGGAAGGAACTCTGAAAAGACTATTTTTAACTGTTGAAGCAGGATTATAATTTAAAACTTAGCTTTTTCTCAGAATTTGTAAGACATCGACAATCCTTGAGGAAAAATTCTTTTGAATTAGGACACTGTTAGCAGCTATCTGCAGATCTTACTATAGGTATCCATGGGCTCCATAGGTGTATCAAGAAACTAGACTATGCCTACTAAGCTAGTATCTACAGAACAAGAAGTGTTTTAGCTTCAGAAAGTAACTAAGAGATGAAAACTTATTTTACCAGTCTGATATCCTTCTTGGCCCTCTGAGAATCAGCCTTGGCCTGGTCATAGGTTAGGGCCTTACTTCGTGCACACCACATACTCAGATTGTGCAAAACCTAAAAGAATCATAAATAAGACAATGTAAGAAAAAAAAATACTACTATTCCCCTCCCTACAAGGTTGAAAGTATCAATTCAAAGAGTCACCAACTGTCACATAATACATATTTAACTTACTTGTCTGATATCTTGATTAGCTCCCAAAATTATCTCATTCATAGCTGGAGGAGGAATCTTTAAACCCTCTTTAAATGCAATAGACATCATAGCACCCTGAAATTGACAAGGTGGGAATCATCAATGATTTTTTTTAACTTGTATAATCTGACATTTAAACAATATCAGTTATTTTTAAAATCCGACCCTTAAATAAACAGAATAGTGTGATTAGAAGGAGGGATGAAGGAAGGGAGGGAGGAATGAGTTTCAATCATCGTACCTTAATCTGTTCAACACGAGGTCTTTGAAAACGAAGATCAAAACAATAATGAACCAAAGAGCGAATCTTGGGATGATTTCTATCATTGCACATACAAATAATGGGAATTTTAGTTTGTTTTATCAGGGCAATCAATTCCTAAAAGGCAAAAGTTCAACACAAAAATGATTATGTACAAAATAACAAATACTACACTATGTATTTTAGGTTTTAAAAACCTCATCAACATGTTGTAACTGCTATAAATACCAGTGCACACAATTAAATATTTTTTGAATGTGAAAGAGCAGAAAACTGAGAAAACATGGTGTTTTCATTACCTGAATCCCTCCCCTGTCCTCACTGCCTGCCATGCCGTCTACTTCATCCATGATGAGAGCATGCTTCATGCTCATTGACGGGACGGCTGCACCTGACCAGGATGAGAAGTCATAGGATGAGGCAAAACCACCGTGACCAGCATTGTTCACCCAATGATGCATTTATTAAAACATACCCCCATTAGCTACATGGTGCATGATTGCATATGCCTGTGCGTTTTTCTGGGGTGGAGATGTAAAGATGAACAAAATTAAATAGACAAAAAAAAAAAAAAACACAGTGACACTGTTCAAACTGCTACTTTACAGAAAATTATATAACACATTTTAAACTTCAAAAGCTACAAGAGTGAGCCTTCTCCTACATTCCTCATTTTCCTTTCCAGAGGCAAAAAATAATCTCTTGTATGTCCTTTAAGAAGCAGTCTATACAGCTGGGTGTTGTGGGCAACACCTGTACTCCTAGCTACTTGGGAGGCAGGGATTAGCAGAATGGTGGTTCAAGGCCAGTGTAGGCAAAATGCTCCCAAGACCCCATCATCTCAGTCAATAAAAGCCAGGCATGGTGGTGCATGCCTGTCATTCCAGCATTGTCCAGTCTGGCCTAGGCATAAACCATGAAGCCTACTCAAATATAACTAAAGCAAAAAAGGGCTGGGGGCATGGCTCAAGTGGTAGAGTGCCTGCCTAACAAGCGCAAGGCCCTGAGATCAAACCCCAGTACCACAAAGAGAAAGACAGAGAAACAGTCTATACGTACTAAAAATATCTGCAGAAAATAAAATATACGTCAATTTTGTCATTTAATATATTCTGGTGATGGTTTCGTTCCTTATCTATAGATAGAGAACACGTCTTCATTTTTAAGGAAATTTAATATTCTATTTTACATATGTATCATAACTAATCACTATCTATTGATGAAATACTAAGATGCTTCCAAGCTTTTGCTATATGGCATACCTAATATCCCCATACATGTATGAGTTCATGTATAGCTATTTTGCACATAATAACAGCTAAGAAGCATAGTAACAGCTAAAGTCCAGAAATTGGAATGTCTGGGTTAGAAGGTATGTGCAATTTAGCTTTGAGAAATACTACCAGGCTGCTCTCCAGAGTTGTACTAATTTATACTCACCAACCATGTAGAAGAGTGACACTTCCTGAAGCAGCTTCTTATGAACAATGACTTTCAACCACTGAAAGCACTATGAATTCAGGTGACCTAGCAATTACCAGTCCCTAATTTGGCATCTCAATTTTCCCCATGAACTCCGCACGTCCAGGACCACTAGCCACAACCTAAAACACAGTGGGCACTTTCACAGTGTGTCTTCTATGACTTTTGCCTGAAATGATACCTTCTATCTCCAATCAGATTCTCACTCGTTTTCAAGACTTTTCAAACAAATACCACCTTTTTTTACCAGTAGCTTACAGAATGCCCCAAACATAATTACTTCACAGCTGCAGCCTTTTACCTCACTCATCACACTATGTTTCATCTCCTTCTTCATTGGACTCACCCATGAGTCCTGTAAAATCATAAGTAAAATGTAAAAATATGCATATATACAGATTTTTATCACAATCTAAAAAACCCTAAGTCTACGGATAACTATTGCTCCTTAAGAGTTAGGTCAGAAGCCTTTCTCATTTTCTTGATAGCCCCAGGATTTAAGAGGATATTTGCCACACACAAGTATTCCATGTTTGTTACAGAACACTGCAACGAACTTGTTTTTTCTTATCTGACAAAAAGAAACAAACCAGTTCAAAATACATACCTGGGTAAAAGCTTTTGATGCTGGTGTTACTCAGTGATTCCGCAACAGATGCCTTCAAACTGCTCTTACTCCGCGTATCACTTGCATTTAGTTCCACACAGCTATATCCCAATTCCTAGCCAAAACAGTGGAAATCGTTACTATCACAATGCAAATTACTTCCCCTCCTCCAAGAAAAGGCTAATTAAAAAAGAAAACCCAAAACTGATGTAAAAAAACATAGGCAAAAATATAAAATACAACATGATTTTAACTATAATATGACTCACAATATTAGAAATTTTTAAAATATCATATACATACAATATAGCATATACATACAAACATACAAAAGTTTGGTCTTAAAACCTCAGCTGGAGCAGGTACTGGTGGCTGACACCTGTAATCCTTGCTACTTCAGAGGCTGAGAGCCAGAGAATCTTGGTTAGAGGCCAGCTGGGGCAAAAAGTTCATGAAACTCTCTCTCCAAAATAACCAGAGCAAATGGTCTAGAGGTGTGGTTCAAGCCTGTTTTGCAAGCCTGAAGCCCTGAGTTCAAACTAAACAAGCAATTTTTCTAAGTTTGCCTCTTAAAAGTCCTAAAAAAATTAAGTATAACAATCTTAATAATGTGGTATTAGCTATAGAATCAGAATCAATCTATTACAAAATATCAAAAAGTAACTCGTCTCTTCAAGATAAAATATAAAATTAATTCATTCTTTGTCAGATTATCCCATCATACAATTTTTCTAATTAGGAAAATTCAAGTTATTCTAATTCATTTTCCAAAACTTTAAAAGTGTCTTTTTAATTACCAAAAAAAAACAAGCATATAATAAGGAAGAATAAGTTGTGCTCAGAAATGTAGAAGTAGGAAAAAAAAGTTTTGCCTTTGCTTATGAATTGTGAAAAATATGAGAATTTATATATTAATTTTATGCTCCAACACATACAACAAAGACCGAAAGAAGCTTAGGTGGCAAATGATTGGGAATTCCAGCAATAAACCCCTCGTTATTCTGATAACAGCACATGAACTGTCATTTGTTTGGCTGCCCAGGCAAATTAAGTCCTCTCTCTGTCTAGAGATTCAGTAGCCACAGATCAAACAAAGGGAGGGTCACAAGGTAAGAGGAGCAGAAGCCCTGACTCAATACCTGGTTCAATTTGTGCCATCACTCTGTTCTCTAAGCCTGTTTCATTTGCCACAGGAGCATACTGACACAACATATATTCAGTACACAGAAAAATTACAACAGTATATGAGATACTGGTATCTTTCTGGTTCTACAACACATATTTATATTACAGAGTATCCCTGATCTGAAAGTTTGGGACCAGAAGTGTTTCAGGTTTCAGAGATTTTCACATTTTGGAATCTCTGCATTGACTTTACTGGCTGAGCATTTCTAACCAGAAAATATGAAATCCCACATGCTCCAAAATCTGAAAGGTTTTGAGTTAAAGTTTCAGAGCATTTCAGATAAGCAGGGCATAGTGGTACATGCCTATAATTCCAACACCCTGGAGGATGAGGATAAATCATGAGCTCAAGGCCAGCCTAAGCTACGTAGTGAGATCTTGTCTCAAAAAAATAACTAAAACTACAGCATTTCAGATCTTCTTATTAGGGATGTTCAATCTGTATCTAAAATACATCCAAGTGAGCTGACTAGCTCTCAGGAAAAAATACTTATTGCATTAGTTCCCTTTATCTATGGTTTAGCTTTCTGAGGTTTCGTTTACCTTTGGTCAACAATAGTCTAAAAATATGCATTGGAAAATTGTAGAAATAAATAATTCCTAAGTTTTAAATTGCATGCCATTCTCAATAGCATGATGAAATCTTGAACTGTCCTGTTCCATCCTGCCCAGGATGTGAATCATCCCTTTGTCTGCTGTGGACACTACCTGCCCATGAGTCACTTAGTAGCTACCATGGCTATCAGTCAAGTGTCCCAGTATACAATTTTCTTAATAATGCTTCCGAAGAGTAAGGGTAGCAAAGGCACGAGAGCATAAAACATGGAAGGACAAATGGCTTTGGTACAATGTGGCCAATGCTGGAGGGCATGTAGGAGAAAACATAGTATACATAATGTTCAGAACTATTTGTGGCTTCAAGCAGCCACAGGGGTCTTGGAATGTATTCCCCATGAACGGGAAGTTGAACTTCAGTTGTCTAAATATGCAAACCCATTTGAGCCATGTCTCCAGCAATTTTTCTCTAGTTATTTTGAAAATAAGGGTCTCGCTTTTTGCTCAGGGTGGCCCGGCCACAATCCTATTTTAGGCTTCTCATCATTTCTGGGATGACAGATGCGAGGCACCATGCCTACATTTTTTCCATTAAAGATGGGGTCTCATGAACTTTGCTGCCTGGGCTAGCCTGAAATCCCAATCCTCTCCATTAAGTCTCCCAAGTAGCTAGGATTACAGTGGTGAGCTACCAGTACCTGGCTTTAACCATTATTTTTTAAAGGATGAAAATGACAAATATCACAGGAACCTAAAGAAATTCTAAAAGTTTTATTTTAGACAAATGCACGCAGCAGTTTTATATATACATATATATACACACACCACATGCACACACTCACATACACACTCACCCATGTGTATCTCCTACACATGACCACTCTCAGGTTACCTTTCAAACTACACTACAACAGTACAACTATGCACCCACCTGACACACCAGGGAAGCTGTGGTGGTCTTGCCAACACCGGGAGGGCCTGACAGCAATGCTGCCTTAAAAGTAGAACCATCATCTTTGCCGGCAAATTTACCAAATTTTGCTGCTAGGGAAAAAGAAGTTCCAGAGTGTTAACATCTGTCACCTAACAGAAATCAGGAACAGCAGGACTCATGCATAAACTGCCCACAGACAGCAGTCCTTCAGTTTATTCCTAAATTTACACAGTATTTTCTATAAATTATACATTATTTCCAGACCACTGAGTAAAATTCTACTTTATCTCAATCCAAAATAAAAAACTAAAACAAATTCACTTTCAAATTCTGTTGTGAAATAATTTAATGAGTTTCCTTTCCCACAAAAGCACAGGCCATGGAGCACACTACCTGGGCTCAATCCTCACTCTGCTGGCCCCAGCTGGGAGTACTGAAGCGGTGACCTAACCCGCTGTGCCCATCTCTTCCCTTGTGAAATAGGAACATCAGTGCTGAGCAGAGCATGTGTGCCTCAGTGAATATCAACAAGAAAATTGGCTACAAAATGATCACAAAATGAAGAACTGGTGGTACCATGTCTGCAACTGTCTTGTACAGTTCAACACCAGAGCGCTTCCTTCCCTGGGTGCTGACACATAAAGGAATTCAATGCACACTCAGTGACTGAGAAGTGGTCACACCATTTCCCGTGCCCACAGGCATGGAAAAAAACAATAGTTCTTCACCTAAAACATTAAAATGTTGTCCAGGCATACAAAATACTTGTCCCCCTTTTAAAAAGCATACCTTTTAAGGCATGTTTTATGTGGTTTCAGAAAGAGAAAAGGGCTTATTCACTGCTAAGAATAACGTACACTGGCACCTCTGGCAACCACATAAATAACAGCCCAGTTATCACTGCAGGGAGTCACTGATGTGTGTAATGTTTGTCTTTTTATTTCTCACCCACTATCCACTAGTGCTTAAGAAAACACTACTAACATCTGTGATCTGAACCCTCAGTTCCAAAAATACTACGGACATTAAATAAATGTTTTGGCTTTTCCTTCTCCATGACAAATCCATGGGTAACAAGTACAGCGACTACAGAAGCAGGACCTGCCAGGACTACTGAAAGCAAATCATGAGTGACTGGGCTTCCAGGCTGCCTGCTCTGATGATACTTAGCCATTTTTTTACACCTTTCCCCCCAGCGCCCTGGACTCTCTCCGGGGTCTTGCTCTTACCTATCTTCAGACCTTGGGACATTTCCTCTTTCCCTAGATCTCCTACTTGGGTTCTAGGCCACAGCACAGCTATCTACCCCTTCTTCCAGAGATGGGAGTGCACATCCTCTGCCCTGCCCAAAACCTCTGTCCCTACACTTACCCTGTAACAGTACTTGGCACAATGCACTTTAATGGCTGGTTAATTGTCTTCTCCCACTGACTGGGAGCTCTCAAGGGGGCCTGCTTTGTTCACAGCAGTACCACAAGGCTCTAGTACAGCACCTGGGCTCAGAGCAAGCTAATGCTTGCTAATAGACAAATGAACCAACCATTAGCCTTGCACATATGTGTGCAATTGAACAATTACATGTTGATGGACACACAAAAAAAGACTGAAGTTGTAAATCACCATGTTTTTTCTCTTCAGGAGAATTCTTGTGCCAGTTTCGGAGCCAGCGTAATAGTTTATTGGCACAGCTCTGATCACCTTGCTGTCCAATTATGGTCTTGAGTGAAGTTGGCTTATATTTATCCACCCAGAGCAAATTTTCTACTTTGCTTTCACTCCTGTCATCAGCCAAATTCCTAGGCTTGCTATCGCCATCTGTCTCTTCTGCCACCTGCTCGATGAAGTCCATGCCTCTCCGAAACACATTTGCTTCCTTTTTTATTGCCTTTATAGGACTGTCCTTTTTGGGAGTCAGCTTGCTCTTTTTAGATTCTGATTCCTTTTTGGTTGGACTAATTTTTCTTTTTCCTTGGTTATTTTTTTGGGGTGTCCTCTCCAATTTGGACTTTTCTTTCTTCATCTTAAAAAGTGGAAAAGTAAGAGAAAAAGAAACCTGGTAAGACACAACAAATTTCTATCCTGATAAATATACTGCACAGAGGACAAAATGAGATATCCAAGTGTACCACTCCATCTTAGCCAATCTTTTCACAATGGACCCAGCTGTTTGTGGAAATTATCACTTTCCAAACAACAAACAACATGGTGGTTCACACCTATATTCCAGTTACTTAGAAGGCAGAGGCAGGAAGACTGTGAGCTCAAGGCCAACCTTGGGAAAGTTAGCAAGACCCTATCTCAAACAAGAACACGTTGTTTTTGTAAAGTATTAAGTGCTCCACTTTCAAATTTCAGTTTGAAAAAAGCAGGATAATAAGTAAGAGACTTTTGCTTTAAAGTCCCTTCATTAGTTACAAGTTAATGCCGCCACAAAAACCCGTGTATAAATTTTCATAAACGTTTCATATATACATATATTTGTAATATATATGTGTGTGTATATGTATATTTACATATATATGTAAAACAGCTAAAAGATGGAAACAACCCAAACATCTATCAACTGATGAATGGATGCACATAAGGTAATACATATCTGCACAATGGAACATATTCACCAGTTGAAAGAAGTAACAATACATGCTACAACATAGTATGTATTTGAAAACATGATGCTGAGTGTTTTCACTTAGCAAATATAAAAGCCAAACATAAAAGGCTACATATATATGAGTCTATTTATATGAAACAGAAATCCACAGAGACAAGAGTCGGGAGTATGAGTGAGTGAACAGACATTTTTTGTTTTGTTTTTTGGCAGTACTGGAGAGTTAACTCAGGGCCACCCGAGCCACACCCCAAGTCTTTTGCTTTTAGTTTGTTTTTTCAGATAGTCTCATGCTTTTGCCCAGGCTGCAATCCTATCTTATCTCCTGCATAGCTGTGATTACAGGCCTATACCACCATGCCTGGCAAGATTTCTTTTTAGGATAATGACAATATTCTACAGTTTAGATACTGGTGAGGGTTGCACGCCCTTGGGAATAAACTAAAACCACTGACATATACTTTAAAAGGGTAGATTTTTATGGTATGTAAATAATATTTCAATTTCTAAAAAAAAGTTAACTATCTTTACCAATGGAGTCTAACACTCATAGATAAATTTGTAAGGACAAATAGGATTTTAGCACAGTCTTCAAGTATCTACCCAAGACAGTTATCAAAGGAGAAAACAGTCACTTGGCTAGTGGAGAAAGCCAACAGACATCCTCTTAAGTAATTGAATAAGACCTATTAACATACAATATGATTCATTGAAAAGGACACAATACCACTCCTATGGTAGTCTTGCCAAAAATACATAAACTCAATCTAATCATGAGAAAGCATCAAACTAAGCCAGTCTACAAAACAGCTGACTAGTACTCAAAAGTCTCAAGGCCAAAGGACAAGGATATACTGAAGAATTATCATCAACTAGAGGAAACTAAGGTGACACAACAATTCAATATGGTGTGGAATTCTGAAACAGAAATAGGAAAATGTGAAGTTTGACTAAGATGTATAATTTAGTAAACAAAATGGTACCAATGTTGACTTCTTGTTTTTTACAACTTACTATGGTAAAATCACTAGGACTTTTTCTAACTGGAATAAACTAGATGGACCATCTAGCCACTTTGGTGGGAGTGATGAGAGCATTAATCTTAAGATGCTGGCATTCCTGTGCCTAGCATGTGGAAAAGGCAGGTATATAATTGGAATGAACAAGGCTGACACTAGGAAAAGGTGAAAGACAGAAAATGAAAGTTCTGAGACCACTGCAGTCTGTGGACCCAGCAGTTCCTAGAAAAGATCCACCCTGATCATAACTTGACTATTTGAACTAATCTTTCTTCTCTTTTGTTAAAAACAATATAGGCTGGGTTTCTGTCACCATTGAAAAAGTTCTAATACAGTTCTAAGTAAAGATTAATTCATCATGTAGATACCTATAGCATGTACTTAAAATTAAAAAAAAAAAAAAAACTCTTATACAGTAAGGTCTGCAGTAAAGTCAATGCAAGACCGGGCTGGTGGAGTGGCTCAAGTGAGAAATGCCGGCCTAGCAAGTGTGAGGGCCTGAGTTCAAACCCAAGTACCACCACAAAAACCAAAAAGCTTCCAAATCAAAAGTCAAAGCAAGAATAAGGAATATAGGGAAGGTGTAGTATGGATACGTAATATGCAATATGTTGTCATTTCTTCACATTCTTTTGAGAAAGGTAAGGAAATATACCAAAGAGGACATGATGAAGCAGAGTCCTCCAAGTCAAAAGGACATAAGGTAAGTTCACTTGCAGAAGGAGTGAATAATATTTTAGCCAACAGGCCTGTATATACTCAAGATACATATCCGTCAAACAGGAGTTTCTGTACAGTGGCCTGGGGTTATGGGTCAAGTGCAAAGCCCTAAGTTTAACCCCAAGTACCACCAAAAAAAAGTTTCCAGACACTAACTTAAATAAATTGAGTTCATTCTATACAAACCTCAGCTTCAACTGCTATTTCATACTTGGACTTCTTGCCTGGCATTGTTCGAATCAGATTCAACAGGCCATCTTCATCAATAATTTTTGTCCCCAAAGCTGCTGCCTATTAATTGAAAGTACAAATTATTATAACTGTGTCCTAACCATTTCCTTCTGTAAAGAAAAAAAATTATTCTATGACTTACAGGTAGATGAAAACCACATTTATAAACTAGATAACAGTAGAATTTAACAAGGGGAAAAAAAAAAGCCCATTCATTTAAAAAAGTACCATTAAAAAGAATAGCAGAGTCTCCCCAAGAGTGGTAGTTGGCAGCTAAAGAGTGGCATTACTACTTTTGTAGATTGCTTTACTTTTCCTCCCCTAGAAAGGGACAAAACTGAACCTAAATCTAGCTGTTCATACCCTCTCCATATGTTTGACTCACATGACAGGCATTTTCTACCACCTTTTCCCTCCCAGCAGGATTCCAATATGCTAGCATCTCTAAGTAACAGACTATAGCTTATGACTGACCCAAGACAATCAGAGAAGCCCTGTTCCTCCTCAAACTCCCTTGCAGCTCTTAATGTCCATATGACAGCCTGGTAAATGAGAGGGAGAGCTCTGTAAAAGGTGTTTCTGTGACACCACTTGTCAGGACAGTCAGAACTAATACAACATCTTGCCACTGCTTTTTTTCTGCCTTGAATGCAGCCGCGTTGCAATCACAAGGCAACAGGCATGAGGACAAAAGCTAACACAGTAAGAATGACAAAAGAGGATGGGACTAGCTGAACCATCCCAGCAATTGCCTGACCCTGGAATTCTTGTTAGATGAGGAAAACAAGTCATGGTATGTTTAAATCAGTAAGCCGTTACTCTGTTGGAACTAAACACAGTCTTACCCAAGAGACCTCTTGTTCTTGCTCTTAGAGCTTTTAAGAAGGAAACTTGAGTTGGAGTAGATAATGGCATGTACAGGAAAAAGAAAACTGCACATTTCTGTCTTTGAAAAAAAAAAAGATTTAAACTGGAAGATAGCAAGAAAATCAAGTGAACAGAAACTGTGCCTTCAATTGGAAAACCAAAATCCTGGGGTCAAAAGCCAACAGCACTAAAGTGGTAGGACCAAATTACTTTTCTTTTTTTCCCCCACTAAGCTCTATGGAAAGGCATTACTACAACAGTCACATCAACAGCACTCCAAGCAAGCAGGCTATCACTTTTGGGGAGCACAGCAGGACCCACCTTGTCACTCTTGGACTGTCCACTATCTCGACCCATGACAAGGTAGTTTGTTTTCTTGCTGACATTTCCTGTTACTTTTCCCCCATAACGTTCAATTAAAGACTTGGCTTCATCTCTTTCAATGGACTCCAGCACTCCTGTGATCACGAATATAAGGCCTTCCAAGCAATTTTCAGCTCCCTATAAACCAAAATGTTCAAGCAGAGAAGAGATTACATGGTAGCCTTCCAAAGAAACATTTGGCATCAAAACTGCAGCAAGCTGATCTTCCTCATTTGATATCATAAATAACCTCAGCATGAAAAATTGTCTGGAAATTTATAGCAAATAAGCAGAACCTGTAACTAAATCCTGAGAAATTCTTATGCAGCTAACATTTAATAGAAGGAGCAATAAGAAACATTCTCAATTCTGTTAGTAAAGCTTATTAAAACTACCCATTCATACTACTTACCACTATGTTCTTTTTATATTTAAATTACTAGTTAGTTAACCTGCAAAATTTCAAGTTAACAACCAAGTACAATCCACTCGCAGAAACTCTTGCAATTCTTAAAAGGCAAAATTTTTATTCTAAAAAGTTTATCAAGTTTCAGTTCCTGCTCTTCTCCCTGCTGATTACACTATGGACAGTAAATCTAACAAGCTGCTAGGAATGGAAAGGCAAGACCATATTATTCCATGATTGGAAAGATAACTGATAATCCAAGATAACTAACCAAAGACAGCTGAAAGGAAAGGACACATAATCTTAATTGTATATGGTTTAATTTTTACAATAAATCAATAAAATTATACAACCAAGTAAAATGAAAAGTATACAAGATACACCATGATACTTATTACTCTGACTAGAACTGAGATCAAAGCAGACTTGAAAAGAAACTAAACAAAATTCAAAGAGACTGACCCAACACAACTTTGGTTTTTTACCATCCAGGTAAAGAATCTTTCTTGAAAGACAAAAAGAAATAGCTACGAGTCTGCTTGGCAAGAAAAAGGTTGACCAACATCTCAAGGGCCCTTTAAGTCCTACTGTTCAAGAGTTGAAAGGATCTACTGTTAACACTACAGGTACTTAAATCCTTTCTAATAGATTGAAAATAACCCTGGAAAACTCTACACTCAACATCCTATATCCCAAACTACAACCATCTACTACTATGTTATGAGTGAGCACCACTATAGCTCTGAATATCTTTCCTTCTCCAATCTCAGCACTTCCAGCCTCCTATCCAAGTCTTACATTCCAGAACTCCTCTACAGCTTGGGCTTTAGCAGCAGCAAACTATCCAATAGCATCAACCTCTCCTGCCACATTCACTCCACAACCTTGCCATCATAGAAAGGCAGCTGTCCCCTAAGGTCACTACTGACCTAAAGTCCTGTCAAGCAGAGGCTTGTTTAGCCCTTTGCTGCATACCACGCACTAAAGGCCTGACTGACATCTTCCTCTAGCCTCCTGGACAACCCTGAGGCTCACCTCTTTCCTTCCCCACCCCCAGCTACATCATCTTCATACGTCATACATACATGAATATGTATAGCAAGCAAAGTAAAATTAAATTTACATTCACACTGTGTATGTAATCCTTGCCTTCTGCTTCTCTGAAATCTCATACTGTATTTGATTATCTTTCTAGTATATCTTCAAGCTTTCCCATTCTCATGGAATCTATCTCATCGCAAAAAATACTTTATTTAATCCACAAAAAATAAAATGTATTTTTTAAGTACCACCTACCTAAATTCAGTCAAATTTCCCCCCTAAATCCCACCTTCCATTTCTACCTAGAAAATATTCTCTCTTCTCTTCATAACCAAATTTATCAAAATTATTATCTGCTTGTGTTGTCTGCATTTCGCCTCCTCACACTCACTCTTTGACCCGTTTCTATCAGGCTCTGCCTCCACTCTTCTCTGAAACTGTTCTTGCTGAGGTCACTAAGGCCCATTATGCATGTCCTAATGGTTCACTGGCCATTATGCAATGGACAGTTTTTGATCTCCTCTTTTTGGAATCTTAGCAACATGATAGACTTAACCATTTAAACATCTTAAAAATGCTGTCTCTAGCCTTTGCTTCTGTGGTATTACCCTCATGAGGGTATCTCCTACATTTCTGGCTGCTGCTTCTCAGCCTCCCTTTGGTCTTCACCCTCCTGTACTTCACAAAAAAACTGGGGACAAAACTCTCTTTCCATTCTGCATAAATGTGTCAGATGACAGTAATCCCCTCAAATATTATCCACATGGCAATAATCCCCAAGTTTGCATGCAGTCTTGGCTTCTATTCTGAGCTCCACTCCCACATATCTACTTGTTCACTGTCTCTCCACACAGATACCCCACATACACAATATGTGTACGTCAACAACAAATGCATCTCCAACTCACTCTGCCTCCAGTGACTCCAGCATTCATCTGGTTGTTCATGCCATAACCAGATCATCATCCCTGATACTCATGCTTTCTCACTTCCAATTATCATCAAGTCAGGTAGACCTCACCTCTTCCATTGAAACCACTTCACTTCCCAGCATTTTCACTGCTCTCCTAGACATAGGTGAAAAGCCACAGGGGCTTTTCGTCATCTCTTACCTACCTCTTCTTCCCATACCTATTCCTGTCCACCAGTGCAGTCTGTACTCAGTAGTCAGTGGTATTTCAGATATACAAATCAGATCACATTATTTTCCCACTTAAAACTACTTCTCCAAAGGAGATGATGTCAACATTAGCCCTAGAAGATATGGCCCTACTAACTCTTTGACCACTCTCGTTCCTTGGTCACTTTGCTCCAATTATATCACTTTTAATTCCTCAACTATACCATGAAAGATTCTCTGCCCCTCAAGAACATCACACATTCTGGTGATGACCAATCACCACATCATCACAATCCCTTCAAACTCTGTAATTCCCCATTTAAATGTCACTGACTCTGTATTTCCCACCTAGGGCCTAGTTTCTCTATTATACTCTCTAAGAGCACCCTGTATTTTCCCCTCCTGACCCATATCATAGTTATGATTAAGTAGGAATGTATTTAACATCTCTTTCCATAAGCTAAAAGTACCATGCAGGCAATAGGCACTAGTCTTGTCACCAGTGGTTTCTCTAAATCCAGTCCTTTTAAGACTAAAGAAAAAAATTTTCCAAGTATCAAGCAGTGACTTGTAATGTGAATAAGCATTCCTAATTCATAAAGAGAGTGACCAACTCTTCTGATAACATTTACTTACTAATTCTCTGTTGCTGTAAGCAGAGTAAATACATACTGGACCGATGAGGTAGAGGTCATTACAGAATGGCACGCTCTCGTCACTTCTCTTACCTTGGGTATTTCTTTGGAGCCCAGAGCTTTGGGACCTTCTCTATTTAAGTAGCTTCGATAAGCTTGATAATTAGTGCGTTTCTTTTCAGAATCTTCTGGACTTACAGACTTTGGGGAGAGGGAAAGGAAACAAAATTCATGTAAAATGAAAACTACATGACTAGAAATAAACATTAAAGTCACTTCTGAAACTAACAGCTTTAGCTATACAGACGCCCTCCAGCTTCTAGACAGATGCCTGACTTACAAATATCTTTGCACTGGTCCTTCTCAAACTTTCTATTCTTCTTAAAGGTGCATGGCTCAGGGAAAGTTAGAGGCATAAACCAAGTTGCCAGTTCCAAGTAAAGAAATGCAGTGTTTTAGTTTAGAAATTCATGTGGTTTTTAATTTTATTTCATGGTAGATTCATTTTATTTAACAGAAAAATAAAATTTTTCCCAAGTAAACCTCATTACCCAAGAAGATATCCTATGTTTATCCTATGGCCTTGTCCACCCCTAAAACACTACCCTCTGTCCCTACAAATAGAAGCACTCCAATCTGAGAAGCAAAGACTTCAGACAGACAGACAGCTGAATAAAGGGGCGAGCTTTTCCTCAAAGAGTAGACAATTCTATGTGCTACCACTGTCCTTTCTGTGCTTAATCTATCCCATCTAGCTCTCTTAGGACATCTTGTCCACAGTATAGCTCAGAAAATCCTGGGGAAACTTCTAAAACTATATATTCTTTTACCTATGCCCAGGTTTCTCATTCAGAGATATGGGGTATAGTGAGGACATGTGTTTGTTTGTTTGTTTGTTTATGGTGTGGGGGGGATAAAAGAACCTAGAGAACTCTAATTTAACCCACTACAAGATGGTACTATTGTTTTTCACTTCCCACTTTGCATTATTTTTACCTTATAAGCAAACCCAAATCCCTTTGAGTAAACAACATATTACTTCCATATAAACAAATAATGCAACCAATAAAACAATAAAACAGGCAAGCTGGTTTGGTTACATTAAGAGTTAAATACCTACTTTTTAGCAATGGTACTCACATGTTGCTGTGTATTCACATTGTAGAAAAACTTATTAAAGTACAGCTGCCTAGGAAACCTATTTTAACAAGCTTCAAAGGGAGCCAATGCATACCAACATGGGAACATCATTTGTTTACAACATTAACTCTATGGGAAAAATTCTGAAATATAAACAACTTATAAAACACCTACTTACTAAGTTACAATTATTTGACTTTGACTGACATCAACTGAATTTGTTAAGACTTCTTTTTCTTTTTTTTTTTTTTTTTTAAAGACAGGGTCTCACTGTATAGTCCAGGCTTGCCTTCCATGAACTTGCTACGTAGCCTTAACTCTTGATCCACCATCTCTGCCTCTCAAGGGCTGGGATTATAGGCCTATACCAACTGTGTCCAGCTGAATTTACTAGACTCTGATGTTCCCAAAACTATTTAAGTAAAAGTTTTCTGAGTATTTTTATTCTAACTTTGAAAAATACCACGAAGTATCATTTAAAAGTTTTCTTTTGTTTTAAAAAAAAAAAAGCAGAGCAGTGGTTGCCTGGAAAATGGGGATGGGATGGATGAAGAGGAACAGAATGGAAATATTAGAAAGCAGCACAAAAAACTTGGAACCAATACATTATCTTGGCTGTGGTGACAGTTTCACAGCTGCATAAATGTTAAAACTTACACACTTTAGGAATGCATGAGCCAAGCACCAGTGGCTAACGCTTGTAATTCTAGCTACTCTAAAGGCAGAGCTCAGGATTGAGGTTTGAGGCCAGCCCAGGCAAATTGCTCTCAAGACCCTATCTTGAAAAAACCCAACACAAAAAGGGCTGGTGGAGTGGCTCAAGTGGTGGAGCACCTGCCTAACAAGTGTGAGGCCCTAGTTCAAGACTCAGCACCACAAAAAAAAAAAAAAAAAAAAATGCAGTTTCTTGTACTGAACTGTATCTCAGTAATACTGTTTAAACAGTAAAATAAACAAAAATATCCTCTGTTTCCCAAAAATAGACATCCTCTGTAAACTGAATATATTTAGCGTGCCTGAAGAAAAACATTCATCCAGCAGATATTTAGCGAAGAAAAATTTCAGACCAAAAAGTTAATTGTTCCTTTAAGCATATTTATGGGCACTGACCACAAACAAAAGCATTTCAAAATCATCACCATTTCATGGTTCTGCACTAAAAGATAATGGTAATGAGCAGTTAAAATAGATGATATTGTACTTTTAATGGTAAGTGCCTAAGAGACATAAAAGAACAGTGGCTTTCCATTAAGAATCTAAAGCAGTTCCCAACTGGAGATTCATAAAGACCATTAGCTTTACGTAAGAAAACTTTTGAAAAGCAACCAACTTTTCCTCTGAATATCAGTATCCCAACATTGTTATGTAACAGCAAAAAGGAGTAAGTTCAGAACAAATCCAAACAATAATTACTGTAATCACAAAAGCTAAATGTATACAGCACTTGTTATGTCTCAGGCAGTGCTCTGAGTGGCTTTCCAGATTGGTTCATTAAGTACTACTGCTGTCCCTACTCCAGAATGGGGAAGCCTAATCACAGAGAGGGGAAGAACCAGAGCAAGGTCCCACACCCATTCAGTGGCAGGGTTATGAGTTGAAAATGGCTCCAGAATCTACTGAGAGGTATTACGTTACACAATTATTTTACTCTTAAAAGGATCTGGGTTCAAGGCTGTCTCGCCACTTATCACCTGCGTAATATTGGAAAAGTTACTTAAACTCAGCCTATTTCCTCATCTTTACAACTTGAATAATAAAAGTGAGCATTTCAAAGGTTATTGTGAAGCTTATGATGCCATATAAAACATATTAACACAATATCTGACACAAAGTAATAGTAATAGTTGGCTAACTTACCTGTATTAACGTATTCTCTATAACAGATAGTATCATCTAAGAATTGACCTCAGAACCTTGAGAATGCTAGGTCCTGAGCTACACCTCCAGTCTTAAATAATATCTTAAAATAACCACAATAAAGTAGGAAGTTAAAAAAAAAACTTGAAGACTACTGAATGCAGATCAATACATAGCCCCACAATACATACTTTTAAGAAAGTTCCTACCTCTTTTTTAGCTGGAGAACTTTTGGTTTTCTTGGGAGTTTTTTTCTCTCCTTTTGATTCAATGGCTTTTTCTTTTCTTTTTGAGGCCATGGGCTCTGTTTCCTTGTAAGAGTCCTCCTCTTTTGTTTGCATAAGTGCTAGTTTAGAACTGGCCTTTAGAACAGAGGGCTCTCCTATCTCACGAGCTGATGGCTTGGAATGTTGCTGAGGTTCTTTCAAGCTTTCACTCTTGGTTTGCTTACTGGGACTGAAGCGCTTTCTTCCATTTGAAAACTGTTCTGTTTTCACTAAAAAGAAAAGATTACGGTTTCTGTTTTTGGAAAATACCTAGTATCAACATGCTTTTTTCATTTTTCAATTGCGTAATCTTAGTAGCACATAATATCATTATGATTTCAAAGTATTAATACTTAATTATTTAGTTATAAAGCACATTTATTTTTTAAAATCAAATTTCTTTGTATAGCCAGTTCAAATTAAGAAATTTACCTGTCATTGTAAATGTAAACCACTCATTCCTTAAAATAATACTGTAAGCATTTAAAGACAAATACCATTTCACAGATATGCTCTGAAATTTATAAAAAGAAAGCTTACTGACTAGAATGTATTACAAAAAACAATATGTTTTTAATATAGCCTGAAAGCCCAAAATCCTGAGATATAACTGCATAGACAGACTAACTTATAGGATTAAGACTATCTAGCCGAGTATAGTGGCATATATCTGTAATGGCAGCACTAGAGAAGCTCAGGTAGGATTCCAAGTTTGAGGCCAACCTGAATTAAATAGTGCACTAAAAGCCAGTCTGAGCTATATAGTGAGACTCTGTTTGAAAAATAAATTAAAAAAAGAAAGATCATCTATAGAGTTAGCCTTCCACATTCTTGAATTCAACCAACTGTGAGTCAAAAATACTTTAATTATGTCTATAATTAAAGTATTTAATTTTTTTTTCTTGTCCTCATTCCCTAAACCATACAGCATGACAACTATTTACACAGCATTTATACTGTACTAGATGTGACATGTAATCTAGGGATTATTTAAACAGGAGGCTATGCGGAGTGATATACAAATTCTAAGTCACTTTATATAATGGACTTTAGTATTCACAAATTTTGGTATTCACAGTGATCCTGGAACCAAACCTTCACTGATGAGGGTCAACTATAAGCAAATGATTCAACATCAGGACCATGAAAGAATAAACCCAAATATAATCAGCAGAAAAGTTTCAGATGACCTGGACAACTCTAAGTCAACTCTGTAAGACTATCTCTTTCATGAAAGGCTCAAAGCATTTAGTTCTTTGTCTTCATATACTGAAATCCACATGTTGCAACATACTTGGAAATTAACAGGGAGTCCAAGGTACCATAACACATTCCTCACACAGAGCAGACAGGCACTTTCCAAACAGCTTTCAAAGTATACATGGTCCCTAGCCCACGATTTTTCACTTCACAGTGGTGCAGAAGCAATGTGCGTTCAATAGAAAATGTACTTCAAAGTCTGAATTCAAGGCTAGCAATAGGCAGTAAGCACCCTCTCACGATGCTGAGCAGCAGCAGTAAGACTCTCCATGGCGCACTGTGTTGTCAAGCTGTGGTGAGTACACTTAGCACAGGAGGTGACCACCATGTAAGTCTAGGAGCATCTGTGCCTAGGTAGAACATGCACTAGTTCTATGAAATAATGTCTACTACCTAATAATACAGTTATCGAATAGAATGCTTAAACAAAGTCATCAAGAATTCCCTTCTATAAAGACAAACGCTCTAACCCACTTTCTCCTGCTGTATTACCTTGATGAGGGGATTTATGAGGTTCTGCTTTACTTAAATTGGCTTGAACAGATGAAAAAGTTTCTCTCTCTTCAGTGTCCTTTCGGACCTAAACAAATTTAAAAAGTGTCAATTGTGACAAATAATAGAAGTGCTGTTACTGCAAAATATGGTGTTAAAGTTTTAAGTTCAAGGGTTACATTTCAAACTACAATAAACTGTCACTCATTCATCCACAAAATTTCCAGGGCAAATGAAGCATGGTTTATTACTTCATTGTACAGATGAGAAAAAGATAAGAGATTACAAAAATACATCCATAAAACATTATAACACTTCATTCCAATCTGTGAAACTGAAAAATTGAAGCCCTATTTCTGCTTCTTTTATCTCTACTCTAAAAATGTTATTATTATACAGTTGAAAACCAAAATGCAAACCAAAAAACCAGAAGTGAAAACAAACTAAAGCTCAAAAGAAAAAGAGAACTTCCTCAAGAGAAGAAAGTATCCAACCTCTCCAGCTGTTCCTCCAAGGTCCATCTTATAAAGAGACCACAAATTGGGTGTGTGACGTAATACTTAACTATAATTTGACTATATTCAAATGGAGTAAGACTTTTCAAATAACAAAGTCATCAACCTTCCTACTAGTAGTCACCAACTACTTCTTATACCCTGCTACTTAGTCCTGATAACACCTAAGTTTGTAACTCCCACTTTAAAGAAGTAAAATAATTTAAAATAGTCAGATGTTGATAATGACAATTATATTAACAGAAAGTGACTCATCAGAAAAAAAGCTAATTTATTAAAGATAAGAGCTTTTCAAAAACAAATCTTGGGTAGTCCCAGATACTCAGGAGGCTGAGGCAGGAGAACTGCAAGTTCAAGGTCAACCTGGGCAACATAGCACTCTTATTTTTAAAAAATCTTTATCTCAATAATATATTAATGACTGAGAGTTTCCTAATGTAATACATACAGATCCACAGATCTTAAAATTTATCTAATCAGAAATAGCAAAGTCATGCTGCCTGAAAAAACAGTAATATTAAAGTTATTCAACTTGTGTTCTGAAGGAATTTTATAAACAGTATTCTCTGAACAAATACAAAATAACCCTTGTGATAAAGAGAATGGAAAAGGTATAATTCATTTTTTGTAAGAAAGTTTCTGGTTCTGTTTTGGTTCTTGAAACCTTTTGGGAAGAGTAAGTTTTTCAATAACATTCCCCAAAATATAATTTTTATAAATTATAATATATAATTTTTATAAATTAAAATTATTTAGCTTCTTTTTGGAAGTTATTGAGGGCCTTGTCTCCAGAGCCTGGAACAGACAGGTACAGAAAGGAACACTGATCTATATTATATACTCAGAATGCAAACAGTCCAATAGTGCCACCTTTTTAGTCTTTGGTTCTTCATCCAACATGGCTAATGTCCTGGCAAACTCTTCATCTTCATGCAGCTGCCTCTCCAGCTGTAAAAACCATCAACACAGTGAGATGCTTTGTTCTTTTTGTATTTGAAAGTATAAACTAAAGGCTTTATATCCCCCAGTAAAATGGCCTAACAACACAGTATCAAACAAGCCAGGTGTCGTGGCTCATGCTTGTAACCCCAGCTACTTGGGAGGCAAAGATAGGAGGATCACAGTTTAAGGCCAGCCCAGACAAAAAGGTAGCAAGATCCGATCTCAACAAACAAGCCAGACATGGTGGTATACACCTGTTATTCAAGCTACTTGAAAGGTGTAGGTAGGAGAATCACATTCCAAGGCTGGCCCAGGCAAAAAGTGTGAGACCCTATCTGAAAAATAACTAAACCAAAAAGGACTGGAGGCATGGCTTAAATGTTAGAGTGCTTGAGTTCAAACCAATACCGCATAGGAAAGAATAAACAACAATAACAGAACAAACCTTTTTATCATTATTTGAACAAAGGAAAAGTCCTCAAAATCCACCCAATCAAAAAAAAAAAAAAGGGGGGGCTTAGAAGTTGGCAGAGATTTGATAAGAACACAGTAAGGAATCCCTTTCCTGGTTATAAAATGAAATAACCAGGCTGGGGATGTAGCTCAGTGGTAAAGCACGTGCTTAATATGCATGCCCCTGGGTTCAATCTTCAGCACCAAAAAACCCCAAACTAAGCAGAACCATAAGCAAGCTGGACAAAGGCACACCAATATAATCTCCTTCACCTAATATTTCTTTAGCACAGAATGCAAATCATGACATCAATGCTTATCTCAGTGCCTGGCACAGAGAATGATATTGTAATTGTTCTCATTTTATTAATTTGGCAGTTTAAACTTTGTGTTTTCAAAGTCTTTTTCTATCTTATTTCTACCTTACTCTGTTTCTATCTTACTTCTATTTTTTATTTCTTTTATGTCAATATCTTATAACTGAACTACACATTTAATTGCAAAAATCTTCATTAGAGAAAGGTGCTGTAGATCCTAAACCGCCATACCCTTGCAAGGATTTCTGATTGAACACTACACCACTTTTCAAAAATTTCACACTACGGAGCATGTTTCTGGTAAAGAAGTTTCTAGATGTTTCAGAAATCAGAAGAATTCTATGGGAAGCAGTCATAGTGGCACACATCTGAAATCCCAGCTATCTGGGAGGCAGAGGTATAATGCACAGTCCGAGGCTAGCCCCTTTGAGAAACTATTTGAAAAACAAACAAAATGTAAAAGGACTGGGGGCATACCTTAAGTGGTAGAGTGCTTGCCTAGCTAGCATGAAGCCCTGAGTTCAACCCCAGTACTGCCAAAATAAAAAATAAAAAAAGAAAGAAGGGAGCAGGGCAGGGAGGGAGGAAAGGAGAGGGAGGGATTTATTATTGGTGGTAATGTCATCATGTGATCAAGAGTCCAGTATTTTACTACAGTGTTTAACATAGCTGGCATAATGTGACACTGAATATACTGACCTGAGTATTAATGCTGGACACAGTTACTAAATGAATAAACCAAGAGGTAATAATGATGGGAGTGCTCTTAGAGGAATAATTAGGAAAGACATCATCAATTATCAACATCCTAAAAGTCCTTCATCAGATTAACAAATTACCCAAAATCCTGAAAGAATGTGAGTGAAATGGGAAAGTAAGAGATTGGAATACCCTTTGGTTCTGTGGAAAGAATGGGGTAATCCTCTATTTGGGACAGCTAAGGATAAGCCAGGTCCCTAAAAATGATGCCATAGTTTGACCCAGGCTATTTGTGCTACCGTGAATTATGAGGATACCTGTTTGCAGACAATGTAAACAGTGTGGTCAAATAAGGTAGAAAAAGGCTTTGAAAACACAAGCTATTAACTGCCGCATTAATAAAATTAGAACAATTACAACACTGTTCTCTTTGCTTTACACCCAGGCACTAAGAGAAATGTTGATGTTACGGTAATTGTGAGACATAAACAGCCTTGGTAGGTGGAATTTGAAGCCTACATGTAGAAGACACTTAAATAGCAATTATAATAATGATAACAGTAGCTCCAAGAAAGGAGTGCTAACACAGTTTGGGGAGCCTGGGAAAAGGACACTAAGCTAAGAAATAGGAAAACGGTTCCAACAGTAAGCACCTCAGCCCAGAGATAAGCACTCCTCCTTAAACTACTTCCTTTTTTAAAAAATTTTTTAAATTATCATATTGTTGTACTGGGGTACATTGTGACATTTACAAAAGGGTTTACAATATATCTTAAATTCACCCCACCATCACTCTCCCCTCAACTACTTTCTTTATTCTGCTTTCAGAAAACACCAAGCTCTCCTGCTTTTCCTACTTCATTACTCACTCTTTCTTAGTCTCCTCTGCTGGGTCATCCTTCTCTTCTTTATCTCTAAATGTTAAGAATATCTAAGAGCTCAATCCTGAGACTTTTTTCTTTTCTGTACATTCTGCGCCTAAGGTCTCACTCAGGTACACAGGTTTTAAACCCATACAAATGCCAATGTCTCTCAAATACACATCTTCAGCTTAGAGAGACCCTGAGCTCCAGACTCCCCTACTCAGCCACACACTCCACATCCCCATTTGGAAGACTATTAGACATCCCCAACTTAAGGGTCCAGAACAGAACTTTTAGGCTGGTGGAATGGCTCAAATGGTAGAGCACCTGCCTAGCTAGCGTGAGGACAAGTTCACACCCCTGTACCATTAAAAACAAAAAAACAGAACAGAACTTATGGCTTGTTGGCTTCTCTGTACCAACCCTGTCCTGTCTTCTGTGCTTTGGTCTTACTATTACCATTTATCCAGTTGCTCAGGCAAGGTAACATCCAATCTATCAACAACAATTTTAAGGCAACAGCTGTAGGCATTCAGATTATGACCACCTTTTCTACTACCAACCTCATACAAGCCAGCATACTTTTCTTTTCCAATCCATCAAGTCATGTCATTTCTCTCTTCAAAACTCCAATGGCTTCCCATCTCTCAGAAACTAAAAGCCAAAGTCCTTATCATCCAAGTCATTTTAGTAGGTATCAAAGCCCTGGTATGTTCTACCGGATCTGCTTCTGACTGTTTCTTCGGATTCATCTCACACCACTCTCCTGGTCTCACTGGTTTCCTGAACATAAACAGCACATTTCTATCTCAGGATGCTTACACTTGCTGCTCCCTTACTTAGCAGAAATCTTCCTCTCTAAGTAGCCAGAACAACAGTTCACTGTATCACTTCATTATGTGTCACAATACCCCTTCTTCGGGGGAATCTTCCTAACTTCTGCTTGAAATAAAACTCTCAGAATCCCACTTACCCTCAACACTATACCTTTTCTTCACTGCACTTGTAATTACCTGCCATTACATTTCCTTATTTTTTTTACTATAACACCCTTAATATCTAGAACAGTGCTAAGCACTCAGTCAGTGCCCAATAAATACGTGTTGAATGAATATATGGGTTACAGCTCAAGAACATGCTCTGAACTGAAGACTGTGTAAAGGTCATCAGCATATACACAGTAATAGATGCTGCAGGAACAGACAAGGTTGAACACAGTGAAAGCAGAAACAGAAATGAGCAAATTAAATTATCTTAAATACACTAAAGAAGTTCTCAAAGAATTTTAATAATAAATCTTTTAAAATTATCCCTCAGTCTCATTATTTATCTTTTATAGAAATTTAGATTCTCGTATATGAGATTTTAACTTATCTTACACGCAACTTCCAGTGAAGTTTAATACATTAGACTAAAACAATCTTGATTGTTTACCTGTCTAAATGAAGTAACAAGTCAAACATCAAGTATTAATGATATCTAAATAAATGGCAATACCTCTGTATCTTCATCAAGTTGTAACTGCTTGGCAATGGCTTCATCATTTAATCTGGAATCATCGGTACTTTGTGAAGGCTACATTTCAAAGAAAATCAAGAAAGATCAGCATAAACATTAAAAATGTTTATGATACTTTTTCTTGACCATATCTGATTAATTACATCAATAAGAGGTAAGTGTAGCCAGGCAACAGTGGCTCATGTCTGTAATCCTAGCTACTCAGAAGGCAGAGATCAGGAGGATTGGGGTTCAAAGGTAACCCAGACAAACAGTTTGCAAGACCCTATCTTGAAAAAAACCCTCACAAAAAAGGACTGGTGAAGTGGCTCAAGGTGTGGGCCCTGAGTTTAAGCCCCAGTTCTGAAAAAAAAAAAACAGAAAGTCAGTCTTATTGTGGATTTATTACACACAGTTCTAACCAACTGTGGTCAAAAAAAAAAAAGTCGAAAGAAAGTTCAAAAACAAAACAAAATGTTAAATTCCCACATATGTACTGCATAGAAGCTCTCAGTCAGTTACATGCTACCGTCAGTTGTGTTTAAATCACTGTGTAATCTGCTGAGTGTTTCCCTTCCCTTAATTTTGTGAAAATATGCCTCCCCAAGAGTAAATGGTGCCCATGAAGCAAGGTAAAACTTATGGTAAACCTCCCATGACAAAAAGGGCAAGTAATGTGCTTAATTTAAGTGAAAATTTTAATTTATTGAAAGATGCATGTCTCTAATAGAAGTTGGGCAGCATTGTGGAAAAAAGGAATCAAGCATCCACAGTACAGTAATATACCGGAGCATTTGTAGTGGTCTCCTTGGATACCAAGGGTCTACTGCACTCACAGTCCACAGCAGCCAGAAAGTTAAGTTCACAGCTACTCCCTGATCACATTTATTTCCTACTGAGTAAATATCCTCCAGGTACATGGTGCTCACTTAGTTCTATTAATATATTCAAGAGAAGTACCCTCCAAAAAAAAAAAAAAAACCCTGTAGATTAATGCCTTGGCTTTTGAAGTCAGTATGTGAATGCCTACATTGTCCTACAGATACACTAATGAAACGAACAAACACACATCAACTGACAAACTTATTTAACTCAGGGGCTACTTTCACTATAACTTATCTGTATGTCTATATCCTAAATGGCCAGAAAAAGATAATTTCATTATCAGCCAAAGTATGCAATGTCAAATGTATAGCATAGGTATGCTCTATAAAGGATGTACTTATGATCTCATTTGGAAACAAATTTATTGTCTAATTTTGTCTATCTAAAGCCAATAGTAAAATGGGTTTGCATTTTGATAATTCAATTTAAATTCAAAGAAGCATGACTTTTTCTTATTGTCAAAATAATTTTTCCTGCCTTCAAGTATAAACATACATACTCTAATTTCCTTATCCTTTAAAATAAGGGCAATATATTGTATCCATAATCATAGGGAAATTATTTTCATTATTAATAAAACATATTTATCCATCTCTAATCCCAATTTCTCCTCTTATTAGTATCAATGAATGGGTGTCAATCCTACATTTTTTGCAGGGGAGTTGACACAGGATCTTGCTATGGTCCAAAGTGGCCCAAATTTACAACCTCCTGCCTCAGCCTCCAGACACTGGGATGACAGGCATGTGTCACCATACCCGGCAATCGTAAATGTTCTAGTTTGTATGTAGAACACTCACCTCTTTTCTTTTGCTTGACACCATCTTCTTATCTGATCTTTGGACACTTCCAGTTCCAAAATAATCAAGCACTGATGTTGGTGTAAGTTTTATTGGTGATAAAGGCTTATTCTTGGTCTTAGTATTTTCTTCATTCTTTTTCATGTTTGATGTTCCAAGATAACTATTTGTAGAGCCTCCATTCTCTTTTGATTTACAGGCTGCCTTCTTACATGCAAAGTCATCATCTTCATCTTAAATAGAAAATAACAATTTTTTTTATAAAACCTCAATTCTAACTAAAAAGCAACCATTTCTAAAAGCTTTCTAAAATGTATATAAGAGCCTTCAGATTAATTCAAGTCATCCCTATATTACCCATGCCAATTATTAGCCAGAGCACACAAATATTTACCGAGTACCCATTATTACCAGGCACCGAGGATACAGCAATGAATAAAAAAGACCTAAGTCTTGCCATCATGGAACTTGAAGTCTACAAGAGGAAACAGACACACAAATAAACAATATATATACTGTAAAGTTGTATGTGCCATGAAGTTGTAAGAGTGGTAGAGTGCTTTCCTAGTACACTTGGAAGGTCCTAGATCTGTTTCACAGCATAGATAAAGGAGAGGGACAGGGCACTGTGCTATTCCTAAGGAACTGCCTTCTAAGCACTAATGTAACTAATAATATAGTTTAAAAAAAAATCAAAATGTTCTCGTGTTACTTTGTAATTATAATTAAGTTGGAACTATAAACTTTACAAAACTCCTGATTATAAATGTAAAAAGTAACCCACTTTTTTTAAACCAAAAGTACAATAGAAATCTCTGAGGATATCCATACCTTTCACTACAAGCTCATTTTCTCAGATAACTCACAGCTCACCCCATCCTTTGAGGACCTCCAATAACCACAGATGTACTGATTAGATGGCCGCACACTCTCAGCCAGAAGTGGGCACTTGATCAAAGTGGGGTCAACTTTACTCTTGACCAGTTTGCTAAACTGAGGTGTTATTCCTGCAGTCAGTGAAGTAAGTCAACAGCCTGCTGATAAACTCCCCATTTTGCTTACTCTAAGCTAGGTTGTTTTTTTTTTTTCTAATCTGCAACCAAAAGATTTTAATTAAAGCACACTTGTTTGATTTATCTTCAACTACAGTCAATCTACCTTCAAGCTTAAATTTAAAATTCATCCATCAGCCGGGCGCCCATGGCTCATGCCTGTAATCCTAGCAATTCAGGAGGCAGAGATTGAGAGGGTCGTGGTTCAAAGCCAGCCTAGGCAAATAGTCTGTGAGACTCTATCTCAGAAAAACCTATCATAAAAGAGGGCTGGTAGAGGGGTTCAAGGTATAAGCCCTGAGTTCAAGCCCCAGCACCACAAAAAAAAAAAAAAAAAAAGATCATCCAAAACACATGCAAGGCATGATACTCTTAACAGATTTCAGTTCAACTGTACGTTAACAAGCCAGCAGGAGGGTCGGTCACTCATGTATGTGTTCTCCTTACCTGACTCCCTGACTCCCTGACTCCCAGTGCTTCTCAGCCTCTTTGCCAGATGTGGAAAAGATGTTTGATTTACACAGGTTTGCAAAGGCTACACAACATTATCACCATTTCACTTAAAATAACCAAGCAAACCACCCATAACAGTCTTAATAACCATTGAGAATACAATCTGAAATACCTTTCCTTTTCTCTAAAATAATGAGTTATATTACAGAAACTCAAATAGTTTGTAACTGACAGCTATTTTACACTCCAACAGTCAGTTAAACCTTAGCACAGCCAAACCAGTAGCACACAACAAATTATCCTATAAAGCTATGGCCACTAAATGACAGGGATAGGTTATGAGAAATGCAATGAATCATTAGTTGACTATATCGTTGTGCAAACATCATGTAGTACTCACAAAAGCCTAGATATATATCCCACTACACATGTAGGCTACATGGTATACATGTTTATGGTTTGGCCAATTTCTCATGGTGATAAAGAAGTTAGGCGGAAGAAACCTGATGATTAAGAACAATGGCCTGGGTGTTGATAAAGAATCACATCCTAGCAGGCTGACTTTTAATAGAATAACTTGTGATGTACAACAGGGTCTTTCTGACCCACAGCCGGTGACAAATGAAAGCCCTATCTGGTCATCCAAGGTCAAGAACTCCACTATTTGATGTGTGAGAGGAGTTGATGACACATGGCCCAGCCTCTGGCAGTTGATGACACATAACACAGTTTTCCAAAGCAGACCTGCCCTGTGTTTGCAGACCCCAATAAAAGCTTGGGTTTGCTGGGTGCCAGTGGCTCATACCTGTAATCCTAGCTACTTGGGAGGCTGCAATCAGGAGGATCATGGTTTGAGGCTAGCCCAGGCAAATAGTTCATGAGACCCCATCTCCAAAATAACCAAAGCAAAATGGGCTTGAGGTGTGACTCAAAAGGTAGAGCACCTGCTTTGCAAGCACAAAGCCCTGGGTTCAAACCCCCAATCCCACCAAAAAAAAAAAAAAAAGTTTGGGTTCTTGGGACCTCCAGCACATCACTCCTTCTTGAGCTTCCTGTTCACCCATCTGGAGGAGCATTTCTGCTTTGCTTTCACTTTGCTTCACACTAACAAACCTGCTCCTGCTAAAGTCTCCTCTGTGTCTGTCCTTGAATTCTGTCTTCAACAAAATCAAGAACCTTCTGGCCCCGAGACCTAGTCCCCTGAATCCAGTAACAGTGGGATCATGCAAAGCAAAACATGAGATTAAATCAAACAATAAAGAAAATTACACAATCAAGAAACAAATGTTACGGTTTGAATATGAAATGTCCCCCACCGACTTATGTATTGGTGGCTTGGTTACCAGCTTATGAACTTTTGGGAAGTAAATGGATCATAAGGGTTCTGTCTTCATCAATGGATTTAAAATATGAACAGACTATCGGGAGGTGGAACTATGAAATACAAAAAAATGGGGCCTAGTTGGAGGAAGGTCACTGGGAACTTGTCTTTGAAGGGTATCTTGCCCTGGCCCCTTCTTGTCTGTCTCCTCTCTCTGCTTCTTGCATATCGTGAGGTGAACAAATCTGCTCCTCCACACTCCCCCCACCACCGTGATGCTCTCCCTCACCATGGCCCAGAAACAAAAGTCAGACTGAGACCTCTGAAACCATGAGCCAAAAAAATCCTTCCTCCTTTTAAAATGTTTCTCTCAGATATTTGTCACAGCAATTAGAACTAATACATAGTTCTAATTACAGAATTCTAATAATGGTTCTAATAATGGTTTTATTATTCTACCATTATCAAGTATTCTGTACACTACTTAATTGCATATGCTGTACTTCTATATGCCCAGCAGCTCAGAAGGAAAAAGAATTCAAGCGTGGACACAGAGGAGACTAGCAGGAGGTTTATTAATGAAAAGCAAAGTGAGTATTGGTGTACTATGACCTTACATCAGCTACAAGGTCACTAGGTAATTTTCAGCTCCTTTATAATCTTATGAGACCACTGTGGCCTATGCCACCCATCATTGACCAGAAACATGGTGATGCAGTGTGCAACTAGTTATATTCTATAAAATGCACTTTAAAAAATAAAAACAAGAAGAGCACTACTTGTATTCTGACTTAAAGAGGGAAGGAAGGGAGGGGAGGAAAGAGGAAAAGAAAAAGCACACTAGAACTTCCTAAGTGTAGAAAACCAATACATCTCTTTAGACAAGTGCAAAATTAAAAAACACATACAGTGTATGTAATATATGACTTCTAAATTTATCTTACTAAGTTTAATAATGTTTATTTGCCTTAAGTTCAACAACTGCATTTTTTAGGCAGGAGAAAATCTTTAATGGAGAAATCAAAAAATAATTTCTGTGAAATGACAGTACTCTACTAGTTTTTCACCCACCTGAAAAAAAAATTGCCAAAATATTAGCATTTCTTTCCACTATACCTTGCCATACTCATAAGCAGTATGAGAGAAAACTCCAGACTTAAGTATTCTCCTTATACTTGCTACAGGAAGACAAGAAAAAGTAAAGAAAAAAAATAAGTAAAGGGACTAAAACTAGCCAGACAGGCAATAAACAGTTTCAAACAAACAGTTAACATCTTTCGATATTAACTCAATGTGAGCCCCTCCCTCCTTTTTTAGTGAATAGTAATATTGTTTGTTTGAAGAAATGAGGGCAGCTTTCAAAAGCTGAATGAGGGAAGAGTAGAAAAGCTTTTACTCGCTCTTCAAAGATAGGTGAAAGAAAATAGGTGGAATTCACAGGGAAGTATTTTTGGCGTAACAAAAGGAAGATCTTTCCTGAAGAGCATGATACTACTATTCATTAAAAAAGGAGGAGGACTCTGGAAAAAAATTTGGAGGCTACTTAAAAAGCTGGACATCGATCTACCATTTGATCCAGCAATACCACTCTTGGGGATATACCCAAAAGACTGTTACTCCAGAGGCACCTGCACATCCATGTTTATTGCGGCACTATTCACAATAGCCAAGTTATGGAAACAGCCAAGATGCCCCAGCACAGACGAATGGATTAAGAAAATGTGGTATCTATACACAATGGAATTCTATGCAGCCATGAAGAAGAACGAAATGTTATCATTCGCTGGTAAATGGATGGAACTGGAGAACATCATTCTGAGTGAGGTTAGCCTGGCCCAAAAGACCAAAAATCGTATGTTCTCCCTCATATGTGGACATTAGATCAAGGGCAAACACAACAAGGGGATTGGACTATGAGCACATGATAAACGCGAGAGCACACAAGGAGGGTGAGGATAGGTAAGACACCTAAAAAACTAGCTAGCATTTGTTGCCCTTAATGCAGAGAAACTAAAGCAGATACCTTAAAAGCAACTGAGGCCAATAGGAAAAGGGACAGGTACTAGAGAAAAGGTTAGATCAAAAAGAATTAACTAGAAGGTAACACCATGCACAGGAAATCAATGTGAGTCAATGCCCTGTATAGCTATCCTTATCTCAACCAGCAAAACCCCTTGTTCCTTCCTATTAATGCTTATACTCTCTCTACAAAAATTAGAGATAAGGGGAAAATAGTTTCTGCTGGGTATTGGGGGGAGCGGGAGGGGTGGAGTGGGTGTAAGGGAGGGGTGGGGCAGGGGGAAAATGAACCAAGCCTTGTATGCACATATGAATAATAAAAGAAAAAAAAAAAAAAAGGAGAGGACTCACATTGAGTAACAATATGCATACAATTAAAAAAAAAGATGCAAATAGTAAAATTAAACTTGCAAAAACCAAAATGCATCACTTTGTTCCGTTACATAAGTCCTAACATTATAGTATAATTTCACACCTAACGGGGTGCAGGCTTCTTTTCATGAGTCTCCTATTCTAGTGACCTCTTTACAGCAGTGGAGAGTAAAAGAGCCCTTCCCAATACAGGAGTTTAACTTAACAATGTTTTTAAGATATAGATCCCAAGTGTACAATACCAAACAAAATAATTTTTAAAACATTTTCATAATTGCTGAGTAAATCATGAATCTCCAAGGAACAATATAGAAATGTTTTTGCATGAAGTTTCAAGTATATTTTAGTGTATTAAGTAAAAACTGTATATAAGGGGGACTGTGGAGCGCTCAGCCATAGAGTGATGCTTAAAAGCATGAGGTCCTGAGTTCAAACCCCAGTCCCAACAAAAAAAAAAAAATTGTATTAAGGTGCTTTGCCTCTGTTAACCACAAATAAAGAGCTCCCAGTCCCTGGAAAGTAGGACAACTCTAATGAATACTGTTTGAGGACAGAAAAGTAGAGGACAATTCTCAAAGACTGGCTCATGCTTTGACACTTTTTTTTGGTGCTTCTGATTTGTGCATTTCTTCATACTTTCTTATAGTTATGTGAATAACTTAACATGAAAAGTTAAATTCCAGTCATAAGCATAGGAGATATTTCTGACAAACACAGAGGAATCTATATTTATTCCATCACTAAATATGGATCTGTTTATGGTTTGGAACTTAAAATGTTTTCCACTAAATTCCTATACTGAAGCTTTGGTCCCAAATGTAGCAGGTGGAAGCTTTGCAGGTGACTGGATCAGGAGGCTTCTGACCTCATTCGTGGGTTAATCCATTGAGTACTCATAGATTTAGTGGGTGATTGAGAGATGGTAGAAAACCTTTAGGGGGTATGGTCCTAGTTAAAGGAAGTAACTAACTGGGGGCATGCCCTTGA